TTTATGAATTCAGTACTGAAACATAACAATGTATTGTGGATCTGGACAGAAAGCAGACTGCGTTGGATAATACAGAACATTGAATGAGTGAAGGTTGGATAAGCGAGACTCTACTGTATACATAACTAATATAGGAGGCTTATAGAAGGTTGCTATGCCTATAGTAGTATATGAACTTTTCAAAACTCACCGTCTTTTCAATGGCTCTCTGTAATGTCACTGGGAAAGAAAGGTAGCAAGTATTTCTGAGGAAGGGAGAGATGAAAGAGAAAAAGAAGGGAAAGAAAGAAAAAAAGGAGCAGGAAAAAGGAGGGAAGGGATAAAGGAAAGAAGAGAAAGGAAAGGGGAACAGCAATGAGGGGAGAAACAAAAAGAGAAAGAAGGGATGAAAGTAAGGGGCAGCCAGTTGTTAATAAAACAAAAGTGTCAAGGACTTGCTAATTCTTTACTACATAACCCATAGGAAATAGACTCCAATAGACTGAAGCTTTGACAAATAAAATTGGTTAGTTGTAAAGACATTTTGTTGTCTCTGCTGCACTAGACTATCATGGGGACCCCTCTGGAAATTGTTTCAATTAATAAGATGAGACATGATTACTAGTTTGAAATAATGATTAACAAACACACAGAGCAGAAGTTAAGATGCCCGAGAGAAAATGAAACCATCGTATCAGTCCAGTGACTACTGGTAGCCTTCAGTCGCTCTAGGTTTCAACACACTGAACTGATTCACTCTATTTCTGCAAGTTTCTGAAGTATCTTTACACTCTGTAACTAAGGGAATAGTTTGTACAAACCACTTCACTATCAGAGAGATCACCCCATGGATGACCGGTGAACCTTATTTTCCCAAAGAGGAGGAAGCGGAACGAGGGTCATCTTTTGGGCCAGGGCCATGTGCGTGTGAGTGAGGTGCCGATTCTTGCATTCTCATCAGACATTTATGCTGCTATTGCAGTCTAGCTGCCAGCTACATTGCCTTGGGCCCAAATGGACTGTGCTGCCAATTGTCATTTCTGAAATCCCTCCTTCCGGCTCGTCTTGGCAGTGTGCCGCTCTTGCCGAGAGCAGCTAACTACAATCTGGGCTACTCTGTCTTTCCTTTTTGCCTGTCATGGTCTGTAAACCAAAAGGAAGGAAATGAAAGGGTGGATAAAGCAGGTGTGCTTGCACTTGGCACAAAGTGAAATTTCTTCCTGCTATTTAAAAAATAATAACACAGAAACTGCACTGCATTGTAGTCCAGAGGTCAAGAGAAAACTATCCTGCTAATGTTCAGGTTTGAGACTGAAAGCAAACCTCAGAAATACATTTAAACTTTCTGATATTAAATAAAAGTTTCTCTGTACTCCTTTTTTTTAAAACAGCAATTTCCCCGGCATGGCCTCTGTTTTCCAGTGTGGTTGCTGAGATGGATGCTCACAGATGAGAGGGAGAAAGAGAGAGAACAGAGCGTGTTGGGTTGCTGTCAGTTCACATATAAATCTCAGCCTTACTTCAAAATTCAAGTTGACAGTCCATTTCGGAAGAGTAGAAATGGTACTAAGAAATACACTACAGATGCTTGGTGGCATTTTCAGTACCAATCCCTTTTTGCTCAAAGCATTCTGAAGAAAACTTAAAGAATCCAAATGCAAAACTTTACATGTAGTCCAGAAGTATTTTCCATTCACCTGTATAGAAATGCATCTGACAGAAGTATTAAAGAATTGGAAAAGGAAGTTTTCTACATTTCCTTAAAATAAACCCTGCAGATACTGAGCCCATACAACTTTGAGAATAAATAATGTAGTCTTCAAAGGGAGGGGGGTGCACTAAGTTGAATAGTATTTATCTTAAGAGTGCTCAAGGACTTTCAACTGTCCATCTACTTCATGTTCAACCAGCTTCAAAAGCCAAACAAATTAGAAAACAGACAGTTGAAAGCAGATGCGGAGAACAAACAGCTTGTCTTTTAAAAAGTTATTTGACCATTCGCATGGTGCAATGGGTTAAATCCTTGTGCTGGCAGGACTAAAGAGGTTCGAATCCTGGGAGATCGCAGATGAGCTCCCTCTGTCAGCTCCAGCTCCCATGTGGGGACATGAGATAAGCCTTCCACAAGGATGGTAAAACATCAAAAACATATGGGCGTCCCCTAGGCAATGTCCTTGCAAATGGCCAATTCTCTCACACTAGAAGCGACTTGCAGTTTCTCAAGTTGCTCGACACAAAATATATATGCATACATATACACTAGTCATCCCCTGCCATGTGTTGCTGTGGCCCAGTCTGTGTATATGTGTTTTGTGTGTGTATATATGTGTGTTTGTGTATATGTGTATATATGTGTATTTGTGTGTATATGTGGTTTCGCGCATGTGTTGTAATGTTTTTTTTTTGCTTTTTAAGTCCCATCTGCTGTGTTTTTCAGTGTTGTTATGAGTGATGGTCACTCGTTGGCCTGATAGGTGTCTTGTGCCCAAATTTGGCGTCCATTCGTCCAGTGGTTTTTGAGTTATGTTAATCCCACAAACGAACATTACATATACACACACATATATATAGCTTGAGAGTGCATTAATCAGTTCTACTTCAGTGCAGACAGAGTAAAGCAATGAATTCTCACAAAAGCAATAATTTGTTTAAACATTCATTTCAAATCTAATTGTTTTGTTTGAGCTGTTGTAGAACCAGGTTTCAGGACCAGGAGATTTTGTTGGGTGCGTTGGGCGTTCTCTAGCTACAAAACATCAATTCCCACTGCAGTCATTTTTCTTTGTCTTCAATGGATATTAATTTTCTCTGATCCAATTCAAGTGTAAAACATTTATACTCTGAAATCAGGATTTTCTACTACTTTGCCTTAGCAGCTGGATTACTTAAAGCTTCTAAATTATCATTAAGCAGCTTCCAAACAGAGCATGAGTCAGCACTGTGATGAAACTACAAATAATGCAAGTTCAATTTTTGAGAGGCATTTAGATGAAGCAGTGTATCTAAGGCACTTTTCAGTTCTTCACACATTCTCAAAAAATCACTCTCTCATACACACATACTTCACACTCCATGAAAAGAAAACATCGCTATGGAAAGACTTTGTCTCTGTTTATACTAACTTCAATATGGATGTGCACAGAATCCAAGTGTGACTCAGTACACTTCTCTTCTACATTTTTTCAACAACCATAGCTGGAATCTTATTTATTTAGGCCTATTATAGAGCTCAACAAAAAAAATCTTGCTATCTTGGTTTTTAGGCCTGTTCTTGGAGTTATTTGGGGTGCTGATTCAGAAAATTGCATTGGATAGACATCATCAGCTCTAGCTCTTTAGATAAGGTTATCATGATGTTCTATGGGTGAGCAAATGAAGACTGGTATATGGCATATATTCTGTATCTCATAAACTAGAGCTGATAGGGAAAAACTTGTGACATTTTTGGAATCAGCTAGTCAAATATATCCAGAAACGTCTAACATTTGAGACATCAAAATGTGTGTTGGCCAGTGTTATTATTCTTAGTGAATTCCTGGATAACATTATAGGGTGAGCATGTAAACCTGTTTTTACACATATGCACACATACATATATACACACATGAAGAGCCACTCTAAACACCGTTGCAGAAGCATACAAGACGCTTGGTCTCTCACTGAACATTGAGAAAACCAAAGAGACTCTTCCAGCAGTCTCTAGCCAATCCCTCTCCAATGCCAGAAATACAGTTTAACATTAGTGAATGTTGATCATTTCCGCAACCTTGGATGCCACCTCTCCATAAAAGTCAACATTGACATTGAAATATAACACCGCTTGAGCTCGACAAGTGCAGCATTTTTTCAAATGAAGCAGAAAGTGTTTGAAGATCGGGACATTTGTAGGGAGACGAAGATGCTTGTTTATAAAGCTATTGTCCTCCCAATCCTGCTATATGCCTGCAAAACGTGGACTGTCTACAGACATAATACTCAACTCCTAGAAGATTCCATCAGCGTTGCCTCCGAAAACTCCTGCAAATCTCTTGGGAAGACAGGCAGAGAAATGTCAGAAGCAAAGATCACCAGCATTGAAGCAATGCTCTTATGCCATCAATTCCACTGGACCGGCCATGTTATCTGAACGCCCAATCACCATCTCCCAAAGCAGTTAGTATACTCCCAACTCAAGAATGGGAAACATAATGTTGGTGGACAGGAAAATAGATTTAAAGATGGGCTTAAAGCCAACTTTAAAAACCGTGGCATAGACACCCGAGTACTGGGAAGCCCTTGAGCGTTCTAACTGGAGGTCAGCTGTGACCAGCAGTGCTGCAGAATTTGAAGAGGCACAAATAGAGGGCGAAAGGGAGAAACATGCCAAGAGGAAGGCATGTCAAGCCAACCCTGACCGGGACTGCCTTCTACCTCGAAACCGATACCCTCACTGCGGGAGAACATGTGGATCAAGGATAGGGCTCCACAGCCACCTATGGACCCACAGCCAAGACACATGGAGAAACATCATCCCCAGGCTACAAGAGATCACCTAAGTAAGCAAGTAACTAAATAAATATAAAGAACGCTGCTTGTTTCTGCTTGTGGAGAGTTTTCAGGTCCTTCCATATCTGAACATTTTCACCTTGAAATAGGTGGATGTTATCTGATTCCAAGGAGGTATTCTAGCTTGATATTTGAAGGCAAAAGGTGATGTGTTTATCCATCATTTGACAAACTCATAGATGAATAGGTGGTCTACTATCTCAAATGGCAGATTACTAATAACTATTTTCTGTGATGCGTCTTGCATAGAACAGTAACACTACAGAAAAGATATTACGGATACATTCTAGGACAAGATGAAATCATTTGCCTATTATAAAACACTTAGTTCAGTCCGAAATATCTGTGTCCAATAAGGCAAGAACTATCCCAAAAACTTTTAAAGAAGTGGAAGTTTTTATCAATCAGTGAAATATCGGTCTTATTTTGCTGGGGTGTTCCTTAAGCCCCCAAAAGGAGGGTCCGCCAAGACTTACCCGAGTCAGAGATACAGGAGTTCTTCTTTTCAGCTCTGAGGAAGCTTCACTTAGTTTTCCTCCCTTGTGACTGGCACTGCATTTAAAACATGTCCATCTTATCTGTCCTTTTGATTCAGTGCCACACTCTTTACTCATCAAACAAAGAGAGTGGTACAAATGGCCACAGCTGTTGGAAAGACAAATGATAGCAGTGACATTGTGCACATAGGGTTCTGTAAGCAAGGCTCTGTTCTTTCCTGCAATTATGGGAGTGTAACTAGTTTTTTTGCCTCATGGTGAGGTTCAGGTTAGATGGTCCTTATAGCTAGGAAGTAAGTGCTCCTACTATTCTATATTAATTATAGTTTTCCATCAGACCACTGATGTTGCCTGGAAACACAGATTCCTGTCCTACAAGGCTGAACTCATTTCCAATGCAGCACACTCATTTGTTTCTGCAGTTACTGCTTTTCTGTTTACAGGGGAAATAACCCCCTCCCCAGCAATGTGGCCCCTTGCCTTCCAATACATGGGAACAGGAGGATTGTGTACTATGTGGCCTATGGAATAGCACTACGAGAAGATCTTGTTATCTCTCCTGAAGGAAAGTAACTATCTGGAAAAGGTATTTTATCCCTCAGGTCTATGAGAGGGAGGAAACCCTTGTTCAATGATATATATGTAGAATTTTAAATTACAAAATCTAAGATTACTTGGATTATTATTAGAGGTGTGCAATTTGGCCAAAAGACATCTTGTTTTGGGGCCCATTGTCAGCTAACCCCTCATTCTGTTAAGCAGGAAGTTTTTAAGGGGAGGAGTGTTGCCTTTTTCACCTGGCAAAGATACAACCCATTGGCTACAATGGGAAACTTTAAAGGCTCAATCCTCAGCCATTTTACGGCCTATTTGCATGAAACCAACCTCAGTTTTAGACCCCATTCACAACTGCGGTCCTGCCATTGTTTCAAAACAATTCACCAATATACTAATGTTTTAGAATTATTTTAAGTTTTAACCATAATGTTGTTTTTTTAAATAAGACAAACCACAAACAAGGGTTCTGGGAATTGTAGTCGCCAGTTGTGTCTATTCTCAGCCAATCAGATCATGGACACCACCAGGACTTTTATTGGCTGAGAAACAGAGAGAGAGAGAAACTTCAACTCCTATCATGCTGCAAGAGGAACTCAAGAGACTTTTCAATGCTCGCCCCATGCAAGTGCTGCTGGGAAAGTGAGTTCCCAAGGCCCTTTAAAAAATGGATGGAGGCTGCTTCCCTGCCACAGATATGCAGACTTAACTCCTTCCTCTTCAGAACTGATAAAATCTGGCTCTTTTAATCGGTTTTGCTGGGCTTCTTGTATCCATCCTCTCCATTCTGTTTTCGGATATTATGCAAAACAGCCCACTGAGAACTACAAATCTTTTTCATTCAAACTGATTTGGGCCCAACCCTAATAATTATCATTCTCTTCTTTAGATACACTTCAGACTTACTAGTATAGCTACACTTATATTACAGTTCTTTAGCAGATCTGAAACACATTGTTTTGTGCAATAAGCAGGGAACAGAAATTAAAACAGACAAGCGAATAAGCCTAATTAATTCATATCACTGTTTTAACTGTTATGTAACAGAATTTGATATTGATGTTATTGATACTGTTGGCATTGAATTGTTGCCTGTGTTAGCCACCCTGAGTCCCCCCTCGGGGGTGAGAAGGGCGGGGTAGAAATGGTGCAAATAAATAAATAAAGATTCCACATATCAACAGTGCATATCATAGAGGGTATTAATGATTACGTCCTTCCCTTTAACTAAAATCTCTCAGTGAACAAGTAAGTTTCCTTCTGGAAAGATCTATTCTAATGCTAACAGAAAACATCTTGTTTGCTGGTACAGACCATTTCTGATTCATACACTCAGGGAATTAGTATTAAATTGCTTCTCATTTAGTCAATTAAAAACATTAATTCTTTATTTCTGTTCCATGGCTGGTAACAAAACAGTTTATAGGGCTATGACTTAGATGAAATGAGACCACTCATCTCCCTTGCCAAATTCTAGCTATTGATGGTTGAAGGACGGGGTCACATCCCTGTATCAAAATATTACACTCTGGTGGCTCTTTAAAACTGACAGAAATGGAATATTTAATGACATTAATAAAAAGTTTAGACTAATCCGTAATCCACATTTCAAGACACAATTGTACAGATGGCTGTACAGTTATGAGCCTGTACACAGAGAGCCTCCCTCTCCACTCTTTATTATTTACACTCTTATCTCCACTCTTTATTATTTTCTTTCCGCCAGTATTGGTCACTGTTTATAGGTTTTCTGATCCTTAGTTACCTGAATACTATGATTTGGTCAGAAGTCTCTTGTCTTCTCTTGTATTGCTGCAGACAAATACAGCAGTAATCTTGCTTGGGATTGAGCCCTCTAGTCACAGATGCTTTTAAATTGCGCAAAGACCAATGGAGGTCATGATTGAGTAGGTTGGTTGTTGTCTCCAAAAGAGTCTAGTCAAGCAAAAAGAAGGATACAATAAAGACACCACTCATTCTATTAAGCATGCTACTTACATTCTGCGTGTGGCAAAGCATCTCATCAAAAAGATTAAGAGCAGGAATGACACTTCTAGACATGCACATTCAAAATGCTATCCTTGCGTTCCGGCGGTTCCAGCATTTACCGCAATCTATTTTATGTATTTGATACATTTTCCACAATGCCAAATGTCATCCATTGTAACAGCTTTCTTTAGCGGCAACATCCTTTTTGCAAACAATAACTGCCAAGCCTTATCACGTCTTATCATCTGACTCTATTCCATTAACTTTAAAGTGATTGTTTTTAAATAGCCAAACAGAATCTTGATTATTGAAGGTTGATAATGTTTTCTTCCAAAAGATAAAAACTTAGTGAATAGCCATCCTCTTCTATGTCATCTTTTATAAATTACTAGCTAACAGAGAGACTTCTGGTGCTAATTCCTTGTCAAGTTATCATGTGTCTATAGCAGGCATGGGCAAACTTCGGCCCTCCAAGTGTTTTGGACTACAACTCTCACAATTCCTGGCCTCAGGCCCTTTCCTTTTCTCACTCAGCTGCTTAAATAGGCTAGGTTTTTATACATATGAGATAGCCTTGAAAATTAAAGTACAAAAAGCTATCTACTTTCACAGAGATATGGGTTTGTTTTTTCCATATCAAGAGCGACTTGGGAAACTGCAAGTCGTTTCTGGTATGAGAGAATTGGCTGTCTGCAAGGACATTGCCCAGGGGTTGCCTGGATGTTTTACCATTGTGTGGGAGGCTTCCCTCATGTCCCTGCATGAGAAGCTGGAGCTGACAGACAGGAGCTCACTCTGCTCCCCAGATTTGAACTGCCAACCTTTTTTCAGCAGTCCTGCTGTCACAAGTTTAACCCATTGCACCACCGAGGGCTCTAGGGATATGGATGGAGTCCCCTCACAAAGTGGAAAAACCAGGTTCATCAGTGCAACTCTATGGTCAACATTCAAAGGAAGCCAATGTGAGAAGATACAACAACTTCCAGCAGAAATGGACCATAGATATGCCCTGGAGAACTAAGATTCCAAGACAGAAAATTTTAATAAAATCTGCTAGTAATCAAATTGTTGTTACAAACATCCTGAAAGAAAAAGCAGGAAGCTGAATTGGAACTTAACAGCAGACAGGGTCAAAACAGGGGTAAAAATAAAACAAATGAAAAACAGACCCAGGAGTGCTCTGAATGGGTGTCGTCACCTTCTTGTACTATGTTCAGTTTCCTTAGTAATAAGATCACTAGTGAAAGGCAGTACAAGATATATGTTCTCCCCTGCAACACTGTTTTTTTTAATCTAGGTTTATCCTTTGTTGGAGCTTGTTAAAGTAACAGGAGCGCAGACTAACATGCACTTAAACTGACAGAGGCACAGTCGGCAAGAGAAATAGTAGCACGCAATTATAGCAGGAATAGTGTACTGTCAGCATGTTTCTATTTCATATTAATCATTACCTCCTATTTCTAATATTCAAAGATATAAAGCAAAGAGAGAAGTATCAGCAACCTTGGGGAGCCCTTGTGAAGCACTTGAGGGCGAGACATTTTTTAAAAAGCCCAGTGAGGACTGAAAATGTGTGTTTGGTGGGAGAGAGTAGACCAAAAGAACAAGGGAAAGGAAGGAGAATGGAATAGAAGAATGTATGGTCAGCATTATAGATTATTAAAAAGTTGCATTTCATGCTACCTTGTTTTCTGACAGGCCATATTTTTATATATAAAATGTACGACGATTCTAAACATATAAAAATGCTCGTTAAATTCAATATAACTACTTCCATGTGTTGCTGTTGTTGCTTATTTGTTCAGTTGATTCTGACACTTTGTGACCTCATGGACCAGCCCACGTCAGAGAGCTCTGTCGGCTGTCACCACCTCCAGCTCCTTCAGAGTCAAGCCAGTCACTTCAAGGATACCATCCATCCACCTTGCCCTTGGTCAGCCCTTCTTCCTTTTCCCTTCCTTTTTCCTCAGAATCATTGCCTTCTCCAAGCTTTCCTGTCTTCTCATGATGTGGCTAAAGTACTTCATCATCCAATATCCTTCCCTCCAATATTGTCTCCAATATCCTTCCCTCCAATAAGCAGTCGGGTTTTATTTCCTGAAGTATAGACTGGTTGGATCTTCTCATGGTCCAAGGCACTCTCAGGATTTTTCTCCAGCACCACAGTTCAAAAGTGTCTATCTTCCTTCACTCAGTCTTCCTTATGGTCCAGTTTTCACATCCATAGGTTACTACAGGGAATGCCATTGCTTTGATTATACGGATTTTCGTTGCCATTTTGATGTCTCTACTCTTCACTATTTTATCGAGATTGGTCATTGCTCTCCTCCCAAGAAGTAAACGTCTCCTGATTTCCTGGCTGCAGTTTGCGTCTGCAATAATCTTTGCACCTAGAAATACAAAGTCTGTCACTGCCTCCACGTTTTCTCCATTTGCCAGTTATCAATCAGTCTTGTTGTCATAATCTTGGTTTTTTTTATGTTTAACTGCAACCCAGCATTTGCACTTTCTTCTTTCACCTTGGTTAGAAGGCTCCTCTGCTCCTCCTCACTTTCAGCCTCACTTTCAGCCAAGTGATATCATCTGCATATCTAAGGTTGTTAATGTTTCTTCCAACAATTTTAACTCCAGCCTTGGATTTGTCAAGCCCTGCACCTTGCATTATGTGTTCTGCATACAAGTTGAATAGGTTGGGTGAGAGTATCCAACCCTGCCGTACACCTTTCCCAATCTTGAACCAGTCTGTTCTTCCATGGTCAGTTCTTACTGTTGCTACTTGGTCGTTATACAGATTTCTCAGGAGAGAGACAAGGTGATTTGGTATCCTCAAACCACCAAGAACTTGCCACAATTTATTATGGTCCAAAGGCTTTAGAATAGTCAATAAAACAGAAATAGATGTTTTTCTGAAACTCCCTGCCTTTCTCCATTATTCAGTGGATATTGGCAATTTGGTCTTTCATTCCTCTGCCATGTGATGATAATGTAAAACCATCAATGCAAAAAATCCAGCACAAAAAGAGGAATTTAGAGTAATCTAGTGTCAAATATTGGGGAAATATCTGTGACCCAAAAACAGTCTGTGTGTAGGTCCTAGATGATTTACCACCAGCCTTTTCAAAGCTTATCTTTTATGCAGGTTTTCTGCTACTCACAGGCTGGAATGATTGCTGCTTTGGCAGCACTCCAAAATTAACTCCTTTGTAGATCTGATCAGCTGCTACTTCTGTGCCATATTTCATTTTCAAATAGGTTTCACTCTCCCCGGGAATAATGACAGCATCGTACAGATTTAGCTATGTGGTAATTATCACTGAAGGTGAACCAAGCTGTCACTTTGAAGTCTGACTCGGTTGGCTGACAAAAGTCAGTGTGTCACTACTAATACAAAAGGGAAAGAGAAAAGAAATAGGGCAACGGTAGCTGATCTGGCCCATAAAAAGACTGTCCTTTAATGCAGTTGGTGTCTTGAGAAAAAAAATATATGCCAGAAATAGAAAAGGAAACCCATTTTTTCCATAGAAGAAAACTATGGAAAGGTCCCCCTACTTTGCTTCAGCCCTAGTTTGTAATAATTACATTGACTTATCTTGCCAATCAAAAATATCTAGTTCTATATTAGTGCTGCATCAATGTACCGCCACATCATGCAATGGAACAGAGTTTAAGAAAAGCAGGAGATAGAAGGACACACAAATAACATGTTATATGGGGGTGGTTATATGGGATCGTATTTGAAAGACCAAATACGATCCCTGGGGAAGGTAATGGCAACCCACCCCTGTATTTTTGCCTTGAAAACTAAATGGATCAGTACAACTAGAGATATGCCGGTATTGACCTTGAAGGAGCTGGGGGTGGCCATGACCGACAGGGGGCTCTGGTGCGGGTTAGTCCATGAGGTCATGAAGAGTCAGAAGCGACTGAACGAATAAACAACAACAAGTGGAAGTAGTGAAGGTTATGTGCAAAGTGATTTACCAGCAAAAATATCAACTTCTGATGAACTTGTATACAAATTCTCATTAAGGACACCTAAATGGGAAAACAAACATTGTGATGTACATGTGCTGTGAGTTTTTCCCACTCTTCTCCATGCTCAGTTTTTGTGGGGTCATGAAAAATATGGCACTAGTAAAAGGTTTCTGAACACTAGCCATTTACACAAATCTGTTAGTAACAACATGTAGTGCTTACAATGGACCTTGCAGAAGTATTCCACAAAAAAGAAAATTAGCCTGATTAGCAAGCCTTGCAAATGCTGAAATATTATGAATAAACATTTTATTGTTATACCTATTTCATATACCCAGAGTCAGTCATGGAAAAAAATTAAGATGAAAAGTGGTCGCGAGTGAAAAAAGGTTAAGCTCTGAATCAGATAATAACATTGTACAGAAATTTTTCTGCTACAGAAATGGAAGTATTGTTCTGAAAAAAGTATGCGTTCTTCTGTCTGTATAAGACAAAATCTTATCAATGAAGTAAAGTTCAGTAGCTTTGGGGGACAGTATGAATTAATTACAGCATCTGTAGGTAGGACTGTCTCTGTTGATCCTTTAACACAATTTCTCTGTGGATCTTTCCCTTCTTTAGGGCAAGAAATCGCTTGCTATTCTGAGAAATTGAGTTAATGCCTAAAGCTCCCATAGGAAAACATGGCTGCAAGTCAAGTGAGCAATAAGCACTTCTTTCTATTTTGGGCTCCAAACTGCCTATACATTTTTCTATGGAAAATGTTTCAAAGATCAAACGGCTCTGTAGTATGAACAGCAGCGACCGTTAAACAATATTTTCATTTTGAAAGGAAGAAAGGAACTGCAATTTTCCATTTCATTGCAGGAAGATGCTATCTTTATCTTACATGAAGAGATAAAATAGAAAAAACACAGTTTCTACTAAAAGAAATTGGCACAGGAAAGAACCAAGATGTATATTTGCATCTGTATCTCTGGAATATGAAGAGAGCAGCAAAATCAAACATATGCTTCATTAATACATAGAATCTGAATGTTTGTAACCTAAGAGAGGGTTGATACAATCGTCATCTGAGATAATAGGTTTGAACAGAAAATTCCCAGTGAAGACCTAACATGAAAGTAGTAACATCGAGTTTAAAAATAACTAGATAATCGACTCTTTAAACATTAATTCCTTAGCTTTTCATACCATTCTTTTTGGATTTATCATAAAAGTCCTGGGCCTTTATGACTGATGTTAACCAATACCTTTGTAAGATACCATCAGTCCTTCTGGGTTTTTCCACCTGAATCTGTAGCCTTTCTTCTTAAGTTTATCTGTCAGGAAAAAGTAATCTTTTCTTTATTGTCTGAGGTGGAAGTTGTCTGTAATCCTGGTATTTCCTATTTCAACTAAATTTTTGGCGTGAGCTTGCAAAACTTGATCTTGTACTTTCTTTCTTGTAGATAACACAATCACTTCTCTTGGATGTTTATTCTTTATTGCATGTTGGGATTGGACCCTAAAGGTCCTGTCAATTTGAGTCTCGCCCACTTGCTCTGGTCTACCAAGGATTCCAGCCACAACTTGTGTTATTGCCATATCAAGTTCCTGTACAGATTACGGTATTTCTCTCAACTTCAGAGTATTCTCTTTGCGAATATTCTAATCTTTGGAGTTGGATTGAACCTCTTTGGAAATCCATTTGCATCTTCTTTTGTGCTTCTTCAATTATCTTTATTTTATGTTTTTGCTGTTTCTGCTGCTTCAAAATGCCTCTCATTGTGTCTGCCATCTGTTGCATATCTTTCATCGTCTCTTGTTGAACTTTATCTAAATAATCTTCAGTTTGTGTAATTCTCTTGTCAATCTTTACCTCCAAATTTTTCATTCCATCTGTAATGATTCTTAATTGTGTCAAGATTTCCTACATTTGATCATCTTCTTGTGGAAGAGATAATCTCCCAGAAGCTTCTTTTGAATTTTGGTCTTGTTGACATTGCAATGATTTATATAGTCAAGCTGTCATTTTAAAAAAAGAGAGATGTCTGATTTTTGAAGATTTGTTGTAGTGCCTTGTTTGGCCACTTTCACTTTCAGTATGCTGTTGCTTACAGCGCTTTTAATAGTTTCCCTTTTTTTTTTTGTATTTCAAGTTGTATTGCAAGCTGTATTTCAAGCTCTACAGTTTTCTCTATAATTTTCTCTGTGGTTGATCTCTATGGTTACTTCCTGTCTTATTTCCTATTTGGAATCAATCTAGAGGTTCCATGTGGTCCCAGGATATTATGACTACCAAATTTTTACATATGTTAAACAATTTTACTTACCACAGTTCTTATAGCATAATCTTTAACAAATTAATTCATTTTAACCCTTTGTAGTTGGTCTAACCAGATAGTTTCATCTGGCAGACTTATAAAATTCTTGAAGAATAGTTTCACTAATTAGATGTTTAAAGTCATTTTTTATCTCTACAATTTCCAACAGAGGAAAAATGAATACAGTTACCCCTCAGATTTTTGTCCATGAAGTTGGCAAGCTTACAGCAGATTTAGGGGCATCTTTTAGTTTGTTTTCTTCGACCTTATATAAATATAGTATTTTAAGAAGTGAACCGAAGCTGCTTCTGACTGCATGACAACGTCATTGGGAGTATGCGATGTCTCTCCCTACTTACATAAAACTTTGATAAAACTTTATTTGTATCCCGCCCTATCTCCCCGTGGGGACTCAGGGTGGTTTCCAACACAACAGGCAAATATTCAATGCCTATATACAATGAAAACCATAAAAATTTATCCTTTCTCCCCTTTTCCTGTTTCAGTGGGGAAGGCGATATCCTTTTGAGTCTTGAGGGGTTTATGTCCGTCCTTTTTCTTTCTGAAAAAGGATTTCTCAACTCTGTATGGTTGATAAACTCCCAAGCAGGATTTCGTTTCGGGGGGGGGGGGGCTGAATTTTTTTCAGGGGGGTTTCGGGGGGGCTGAGTTTTGGGGGGGGGCTGAGTCTGAGTGAAAGAGGGTCTAGCCTAGCAAACCTTTTGTATCATTACCCCAATACCCCCATGCATATGGGATATATTGAGTATGGTGATCAGATCATGATATGAATAAACATAACAGTTTAAATAATGCACCAGTAAGGCCTTTTCGCGGACCACCATGAGAATTTTGGGGGGGGGGGGCTGAAGCCCCCTGAGCCACCCCCCGGGCTACATGCCTGCTCCCAAGGATGTCCCAGAGCTCAGCCAGCTCACCGAGACTGCTCACAGCTCCATTTTCTTCACCAGAAGTGACCATTTGTCCTTCTTAACCCTTAACATCACTTCTAATACTTAAAATGCAATCTAATTAAAATACAATTGACTTAAAATTCAACCAATTGAAAATACTTTTAAATTAAAATGAAAACACAATGGGCTAATCTGAAGGACAGACAAGCCCCAAAGTGTTTGGCTGCGATCCATCTAAACTTGTATCACCAAAGAGGGTTCCACATTTTGACAATTTCTGAATTTTGACAGTGCAAATGAAAAGAAATGAAAACAGGGAGGTACATTAGTGACAAAACTGAACTAAGAAGTTATAACATAGAATAGACTTTCCCTTGAGATTTTGGAAAGTCATTGCAAACTGGATTCTCCGAGGCCCAATTTTCTGAATCACTACAAGAGAAACATTGGTGGAGGATAAATACCATACAGATATCATTTTACCTAATGCAACATGAAGCTGTTTATAAGACTATGCCTAAACATAGATACCAGTATTTAATAATTCATTAAAATTAAAGGAGATTCAGAACTTGGAACATTCATTCTTCATTCCTGTTACTTGTTATGGCATTTGAGAAATAACTCATGGTTGTAACATTTAAAAGAAATTGTATTAGAAATTCCATTGCTGTGAGTATTTTTTGTTATCCCTTTAACAAGCCATTTAGGACTACTAAGGAATAGAATAAAGGATTGAGGGTAAATCCTGCCAAAATGTATTTTTAAAAGCCTTAAAATCTTCATTAAAAGTACGGTAATTTTTGAACAAACTAGAAATCATGTAGTCCAGCAAAGTAGTAAAATTGTTCCTTTTTGTTGCAACAGCTTCCGTTAACCCTCATTTGTAAGGAGTACTTACTGTCTTCTTGTGGTCTTTTTCTGAGGAAAATGGCAATCAAATAATGTTTTGTCATTGTCAGTGCTAAAGAAAGTTGAGGCAGCCCCAATTTTTGAACAATATAATTTTTAAAAACAGGTGAGAAAAAGATCACTTTACTTACTTGCTCATAATTAAAGCTGTCTAGCATACCCAGCACAAGACCTTGAATTTCTCCAAGTTTTCCTCTTCCGTACACTGGATCCTGTTTAAAAATATTATAAATGTAAGTTGATCTATGTTTATGTAAATAGCACACTATTATTTTATTATTTATTATTTTAAGTATTTTAGTATCATCGTCTAGCCACAGGTGATCCTGAGGTGATGAACAGATAAAAATAAATGAGAGGAGTGTTTCTCAAACTGTGCTCCTCCAGGTGTTTTGGAATTCAGCTCCCAGAAATCCCAGCCATCTTAACAGCTCCCACAATTCCTAACAGCTGGTAAGCTGGCTGGGATTTCTGGAAAATGAAGTCCAAAACACCTGGAGGAGCAGAATTTGAGAAACACTGGTCTACAGGAAACTAAGACACAAACTACTGTGGACATATCTAGTCTGGCCGAGAAAGTTCACAGCAGACACACCAGTTGAAGCTAGGCAAAAGTACTGGCCACCACAGCAACATGGCTTTCCAGGAGCAGTACTGTATCCAAGAGCACTCCCAAATTATAAAACTGATCTTTCTAAATAATAAAGGAAGAGCAAGTTCTGGACTTCAGCTCCCACAATTCCTAATAGCTGGTAAGCTGGCTGGAATTTCTGGAAACTAAAGTCCAAAACACCTGGAGGAGGAGAGTTTGAGAAACACTGGTCTATTGAAAACTAAGCCACCACAGCAATATGGCTTTCAAGGGGTAGCACTGGCTCCAAGAGCACCCCCAAGTTATAAACTTGATCTCTCAAAGGGAGAGCAACTCCATTAGAACAAGCTCTGATCTCAATCCTGGGTTGGTTTTCCAACTGATCAGCAGCACATACTTGCATCTGGATTAACCCTCAGTCTGCTCATCCATATCCAGTCCTTTACCGCATTCAAAAAATGATTCAGTGCTACCACAGCTTCCTTAGCATCAGTCATAAAGGAGAGATAGAGCTGGCTATCATCAGCATACTGATGACACCCAACATCAAAGCTTCAGCTGACCCCTCCTAGTGGGTTCATGTATATGTTGAAAAGCATGGGACAGCCCTGACCCCTATGGAGCCCGTGATGGGCCAAAAGTCCCCAAGCACCACCCCTGGGAATGTTCAATCAAAAAAGACCAGAATCATTGCAAAGCAATGCTCTCACATCCCCTATTATATAAACAACGCAGAGGGAGACTGTGGTTGATGTTATCAAATGGTACTGGAAGATCCAGGACCAACAGGAACACCTTCCCCCTCTCCAAATCCCAGTGTAGTCATCTACCAAGGTGACCAAAGCTTTTTCTGTCTCATAATCAAACCTGAACCCAGATTGGAATGGGTTGAGGTAATCCGTTTCATCCATGAAGGCCTGCAGTTGTGTGACCACCATTGGTCTAGCACTTTAATCATGGAGGAAGATTAGAAACTGCACAGAAGAGAGGTGTGGTCCAATGATTTTTTTCAACAGTGTTCTCACAATTATTTATTTTGCTACAACTACTTTAGAGTGAAAGCGAAAAGGAAATGCATTTGTTTGATACCTATTTATTTATTTCGTATCGAAACCATTGCATAAATTAGTATAAAACTGATAAAATAGAAGGTGTGCAGGTGGCTAAATATCTTTTGACAAAAAAACGGGCAACAGCAATGGCATTGTCTGTAGCCTCCAACAATTCTTCTTCTGTACATGAGGCAGGGCATAGCGGACAAGCGTACAGATGCAGGGTAGTCTGTTCTGCTCCACAATCACATAAGGTGTGGGATTCTTTTAGGTTGTGCCATTTTGTCAGGTTGTCTTTTGATCAGCCCACTCCACTTCTGAGTCTATTCAGGGACTTCCAAGTTGCCCATTCTTGGTTTGTCCCTGGAGGAAGACCCTCGTGGAGGGCCATCCAGTTGGGATTTTCTGGTCTAGCTGCCCAGAGGGATACCCTTGCTATTGCTGGGTATTTTTTGATATCTATTGACACTTTTGATTAGAAAAAAGTATCACCTCTTACCTAATCAAATTGGCAGAACATACAACATGAAGGGTTAAATCTATATCTTCTAAACAGAGTCAGTGCACAAATAAAACTATTCACAGATCCACTGAGTACATATTCAAAAGCCTGTGAATATGTTATGAAGGTAATTCTTTATACCTCTTGTGGGTTTGTTAAAAACATTGCTTCCAAGGTCATTCACTAATAGCATTTATAACCATCCTACATAAGACTGTTATGAAACCACCTTGCCCTTGGAAAAATTCTACTTTAACTGACGACAGTCTCTTCCTTTCCTTCCATATGCAATTGCTAAAGCAAAGAGAGAACAAATTCTCTAGTGCACTCAAAGAGTCTCGAAGATTTCTTTTTTAAAGAAGTTTTGGTTTAGTCATGTGTGAGATATAATTATAGATGGGTTACATGCTGCCTCATGAGAAAAGGTCAACAGGATTTTCATTATTTACAATTCTGTCGTAATCTTAAGACTTCTTATAGCTCTCTGTTTAATTTTTAAAAGATTGAAGTTGTGGTAAAAACACACAGCCATAAATGCAATTTGAAGCATGATCTCAGGCTCAAAAACAAAGTATTTAATTGCTTTTTGAAATGAATGTAGAGGATGGGTATGGGCACCCTTGTTAAATCTGTGATTGGCACATGGGCAATTCAACCATAGCAGAAAAATTATTATAAAAACTAAAGAGTGCAAATTGTCGGCAAACATTAAAAGCAGTATTTTCTTCTACACAGAGGGTGATTTATCCATTTGAACAAATAGTTAAATATGATTACCTTTGGGAAATTGGATGAGATCAATGTTGCAAACAAACTTTCTAGGGAAAGTGTGAGCTTTATATAGTAACAGAATAACTGAATGAATTAATTTATAAAACTGGAGCATGTATCAGTGATGCTTCATAATTAATTCATGAACTAAATGAGCCTGTACCACTACATGGGTTGCTGTGGATTTTGAACAAAAATTTAAGCTCATTCAACATTCTTCTAAGTGCCAGGACACCTGCATAATTCAGGACTTCTCCAAGCCATACAGACTGTGCTCATGGGCCAAATATTAAATGCGGATTAGCAGCTATATCAGCAACAGTAAAGTAGACCAAAATGCTATCTCTTGTGCAAAATGCCTATTCTAAATATCCTTTTCTGCATTTTTCCTATTTCCAATTTGATGCTAACTCATATGTAGCAGATAGGCTCTAATCCAGTGTTTCTCAACCTGGAGGTCGGGACCCCGGGGGGGGGGGACACGAGGGGGTGTCAGAGGGGTTGCCAAAGACTATCAGGAAACACAGTATTTTCTGTTCGTCATGGGAATTCTGTGTGGGAAGTTTGGCCTGATTCTATCATTGGTGGGGTTGACAAATCCCAGCAACTACAACTCTCAAATGTCAAGCTCTATTTTCCCCAAACTCCACCACTGTTCACATTTGGGCATATTGAGCATTGTGCCAAGTTTGGTCCAGATCTATCATTGTTTTAATACACAGTGCTGTCTGGATGCTCTCCTGCCAAGTTTGGTTCAATTTCATCATTGGTGGAGTCCAGAATGTTCTTTGCATGTTGGTTAACTATAAATCTGAGCAATTACAACTCCCAAATGACAAATACCCCCAACAGTATTGGGTATGTGTGCCAAATTTGGTCCTATGAATGAAAATAAATGCATATCGGATATCTACATTACAATTCATAACAGTAGCAAAATTAAAGTTATGAAGTAGCAGCGAAAATAATCTTATGGCTGGGGGTCACCACAACATGAAGACCTGTAATAAGGGGTTGCTGCATTAGGAAGGTTGAGAACCACTGCTATAATCAAAAGTTAGCTGAAAAATGATTGCCCATGACCTCAAAAATTACTGATTATCTAAAATCATTGTCAGCAACATATCTCTTTATTTGAGAAGGTTCTGCATTAGGTTCCTTAATTTCTGTTTTGGTTCTGATTTTTTATTTAGGTCAACCTAAACCTTATGCGAAAGGTATATCCTCACAAACATGGTTGTGTCTTTTGGGGTCACATTCAGCTTCCAGTAACTGCATTCTATTTAACATGTATAATTTAAAAGCAGCAGCACTGAAAGCACAGCATGCTGAGGCACCATATAAATTATGGAGAACAACTGGGAAGTCGGGGCCCTTAACACAGCATGTACGTAATCCATGACATACAGCAATCTATTTTTATCTGTCAGAGAGTCCACTATTCTCTTCTGATGCACTCTCTCACACACTGCGTATATGTCAAGGGAAGCCAAATAATACTTAGAAGGAAAACTGAAAAAGAAACAAACTGCCATCGAAAAGAAGGCTGTTGCCTGAAGACTCCATCATACAAACTTGTACTTGTATAGACCATTTTGGAAATCTCATATTAAGCTAGTAAGGTATTTGGGATATGATCATTTCAATACACTATATAGATAACCGGTGATGTGCCTTTGAAAGAGCAACTTGTCTGAATAAAATTGGTGGCACACTTTTAATTCCAGTTTCTCATATTGTACTCGCTTGTATATTGTACATATTTTGGAATGACAGTTCGATTTAGAAAAGAAAAACAAGTCAGAGCTGTTAATTTAGTAGCACAATAATGTGTGCTGCTCAGGCAAGAGAGAATGTGGCTGGCAAGAAACAGCAGCATCAGCTGGATCCCATTGAGAAGCAGTAGAGAACTCCCATTCCCAGTTTAGTTGCCATGAACTTTGTAAAGGCCCTCCAGAGCTGTGGTGAGTCCAAACAGGAGCCCCTGAGACTATTAATGGTATGAGCTCAGAGTAAGCCTGGAGAAATAATGATTTGTAGGATAGAGGTCAACAAAGAAATAGACATCTTTGTGGTTCGCCACTGCAAGTCAATCCTATTTGCATGGAACAGGTCCTTGTGGAGTAAGGTGTAAATCTCTTCCCTCGAGGTTTGAGTGAGTGGTAAACTAAATATTGTTAAGTGTGGGGGTAGCAGGTACCACTCACTCAAACCTTGAGGGAAGAGATTTACACCTTACTCCACAAGGACCTGTTCCATGCAATATAGCCTCTTAGTATCATGGAAAGAAGCCATTGGTCTGTAATAATGCTCTGCCCTGCAGTAGTGAAGACTGAAAGCTTGTCTCCAAAAGGTGGGATGGAAACACCAGGATGCACCATCAAAGGTGCTGATAGGAAGAATTTGAATATTGCTTGCTGGAGGATGACTTGAACTTCTTATGTTGGAAATTTAATTTAATTTAAAAAAATTATATCCCACCCTTCTCAACCCTGAAGGGGACTCAGGGCAGCCTTACAAAGGCAACAATTAAATACCATATATTAATGTATGTAAATTGTATGAAAGGAAGGAAGAGGTCTCAGAGGATGGTCAAGAACAGTGGTTCTCAACCTGTGGGTCCCCAGGTGTTTTGGCCTACAACTCCCAGAAATCCCAGCCAGTTTACCAGCTGTTAGGATTTCTGGGAGTTGAAGGCCAAAACATCTGGGGACCACAGGTTGAAAACCACATGGTCAAGAGGATTTCTGCTTCAAGGGCTTTGAGGCAGTATCAGTAAGGTCTGTATTGACACAAAGGAAAACTTTAAAGAAACTAAGATTATTTTGTGGTGTGCATCTTTTGACAGTGGTCCGGTTTGTCCATTTGTGTTGGTGTACAAAGCTGAAATTTATTAAACTGCATATCTTTGATCTTGACCAGGGTATGTAAGGAAAGTGTAGAGGATCATAACTTTGTATGGTGCTAAAGAACAAATATTACTAGGAGAGCAGTAAGGATTTGCCTCCCTTCATTCCTGCTAATTCTTTCTATTTGGTTTTACTATTTAAAATTGAATTTGGTAATATGGGTTGGTTTTAATAATTTTATGTACTTATTTTTGTAAGATACTGCATATCCCTTCCTGGCAATATTAGATCAGCCCCCTCACTCCTGTCCTTCAGAAGGATGGTGAAGACCTGGCTAGGGGACCAAGCCTTTGGGCAGTGCAATGAGGCAATAATAGAATGGTGTCCTGAGATGGTTTTTAAGCAACTGATTTTAAAGAGGATGTAAGTAATTTTAATGTTTGTATATATTTATGGTTTTATGTCCCGGCATTGAATGTTTGCAGTATATATGTTGTGCTACACCCTGAGTCCCCTGCAGAGTGAGAAGGGAAGAATATAAATGTTTTAAATAAATAAGGAACTCAAGCATAAAGATCTAAATATACAATACATTGTATATACATGAAACACGCGTGGAACATAATATAACAACTAATATAGAACTCAATCAACTGGCTCCCAGAAAACTGTCCACTAAAGGAACTTGGGTTTGACCCAAATGCTGCTACAGGACCAGATGCCTGAAGAATACTTGAAGACCTCATCTGAAACCTATATATATATATATAGAAATGTTATTGAACTGTAAAGGCAAGTACAGGGCACTCTTATGCTATCACTGACTGAAGGGGCAAGCATACAAATTAGCCAACTGTGTCTGACCAAAAGTCTATTTTGTAAAGAAAACTGATGAACTATATCATTCAAAATCCCAAGAGATTCCACAATTTAGCACATAAATGGTCACTATATCAGTAGAACACATATTTCAGTGTCTTCTCCAGTATTAAAGGCCACAGTGGAATTAAAATAGACATTGATTTTTGTTCTAATGCTGCTTATTCCTCAGAAATGCATGCATTTTAATTCCAGCAGATTTGGAATGCTTATAAGCACACCAAATTGCCATGTTATGCTGAAATGTCCTCAGGTACAGCTCTGACTGTCCTGCAACCATATAGAAATAAATAATATTAACATATCCTGATTCTTGAACATCTATATATACATTGAGGCATCAGAATTTATCGCATTTTAGAACATTCATAAGGGATTATGTCTTTGTGAAAGATTTAATGCTTTACTTTTCATCTCACTTTAGATAACATTCACCTACTTAATGGGATAAACTTCCTGTAATGCCCCAAAGGTTCTCCTAGCATCATTTCCAAACACTTCATGTTTCTTTTAAACTAATGCTACTAAATTCTCTGATGAGACAGATTAAGAATTCAAATCTAATGTTATTCACATTTAATAAAGTTTCAAATACATCTAGAAAGGGTCAATGCAAATGTGAAATCATAGCTCTGTTGTTTTTGCAGAAAACATTACAATATTCTTGTCGCATTTGGAAGATGCTTCTCAATCACATTTAGAATGAAGCAAGCGGCAAAAAAACGACCTTGTTAAAATGAAAACGCAAAGATTATTATAAAACCTCTTCTAACCTGAAATGCCAATTAGAATATAAATACCATCAACCTTTTACAAATTGATAATCCACCTTGTTATATATTATTTCCTTACCACAGAATTATATTCAGAGTCAGTAAACAGTACACCATGCATTTGCTAAATGCATTTGACTTATTATTTGAATGCCAGTAACAATTATTTCCACCACTATCTGAAGGCACCAACAGTAAGAGAGACCTCAACCAATTGTGTGGCACATATGCAGTGTGACACATGCTGTCTCAGAAGTTTAACATTAAATACAGACATACCAGCAAGGATTTATTCCTACGCGACAAAGGAAATTGTGGCACAATAAATAAGTTTACTTACTCCATCTTTTGCACTAGAACTAATGAGATCATTTTCCTACAGCTGGTTGTCTTTTGGTTTGGCTTATCATCATGTATACATTCTAACTCAAACTAACAAGCAGCTTGTTAAATCAGATTTTTCAGACTTTCCCTCTAAAGCTATGCTACAGAAGGTATATGGCTCACTTTCCAAATTACTGTTGACAGAAGGATATGTTCACGTTGTAAAGAAAGCACTGCTTTGGATAAAACTAAATATTATAAATCCAGATGTTGCAAGTTTGATTTGACAATCACACAGAGAAAACATACTACTCCTCGGGGAAATTATGTGACAAACAAAAGGTGGGGAAAAATAGATTGCTCATCTGTATCTGTAGTTCTTCAGATGGTCATCTGTGAATATGGGAACACAGAATCATAGAGTTGGAAGAGACCTCATGGCTACCCAGTCCAACCCCCTGCCAAGAAGCAGGAAAATCGCATTCAAAGCACCCCCGACAGATAGCCATCCAGCTTCTGCTTAAAAGCCTCCAAAGAAGACACCTCCACCACACTCCAGGGCAGAGAGTTCCACTGCTGAACAGCTCTCATATTTAGGACATTCTTCCTCATGTTCAGGTGGAATCTCCTTTCCTGTAGTTTGAAGCCATTGTTCCGTGTCCTAGTCTACAGGGATGCAGAAGACAAGCTTGCTTCGTCCTCCCTATGACTTCTGATGACCCAGAAAACATGGTGGAACTCTGTTTTCCTAGCTATCTTTCTTCACTCTGGTTCCAGAGCATCAGTTGGTGCTGGGAGGAGGGGCTCCCAACCTCTCGCTATACCTATACCACAGCAGGCCTGGGTGAACTTGGGCCCTCCAGGTGTTTTGGACCCCAACTCCCACCATTGATAACAGCCTCAGGAATCTCTGTACCTGACACAGACCATCTCAACATTACATACCACACATGCTTTGTATTGTTCCTACTCAACCCGCCTAAGTTCCATGTCTGCCAGCATGCAAGGAAGTCCAGCACAGTTAGAGAGTTGAGGCAGGTGGGTTGCAGGAGTTTACAAATGACCACTTGAAGAATCACAGTTACAATTAAGCAACCTGCTTTTCTTATTCATGGTCTTTGTGATTCACACATATGAGAGATTGGCAAGCTAGATACACCTAGATAGAGGATGGCTATGCTTGCAACAACTGAAGCACAGACAAGCCAAAAGAGGGAGAGGCTCTGGCCCAAACCTCCCCAAGTCATAACTGTTTCACACAAAGGTGAGTGGCTGAGCCCAAGCAGCTGTTTTGACATATCAAGTCAAGAATACAGATGAAGTGGAGACAGCCGTCATGGAATGAAAATGGATAAAAGAAGTCTCAGGCTTCCAGCAGTCTGATGGGAAACCACTATATATCAAGCAAATGGAGAGCCTGCATAGTACAGGGAGTCCCCAAGTTACGGACAAGGCTCTGTAGATTTGTTCTTAAGCTGAATTTATTTGTAATTTATTTGTAAGTCGGAACAGGTACATTTTTAAGTATAACTCCAGTCATATATATATATATATATAGAGAGAGAGAGAGAGAGAGAGAATGCTTTGGATAGCATAAGGAAGGGTTAACACCCTTGTGGTGTTTGTTTTGCTGTCTGTGCCCGTGTTTGAAAGATTACCCCTCACTTTCCATCCCTGTGATCATTGGATTTTAAAAAAATTGGCTTGTCTTGGAAACAAGGATTGATGATAAAGCTTCAATGGAGACACCTTTTCCCCATGACAATAACTCTTCTGAGAGTTAATTTCCCTTCTGAGGGGTAGATTTCTGTCACTTCCTGTTGTCTTACCCCCGCTCTTAACTATGAGTCATTTGTAAGTCAGATGTTTGTAACTCAGGGACTGTCGGTATACTGGTTTGAGTGTTAGACTAGGATACTGGGAGACCAGAGTTCAGTTCCCCAGTTGGCCATGGGAATGCACTGGATGAAACTGGGCAAGTCAATTCTCTCGGCCTTAGGGGAGTGCAAGGGCAAATCCTTTCTGAACAAACTGCCAAGAAAGCCCTGTAATGGGTTTGCTTTAGGGTTACCATATGTCAGAAATTACTTGAAGGCACACAACATCAGGCAGGTGAGTAATACCATGTTAAGGGGATATTTTAATTTAACTGTACATAAGTATCTGAGGTTTACTTAAAGTTAGTAACACACACACACACACACACACAAAGATGACTGACAGAAAGTATGTTGAACTGTTACATTATTTTCTCTCCATAGCTCACCTGTAAAATTCTCTGCAGGATCAATGGTAAAGCAATGAACGCTGCCATATTGTTCAGCACTTGCATTGTCAAATTCTTCAAAACTAGAACAATAAATACTGCAAAATCAAAACCAGCAGGAGCAAAACTAGTTTTTTTTAAAAAAAAATACAATGAGGAATGCATAGGAATGGATTTTCTACTGCATGTTGCTACTGAACTGAGAAAATTCTTTATTGTGTTTGATTTATGATGAGTTTCTGTACAACCATAATCAAATATGTTTCAGTTCAATAGATATTTTCCCTGGGTTCTCCCAATATTAAAATTACAGCTACAGAGAGAAGGTGGTTCAATAATGATCTCTGAAGGAAAATGCACAACTCCTGAAAAATGGTATTACTGAAAAAATATTTCCAATGTCATATCCCATACATCAAGGGCTAAGTTCAATATCAGTCCCAATGAGAGTAAGGAGCCGTAAGTTTATTGTAACTAATAACTGTTCATTGATTCCGTTCTAAATAGGATTAAGACTGGATTTAGCTCCAAACTGTTTTAAGAAGAAATCATGACTTTACAATAGCTAACAAAACAGCTGAGATAATTTGGGTATATAATCAACAATGTTCTACTATCAGGCCATGCTGGCTGGGGGGTTCTGGGAGCTGTAGTCCAAAAAGTAACTGTTCTAAGCTTCGATTCAAAGTTAATGTACAATAATTGATACATATTTCATCTCTACAATACCAACTTAAAAAGAAAGGTCCAGAGTCTCTCACCAGATGCAGGTGAAACGTCAGGAGAGAATGCTTCTGGAACATGGCCATACAGCCCGGAAAACACACAACAACCCAGTGATTCCAGTCATTAAAGCCTTCAACAACACATCTCTCAACATCCTTCATTATTCATGACCCTTGGGTGGCGCAATGGGTTAAACCCTTATGCCGGCAGGACTGAAGACTGACAGATTGCAGGTTCAAATCTAGGGAGAGTGTGGATGAGCTCCCTCTGTCAGCTCCAGCTCCCCATACGGGTACATGAGAGAAGCCTCCCACAAGGATGGGAAAACATTTTTAAAAACCATCCAGGAGTCCCCTGGGCAACATCCTTGTAGACGGCCAATTCTCTCACACCAGGAGCAACTTGCAGTTTCTCAAGTCACTCCTGACACACACACACACACAATTATTCAGCTGGAAAACAGTCAAAACTTCAAAGTTATGATGGAGATCAATGTACTTACATTCTGAGTAATGGCCCAACAGCGTAGAACTAGATGACCTTTTAGGGGACATCATTGCCTCCAAGAGTGGAAACCAAAGAGCCTAGAAAAAAAAAATTTTAAGGAATCTAATGAGCTCTAGCTTGCTCACCTGAATGAGGCAATAATTTCACTGAAAAACAATGTACTTTCCCCTGGGCTTTTTATAGGATGCTGCTAAGTATACTTCTAACTGAGAGTCAAAACAGGTAAGTACTTTTATAAAGGAATGCATATCTGGATCAGTGTGGGGGGGGGGGGGAAACAGTGCAAAGGAAGGTATACTTTTGATGGACTCCATGGTCAGTGATCATGTTTTGCACATGGCGCTCGGCGCCGGAATGCTTTGCGTAATGGGGTTAGGATGGTGGTCTATCTAAGGTCAGTTGCCCCTCTTAGGTGCCTCTTTACATTGTTGCAATGTGACCCAGCCTCCCGCCCTCAGTATAGTGAGAATTTACTGATTGCTTGGGATTTTTTTACCACTCCCATACTGCATCTGAGGGATGTTGATAATTGGTCCAAGGTGGTGTCTTTAAATAGGCTGTCATTGGCAGGTAATGAAGGGAGACTTCAGTGTACAACCTTACCAGCCTTTTGGTGGCACAATGGGTTAAACACTTGTGCCAGGAGGACTGCTGACCGAAAAGTCAGTGGTTTGAATCCAGGGAGCCAGGTGAGCTCCCATTTGTCAGCTCCAGCTTCCCATGCAGGGACATGAGAGAAGCCTTCCACAGGATGGTAAAACATCCAGGTGTCCCTTGAGCAACGTCCTTGCAGAGACCCAGTTCTCTCACACCAGAAGCAATTTGCTTCAAGTCGCTCCTGACATGGAAAAAAAGCCTTTTGGTGACAAGTAGGGCTCTGGAATAACCCATGTCCTATGACTGGGGGTGGGAAAATGGTCCACTTTGGAGGCTGCCCTGGGTATTTTGCTCTCATCTATAAGGTCCTGTGACTTGGACCTTATAGTCTTATCCCCAGTAAGTAAGGAGCTAGGAAGCAAACCAGCTATTGGATTGCTCTTGAGGGTCAGAGGTTTCACCCAAGGGAAGACTGTGGAGCTTGTCTCAGGGTAGATAACTGGCCTCAACTAGACCCACATCAGATTACTTCCCTGTTGCTAGTTCCAGGCCCAATTATAGGATAAAGTGGCTTTTATTTAACCCAACTTTTTTGTGTTTTGTTATTCCATAGTTGGTTGTCAGTGGCTGCTCCTGAAAGTAGTCATCACATACAAAACTTGCATCATATTCAATGTTTCAAAGCCTCAGCTCCACATCACTGATTGCCAATAGTGGGATCATTCAAAATTGTAACTCTGCAATATCGCAACAAAAATAAATTCTGCTGCTGGGTGTTATAAAAAGGTAGGGAGCTAGTTGACCATTTTGTCACAGCCACGCTGTTAAATCTAACTTTGCAGTAGATGACAATGGAAAATCATTAGACTGCAGAGTATGGTAGACTTCTTACCTCTCTCTGCTGTGGATTCAGCTTGTGTGAATTCCTCTGGCAAAGTGCAATTGTTTTTGCTAAAGTGTCTTCAATAGCCTTTAATGAAGGAACTTCTATTGAACCTACATGGTAGGAAAAAGCAAGAATTACTATTGCCTTGGCCTCAAAGGGAGAGGAAGCAGACACAGCAAGCCCTCCCATTTCAACAGCCACTGCCCTGGCTTCAGAGGGGGGAAATAGGCAATATTTGGTGGAATTAATGCCCTCCCGTGTTGTTATGCCTCTTTCTAATCTGTGTCCTGACTGATTTGAACTGTAAGCCTGAGGGAGGAAACTGTCAAATTAGCAATCTGTAAACTGCTCTGAGAATATCTATGGTTAAGAAGCTAGGCATGGGTGTCACCATCTAATTTCCAAATGACTTGTCCTAGCACTTTCATGTAAATGACAAACAGCCTTGGGGGACAAAACTGAGCACAGAAATTCCACCCAGCCACTAGCCAAAGCACCCAACAGAAGTCCCACAGCACCACCATCTGAGTTTACCCCAAAGTGGGATAGTGGTGGTGGTGGTGGGAGGAAGGGGGTAAGGCAGTAGGAAGGGGCTGTGGCAGCCGATCTTCCACTCCTTCCGCCCACCCTGGAGACCTGTGAACCTATGCACTACTCTCTCTCCCTCCTCCCACTGCCCCATCCCACCCTCTTCTCTCCTGCCCAACCAAATGAATACAGACACAACCAAACTCAGCCACCCTGGCAATACAGAATTTTTTATGTTTGGGTTATCACAGTGGTTCTCAACCTGTGGGTCTCCAGATGTTTTGGCCTTCAACAGCTGGTAAACTGGCTGGTATTTCTCAGAATTCTAGGCCAAAACACCCACGGGTTGAGAACCACTGGGTTAAAAAGTTTGGGAGGCCTAGAGATAGTCACTTTTGCATGGACCTCACACTTTCAACCCCCACAAAATTGGAGGATTGCCTGTACTATTCATACTGTCATGTTTAATTTTCATTCAAAAATTGCAGACTTCATGAAGAAAAAAAAGAAAGAAAATGTTTTCAAAACTTACTCTCATCTTCACTTGTAAGTATCGACAACTTCCTTTGTAGAAACTAGGGAAAAATATACTCATATCAAAGGCTTTCTGTAAAATATTTTAAAACTGTTCTGATCTCCTTCCCTCTGCTTTTATTTATCCCTTGTGGCTCCAGGAGGTGGAAAAGTATGACCTGTGAGGCCCAGTTTGGTGGCCCCAGAAGCCTCCACCAGACTCATCAAAGCTCCACCAGACTCATCAAAGCCCCATTTAAAAAAATACACATTTTTGTTTTTTCCCCCCTTAAAACCACACAGAAATCCATCAAAACATGATGACAAGCAAAATGTACCCACTCTCACAAACACCTTGGGGCACAGCACAAGCCACAAATACCTGTTTTTATTACAATACTTTTCAAAATAGAAAAAAAGAATTTTGAGAAGGACTGTAAAATGAAATAGAGATAAACATATGGGTTTGTTAGGGGGATCCTGGGATTGAGGGTAATAGCTCCTAGGCCCCAGACAGTTGCACACCAGTGGCTTAAAGAGCACAGGAGAAACAGAAAAGGAGTTATTCTCTGCCTGCAATTGTCTCCATTAGAATAATTTGTTGTATTTTAGAGTAATCTTTTCAAGGCAGCAGACAAGACATGAATAAGAATAGGCAACAAAAATGTACATGTAAGCTGTCAAAGGAGCCCCCAGTGTTGCAGCAGGCTGAACTGCTGAGCTGCTGGACTTGCTGACCAAAATGTCAGCGGTTTGAATCTGGAGAGTTGGGTGAGCTCCCACTGTTGGCCCCAGCTTCTGCTAATCTAGCAGTTTGAAAACATGCAAATGTGAGTAGATCAATAAGTACTGCTTCAGCAGGAAGGTAATGGTGCTCCATGCAGTCATGCCAGCCACATGACCTTGGAGACATCTATGAACAATGCCGGCTCTTCAGATTAGAAATGGAGATGAGCACCATCTCCCAGCGTCGGACGTGACTAGACTTAATGTCAAGGGGAAACCTTTACCTTTTTAAGCTGCCAAAACTATTGCAGACCACATAGGTAGCATTTTTTTCTTATTTAAATATTTATATAAAATTTACACTGATAATAAAAATATAAATAAAATTATTCTAAATGTATTTCAAGACAGATATATTTAATAGATGAATCCATTTCTCCAGATTTTTTAAAAAACAATCTCTAATATAATGTTTCTTAGCTGTATGTGACCACAACATTTGAGATGTTCCTACTACACCATACCTCCAGCATTACCAAGAAGGCACCATGAATATCATCTTTCTTCTCAAGTAGATAGGAAGAGGCTTCACAGAGCTGGTTCTTCTGAACAATCTGAAGACATGCCACAAAATTATTTACAAACATATCTGGGCATATCAAAACAAATTGGGTGTACAACTTCATCCTCTTTGTAAAGATAGAGATGCAGCAGGATGAGGCCACTGCTCCCCCATATAAGGATTCTGTCCTTCAATTATTTTTTCCTTCCGTAATGTAAAACTTCCATTGAGTTTTTAGAAATATAGGCATCCAAAGAAAAGGAGTAGCAAAGTTACAAAGGGAATATGAACAAAGGAAAGTCCTAGGTTCAGTATTTATGGTTATCTATGTCTTACTCTCTACTAAACATTGGATGACTAAAGGAATATTTCTTCTGGTAGGACAGAATTCTTATAGGGAAGACAATGTCTTCAATTTTCACAGGCATATAACTACATCCCTGAATCCTCACATTAAGCTACAAGTATCCTAATATAGCTAATCATTCAGTTCTATTTATTCCCACCCCCCAAAAAGAGCAGGGAAAGCAGCTCCACAGGGATGATCTTAAGAAGAGAAATGTTCAGCAGATAAAGGGCTAAACACTTTGTCCCCACCTATCCTTCCTCCTCCTCTCTTTTTAATTGTCAGAAACTCAGGCAAAATTATACAAAATTATCCATAACATGTATGTCAGCCCCTAGAGCTTCCAACACCTTTCCTGCACAACATAATATATGCAGTTTTTGTTTCACAAGCAGAATTTAATTATTCAACATATGGAACCTCATTTGTGACATATGGAAATGCGATTGACATAACACTTTAATAGCAAAGGCTCCATCTGTACAAGAAGATAGTAATGGGGTCATATCCCAAAGGAAAGAAGCTTAAACCAGTTGGAAGCTAAGCTAGGGGGGAAAAACCATTGACAACATTGGTTGAACTACAGTCTCCACTAACTAATATCAACATAGAACATGGGAGAAAAACAGAGAACAAGTTCAAATCTACCTGCTTTCCATTTATCCCTCTTGAAAACTGTGCACTTATGGTTGTACTATTTAGTCCAGGTTCAAAGCACAATTAAAAGTAACATCATCTTTCACCATCCTATTGTCTTCAAGTGGTTTGGATGCCAGTTCCCAATGTACATGACAATTAACCACGCTATTGGAGATGATAGCAACTATAGTCTAAAGTATCTGGAGGGCATCCGGTTGGGGAAGACTAGATTATACATTCAACGTACTTCCCCAAGTATAGCTGTAAGAGGCATCACGTGACTGAAAGGGGGAGTAGGGTTCCTTCCACAAAATCCAACAGTTTTCCCAAGCCTTGTCCTCAATTTCCCTTGGTAAAGGAAGGATTTTAATGGCAAGAATGCAGACATAAATAGGTGTATTCCAAGAGCCAGAATTTGGATTGTGCTGAATTATACCTCCTATAAAACCTTCGAGATTGAAAAAGGCGGGATAGAAATATCGTAAATAAAGAAATAAAGAAATAATGTCTATGCATTTAGGCTTCATTCTCAGTGTATGGAAGTTAGTGCTGAACCAAGGAAGTCAAGGAATTCTGGGGAAATACCAGCAACACAGTCCTGTAGCCTGTTTTACATGCATGAAACACTAACTAATCCCAGTGGAAAAGGAGGGCACAAAAAAAAAACAGCCCCATCTTATTCTGCATTACCTGAATTGTCTCTTCCAGCCTGTAGGATTCCAAGAATTTTAATGTCTCTAAAACTTGCTCAGGATCAAATTGACATAGCAACTCAATAAAGTGTTCAGTAACAGAAGGAGAGAGCTGAAGCAAATCTTGATTGACTCCTTCCCTGGAACAACAAAGGACACAATGTTTACAAACTGCCACAACTTTGGATAAATGCTGTTAAAAAAATAGAAGGTAAGCAACAAAACCACACAATGATTAAACAAATTCTTATAGCTAGCATTTAGACTGTAATTGCTGTTTATTTGTTCAGTCGCTTCCGACTCTTTGTGACCTCACGAACTAGCTCCCTGTTCCCAGCTCCTTCAAAGTCAAGCCAGTCGCTTTTAGACTGTAATATTATGGGTTTATGTTAGTTATTGTGATATGGAAGGAGACAAGGAATTTTGGCTACTAGAACCAAATGAATATGGCAAAATAAATGCAAGCTTGTAACAAGAAATGGAATAAATATACCAACTTAAACGTTAGCCCAAAACCAATGATTTCAGCCTGAACAAAAGGTATTCTGAGGCTTCTTCATTACAAACCACAGTTTGAAGCAAGACTGCACTTCTTTTTAAGCTAGCACAAGGGCAGTCCCAAAGTATATATGGAAGACAATTTGTGAAGTACAAATAAATGGATCAGATTTCTGTCAAGTGAGGTGAGTGCATAAGGTTATTATTTGCTATACTTGAAATCTATTAGAACAGAGGCTCCACCTGCAAGTCAAATGTTTGCCTTTGTATCCTTGAGCACGGCTGCCTCCCACTCCAGGTATTTTATTAAAATTGAGGTTCCATCTCAAGAAAATGTAGCCTATTATCTCAGCTACAGAGGATTTCGTGACAGCACATTGGCTGGATACCTTGCTGTGGTGTAACTACACTGAAAGGAATGAAATTACAGAGGGGATTAGTCTGGCGCATTTCATTTAGCCAGAGATTTATTCTAAAGTAGGTACAAGGCCAGTTGATGGGATGGGGGTAGGGTGGGATGTGAGGCTGCAGGGTTTCCTTCGGAAGCAAACAGAACCGGGATTACTAATGTCTATGGTCTATGAGCTGATAATACCACCAATGCACATTGCTACACACCACAAAATAAATCACACTCCCCCTCATGTGTAATTCATGTGTAATATGAAGACAGTACCTGTTACTAACAAGTAGAGTCTCACTTATCCAATATAAATGGGCTGACAGAATGTTGGATATGCAAAAATGTTGGATAGTAAGGATTAAGGAAAAATCTATTAAATGTCAAATTAAGCACCAACAAATCAACAGAAAAAACAGTTCAAGACACAGAAACATTATGTAGTAATTACTATATTTAGGAATTTAGCACCGAAACATCGCAGTGTATTGAAACAGCTGTGGATCCAGGAAGGAAGTAGACTGTGTTGGATAATACAGAATGTTGGATGAGCGAAAGTTGGATAAGGGAGACTCTACTGTAGTACACAAAACTGATAACTACGATCCACATTACTTGAATCGCGCAGAGAACAGTTTCTGTGAGATAATGTTTCCTACATGCCATGTCATTCTACTATAGCAGTGGTTACCAACCTTTGGTCCACCAATTATTTTGGACTTCAACTCCCAGAAATCCAAGCCAGCTTACCAGCTGTTAGGAATTGTGGGAGGTGAAGTCCAAAATACCTGGAGTGCCGAAGATTGGAAGCCACTGTATTACAGGATGGGATACATGTGGCCCTTAAGATATTGTTGGATTGGAAGTCTTAGCAGCCAAAACCAGCACAGCAAATTGTAAGGGAAGTTGGGAATTACACCACATTGGGAGAGCTACATGTTTCCTATTCCTGTACCAGACACAGAGATTTCATAAAAATAAAATCATCACCACTCCTTGGAAATTGTAGTACTGGCATAAAATACCCATGAGAGGGACCAAAATGGAGAATAAAAAGAAAGAAAACCCCCAAAAATTATTTTGGGAAATAGCTATACAGTATTAGTATCAAGAAAATGCCTCAAAATTAGGAGATGGTTTTATTTATTTATTTATCATGTCAGGAGCGAATTGAGGGTACAGTTATAATGTACAGAAAAAACCACAAAGTTAAAAACTTGGCATTATACTAAATTTCCTTTGACCACAAGCTGGCCACTTAAGAGTGCCTCTGGTGTCACTGTAAGAAGGTCCTCCATTGTGCATATGGCAAGGTTCAGATTGAATTGTAGTAAGTGGTCTGTGGTTTGCTCTTCTCCACACTCACATGTAGTGCACTCCACTTTGTGGCCCCATTTCTGTATCTTTGCATCTTGTGGTGCCAGAGGGCAGTCTGTTCAGTGCCTTCCAAATTCCCCAGACTTCTGTGTGCCCAGGAGGGAGTTTCTCATCAGGTATCAGCCACTGATTGAGGTTCCGGGTTTTAAACTGCCACTTTAGGATTCCCACTTGTTGTTAGGATCTCTGTAGATCTTAGGAAGCTATTTCTTGATTTAAGGCATTGGCTTTCTGGCTGATATCCGAACAGAGGATGGGCCGGAAATGTCAATGCCTTGGTCCTTTCGTTACAGGCTGCTACTTCCCAACAGTTGTCAGGAGGTACAATACCGGCTAAACAGTATACTTTCTCCAGTGGCGTAGGGTGTAGACATCCTGCGATACTGCGGCATGTCAGCTTTTGCATGATATTATTTCTAGCACCAACTTTTTGCTTGATATTTAAGCAGTGCTTCTTATAAGTCAGAGCATGGTCCAGAGTAACTCCAGCTGTTAGGAATTGTGGGAGTTATTTATTTATTGTGTCATCAGCAACCATACCATTGTATTACATTTCTAACAGAACAAAACAAACAAACAGATAAAAAAACACAAATTTTGCAAACTTGGTAGTTGATTAAATGTCCTTTGACCAGTATCTAGCCACTTGAAGTGCCTCTGGTGTTGCCGCAAGAAGGTCCTCCATTGTGCATGTAGCAGGGCTCAGGTTGCATTGCAGCAGGTGGTCTGTGATTTGCTCTTCTCCACACTCGCATGTCGTGGATTCAACTTTTTAGCCCCATTTCTTAAGATTGGCTCTGCATCTCGTGGTGCCAGAGCGCAGTCTGTTCAGCACCTTCCAAGTTGCCCAATCTTCTGTGTGCCCAGGAGGGGGTTTCTCATCTGGTATCACCCACGAATTGAGGTGCTGGGTTTGAGCCTGCCACTTTTGGACTCTCGCTTGCTGAGGTGTTCCAGCAAGTGTCTCTGTAGATCTTAGAAAACTATTTCTTGATTTAAGTCATTGACGTGCTGGCTGATACCCAAACAAGGGATGAGCTGGAGATGTCACTGCCTTGGTCCTTTCACTATTGGCTGCTACTTCCCGGCAGATGTCAGGTGGTGCAATACCGGCTAGACAGTGTAATTTCTCCAGTGGTGTAGGGCGCAGACACCCTGGGATAATGCAGCATGTCTCATTAAGAGCCACATCCACTGTTTTAGCATGGTGAGATATGTTCCACACTGGGCATGCGTACTCAGCAGCAGAGTAGCATAGTGCAAGGGCAGATGTCTTCACTGTGTCTGGTTGTGATCCCCAGGTTGTGCCAGTCAGCTTTCGTATGATATTGTTTCTAGTGCCACTTTTTGCTTGATGTTCAGGCAGTGCTTCTTGTAGGTCAGAGCACGGTCCAGAGTGACTCCCAGGTATTTGGGTATGCTGCAATGCTCCAGTGGGATTCCTTCCCAGGTAATCCTCAGAGCTCAGGATGCTTGTGGGAGTTGAAGTCCAAAACACACGGAAGGCCAAAATTTGCCCATGCTTTCTCTAAAGTGTAAAAATAAGTCATTATAAAGGAACATTTACAACAAGCTCCTTATGATCAAAGCAATGAATGCCTGACTCTTGGGGTTGAAATAGCTTCTATTATGATCCCATATTTCACCTATTTTGCTTCAACATTCTTCACAAACCATATTTGAATGGATATGTATTTTTTATCAAATATACAAGCTGAATCACCACCTAGTAATGAACTAGAAATAATAGATTTCTGGGAAGGCAGCTGATGACGCACATTCTCTCCTAGAAGTGGCAAAATCGAGATGAAAAGGAAGCAATTTACAGCCAAGCTTGCAGCTTACTGCTATGGCCCTTGCAAAGTGCAATGCTAGGAATCCTTTTCTTCAGCATTCAGCTGCACTTTCCAAACATGCTCACTCATGATGAACCATCTGCCTTGCTGCTTTTGATTTCTACATCACCCTCTCACACTATGCTCCTTCTCCTTTTCATGTCTGATCCCTTCACCAAATTCTTCCCACAACCCTATTCAAGTGCCTGCCTTCCTAGTCCATGTCTTCTGCATTGTCCTGTAATATCCATTCTATTGTCAATCCAATATGTATGGAAATATTTAATAGCTAATGAAACAGAAAACTGAATTCCAAAAGTGTGAGAGTGTGTCGTAATCTGACATTTTTTTTTAATGTTCAGAGAATGAGGAGGAGGATGGGTTCCAAAATGAAGCCTCTGTGAGTGTTCAGGGGGAATTGTAGGAAGGTGAGGCTGATGTTTGGAACTCTTCAGATTGTTCCCAGATAAGAGAGGAAACTGAAAGTACAAGTTCCCTTGAGAAATTGCCTTGGGAAGGTGAGGTTTCAAGGTAGTGTAGATTAGACTTGAGAACCCAAGGTGTGAAAAGCAAACGAACAAGATATTCCCAGCAGATTTGAGGTAAGATCTTGAAGTCCAGGTGTGTTAGGCATGATATCATGGGTGCCTGGACAGGCTTAAATTAAGTGGTTTGGCTTCAAGCATCTCAGAGGAGACAATGTTGAAATGGGGATTGGTCTTCTATTCATGTTTCCAAGTTCCTTGTTCCTGTATTGTCAAGATTCCCGTTTCATGTTCCTGTCTATGCTTATGCACTTTGGAGAATTTACCTTGGAGAGTTTCCTGTGTTCATGGAAATACCTTGGATTAATTCTGTTTTTGATTTCTTGGTTTTGGAGTTTACGCTGGCATTTTTGGGTATTGCATTTTATATCCCGACTGTCTCTTTTGGATTTGCCCCTTTTCCCTTTTAATATACTTTCTTCAATACACATTTTATTACTGGATCACTGGACTCTGGTGTGGTGCTGGGTAAAAGAGTGTCTCAGTGCTAGGATGCAACAGAGAGTTCATTTTTTAAAAAATCACAGGTTGCAATGTGAATAATTTGAAAGCTCAATTAATTTAAAATTTTAGGAAAAAGTTCACATTGAAGCCGTTTTTGAAAAGAATCAAACAGGTCAGAGTTCTTGGACTTCAAGCCATTTTTCTCTCTGCTATAGTCATTATAATTATATTAGCTAGACTTCTCTAACACACTTTACATGGAGCAACTCTTGAAGATGATTTGGAAATTGCAACTAGTAGAGAATGTGATAGCTAAAACGATTGTGTGGATTAAACATTGAGCCTATTGCCACACAATTCCATGTGGCACCCTGTTTTCCATTGTAATTCAATCTGCCTGTTTAGCCTTTAGAACCTTCAATCAGTTAAGAGAAAAATGCTGGTGTTGCTGAACTACAACTCCCATTAGCTCTAGCCACGAGGGAGGAATGCTTGATGTTGCAGTTAAGTACTATGCTCTTTGCTCATTCAACCTCAAACAATTTGATCTGAAGAACTGCTTGTACATTTTGAGGGCTACCCAGGCATTCAGGGTACATCTACACTGTAAAATTAATGCAGCTTGAAACCACTTTATTTGCCATGGCTCAATGCTATGGAATCCTGGGAGTTGTAGTTTGATGAAGCAAAGAAAGCTAAGACCTTGTAAACTACCACAAGCATGAGTCTATAGTTTTGAGCCATAGAAGTTAAAGTGGTGTCAAACTGCCTTAATTCTACAGCGTAGATAACATCCTCAGATCAAGCCCTACTCTCAGCAGGCGATACTGGGAGATTTCCAGTGGTGGAAACATCACTCTGCAAGGTTGGATGGTCTCAAAATGACTGGTTTTAGAAAACAGATTAAGACATAGTTATTCCAGTATGTTTTGGGTACTATAAATTTTTTTTTACTTGCTGCGCCGAGTGTCCTTAACTGACACTGTAACACAATGAGTTCTGTAATCTTGTAAACTACCTTGTCAGCCCTGGAAGATAAGTTAAAAATCAATCTATCGACACAAAAGTCACAACTGAATAGAATTACATTCCATCTATGCATGTAAGAACTGATACTTTTGTATTTATTCAAAGCAACAATTCTCAAAGTCAAAAGAAATAAGCAAGGAAGAACTTGAACTACTTAAAAAAATAAAAATACAACTGTGACCCTACATCTCTTTGCTTGGGGATAAGCCTAATACCTACACTGTATATATGTATATGTATATGTGTGTGTGTGTATGTGCGTATATATATATATATATATATATATATATAGATAGATAGAGAGAGAGAGAGAGAGAGAGAGAGAGATTCTACAACCATTACGTGTATTTAAAAACAAACAGTAAAAAATATATTAATCTATCTCTCTTTAGTATATATATTTTAAAAACTGCTTCCTGAAATAGGAAGAACATAATCAACAAATATAAGGTTGCCACCAGAAAAGGTTTCATAATAATACACTTTATTTATATCCTGCTTTATCTCTCCAGAGGGACTCAGAGCAGATTACAGTACATACAAGGCAAACATTCAATGCTTTTTTACACAAACAACATGCAATACACAGATAAGGTAACAGCCTTCCTCTTTTTTATCTCCGGATTCTGGAGGTGATGCTCAATTTGCGGCCATGAGAAGTTGTGCTCTTGTTCCATTTTCCATGCTAAAGGAGCCTGCTGTCCGTAGACAGCTCCGATCTTTTTGCTGCCATGCCTGCATGGGGCACCCTTTTAACCTTCCAACCAAGCTGGTACTTATTGATCTACTCGCACTGCATGCTTTCAATCTGTTAGGTAAGCAGAAGCTAGAAGCTAGAAGTCAGGAGCTCACTCCAACTCACAGCTTTGAACTGTTGACCCTCCGGTCAGCATCCTTTCCTGCAGCTAGTGGCTTTAACCGCTGTGCTACCATGACCAATCTCTCATAACGATGCATTTGACTACCCCCAATAAACCCCAGATGATATAGGCACTTCTAGGCCACTTGTGTTGAGTGAAGGAGAACGCAAACTAAAAATCTGATATCTCAAAGGGAGTGAAACCTTAATCAGAACTAGTTGAACACCTTTACTCATACTTTTTTTTTGTCGTGTCAGGAGCAATTTGAACCTGTGACCTGTCGGTCTTCAGTCCTGCCAGCACAGGGGTTTAACCCACTGCGCCACCGGGGGCTCCATTTACTCATACTGATTGGGATCTATACCCCCAAACCTCAATTTCAATTAATTCACCCTCATCTGTCACAGAACTGCCTTCAAACAACTCTTCAGAAGTTTCATAGCCTTACAGCATAGAAGTAAGTGGGAGATGGGAAACAGAGCTGAGTGTCATCCCCATAATGACGACACTTAAGCTAAATCAATTTCTTTGTCATTCTTTTGACATTAAACAACATGGATGTTCACACAAATATTAAACACGGAACTGTGTAGCATCCCATAATTTAAAGACTCTGAAGTAAAGCAAAGGATTACTTGGAAGTAGAGCAAAAGTCTGAATACAACCTGAATATCCTGCACCCAAAATGACCACAGCTCATCCCAATCAGGTGACTGTGATATAATGGCTGATAACACTGAAGAGTCCAGTAGAACCAAGAAAGCTAAAACCTCCCTGCCTCATATCCATCCATTGGCATTGATTCATCCATAAGAAAGACCACATTAGGTTTAGTCTAATAACTCTGTTAGAAGCTGTATTAGAATGACTCCAAGATTATGAGTACCTTTGAAAAGTGGAGTTGAGATGACACAATCGTTTGGTCAAAATAATTACCACTAGATACCAGTGATAATTATTCAGGACTGCTGAGTCCAGAATGTATTTTTCTAGCAATGGTCTCATTGCTTTCTTTCGCATTTCTGTGCTCCAATTCAAAAATATTTCCACTCCCAGAGAATCAAGGATACAGAGAATAGTCAGATTAAAACCTGTTTTTCTGCTATGTGTGCAGCCTAGTGATTAGAAGATATGATAGAAAGGACCATTCAAATACTAAGGTATTAAATACTAAATCACTTGATAAAATCCAATTCCACACCACGAATGTATTTCCTTCACACAAAGGACTCCTTCAATGTCTTTTCTGTTCATCACAGCTACATGAAGCAGATAGTGAAAATATTTCATTTTAAACAGCTAAAAAATAACATATGGTTCTGTACACATACCTTGGGTCAAGTAGGCTCTTCAGAAATTGGAAAAGCAAGTATTGGTCCTGATAAACAAGAGGTAAAAAATATCCATGAATATGACATTACATTTGATATAGGATTGATGCTATATTCTATCAGTTAAGATTTAAATTATATCAGCTTATATATTTGATATTGCATCTTTCACCTTTAAGAGAGAGAAAAATCCCAAACCAAAACTCATTAAAAAAACATTAATAGCGCTACTAGTAAGAGAATGCCAGGGCAAGACCCATTCATGAGTCTTTATTTACCAGCTAAAGACCAATGATACACAGTCATACATGCAATTGAAGGACTAGATATTCAGTGAGATAGCAAATCAAATTAAAAAGAATAAAACAGTCTTTAAAAACCAATTCAAATAGCTTAGAAAGCCAATTTAAAATGAATTTTAAACATAAAAGGTCTTTTGTAATAATACAGTTTTTATCTGACTGTCAGAAGCTCAGTTCAGTATTTCAGACCCTTTGAGAAAGATCTTACAAAGACTATAGCTGCAGCAGCATGTCATGCTTGATTTTTAGGATTTAGGAGAGCTAATGTAGTGCTGGATTAGGACTTTAGAAACCAGGGATCAAATCACATAACCCTACTGAGTCTGTTGGAAATAGCAACCTTCTTCAAGCCTCCACTAGTTATTTGTTATAATAACTAGTTATAATAACTATTTGTAAGCAATTCAGAATGCTTACTTCTTTGTATATGTGCGTATTGGTATGCAGTTTTTCCTTAACTCTATGTTGTGGGAGAGACTGCAGACCACATGACCAGATCTGGGGCTACTCAGGACTCAGACTCCATTTTAGAAACAGTATGCTTTCAGATATCAGTAGAAACATTACAGTTCAGAAGCCATTAAACTTTCAATGTAGAAAAAATACAGTTTAGAAGTGAGTAGAAACTGAATGTTTTAGAGAACAGAAACAGAGCAGAGAGATGCTTTAGATCAGGGGTCCTCAAACTAAGGCCCGGGGGCCAGATACGGCCCTCCAAGGTCATTTACCCAGCCCTCGCTTAGGGTCAGCCTAAGTCTGAAACGACTTGAAAGCACACAACAACAGCAACAATCCTATCTCATCAGCCAAAAGCAGGCCCACACTTCACATTAAAATACTAGTAGTTTATATTTGTTAAAATTGTTCTTCATTTTAATTGTTGTATTGTTTTTAAGTGTTCTTTGTACTACAAATAAGATATGTGCAGTGTGCATAGGAATTCATTCATGTTTTTTTCAAATTATAATCTGGCCCTCCAACAGCTTGCGGGACTGTGACCTGGCCCTCTGTTTAAAAAGTTTGAGGACCCCTGCTTTAGACTATGGGCTGTTGATTATTTATTTATTTACTATATTTATATACTGCCTCTCTCAACCCAAGGGTGACTCGAGGCGGTTTATATAATACATTTATATGCCGCCATTCTCACCCTGAAGGGGACTCACAGCAGCTTACAAGTTATAATTGTTTCTTATTTGTGCGCTATTTTCTTTGGACTTCAATCTGGTCTTGATCTTATACAATAAAGACACAAGGAGTTATAAATTATGACAAAGATGTTCTGTGTTATCTATGCAGAGAAACTACTTCAAATCTATTTGTAACTAGATTGTTAAGCAATGTACCTGCATGCTAAATCCATGATGTTTGTGAGGAAACCAACTATGTTACTTTTAAAGAAGTCTACTTATTTTTTTTCTCTTGAAAGCATGATTTAAACCAAGATCTTTTAAGGAAGAGTAGATATTTTTGGGCAACTGAAAAAAAAACACTTCTGAAACTGATATACACACATTCACACACACACATACACACACATTTTTGTGCATTGGCAAATCTTTATCCCTAACAATTCAAAGAGATATCTAGGTATATCAGTCTAACAGCTGAGAAACCTAATTGCCTTGCATGAATACTAGTGGGTATTTACTATTAAGGAAAAAGTTGACTCAAGCAAGGTTATCACTCTTTTGAGAGATATTCCTGATTTTCCCAAAATGATGGTGAATGACATTTCCCAAAAGATTATGGAGATTTCCATTTCCCAAAAGGTTATGACATCATTTCCCCAAAAGGTTATGATCTAAAAAGTCATGCCTTTTCAAAAGGATGACCTTGGGTAAGTAATACTGAATTTATTATTTATTTATTTATTTAGATAATTTCTACCTCGCCCTTCTCACCCCCGAGGGGGGAATCAGGGCGGCTAACAGAGGCAACTATTCAATGCCAACAGTATCAAAACAACAATATAAAACAGCAATATAAAATCCATTACATAACAATTAAGCAGTGATGTTAATTAAAATTACATAACCACATAGAACAGATCACAGACTCACAGGTCATAAAGCCATTTCCAATTTTCAAACAATCCTATTGTCCGAGTTCAGTGCCTAAAGTGCTGAAAAATAAATCTTGCCAAGAAAACTACATTACAGCTGAGCCTTAGGGGGTCACTGAAAGTCGGAAACTTGAATTCACACAGCAACCAACAAAATTGCCAAAACAAACTTTATTAAGGAGACTTCCACCATTTTTCTGCATAATGTTTAAAAAGCTGTTAAAATGTCAACTGAGAGAAATCTGTCTGGGAGTAGAATTGTGTACAAAAGCAGACCATTTCAGCAATTGCTTTAGTAAAAAAAATCTGTTTGCTAACTGCCTCTAAAATGGTTCAACAGCTGAATGACATGTTCTCTTTTACTGAGTGCAATTAGTGTCAGGAAGAGCCTTTCTAGCCGTCTTTCTTGGCTGACTCCTTAAGGTTAGGGCACACACAAAACATTTAAGAGGAATTCAGTGGGATTCATATGAAATAATATTCTAGTTAAAGGCTGCAACTGCACTGTATTGATGCCTGACACAGAAAATAATTTCTTAGTGATGAATGAATAGATCACTTCCATCCAAAGCTAGACAGAAAGAGGGCAGTCATGTATTCATCAACTTCATATATAGATTGAAGTAGTAATCTTATTTTCACAATAGGAAGCTATGAGTGACTGTGGGAACTGGGGGGGGGGGGGGAATCTTGTCATCAATGCTCATGGAGAAAGTCTGCTCCTTTGTAAGGCATCGTATTTGTCAAAGGGCCCCACATAACTGGTTTAACCATTCCTAATCTCAACTCTAACCCAGTCCACACTCTGCAATCTATAGCTTACCTATCTGAACGTATCTTCCTGTATGAACCACCTCGGAGTTTAAGATCTTCCAGGGAGGTCCTGCTCTCGCTCCCACCTCCTTTGCAGGCACGGTTGGTGGGGACAAGGGACAGGACCTTCCTAATGGTGGACCCTTAGCTGTGGAACTCCCTCCCCAGCAAAATTAGATCAGTTCCCTCTCTCCTGACCTTTTGAAAGAAATTAAACATGTAGCTGTGGGACCAAGCCTTTGGACAGTAAATTTAGTGCAATAAGTGATACGGAATAAGTACAATTACGATTGGAATAGCTCCTGGACTATGATTTTGGATTGTGTGGTTTTTAAAATTGGTTTTAATGTTTATTTATTTATTTATTTAAAACATTTATATTCTGCCCTTCTCACCCCGAAGGGAACTCAGGGCAGAGCACAGCATATACACGGCAAACATTCAATGCCAGGACAAGAATTCATTATATGCATACATAAACATTAAAAACATTTATCTAAATATTAAAATACACTGTTTAAAACCGCCTTGGTCATCTGCATCAAATCATTTAAAGGTTTTTTCACTTTATAGTTTTTAATGTATATGTTTATTTTATTTGTATGTCTGTTTATGTGGCATTGAATTGTTGTCTACTTGTAAGCTGCTCTGAGTCCCTTTCGGGGTGAGAAGAGCAGGGTGTGAATATTGTAAATGAATAAATACAATAGTGTGAATTTTCTTCTCCAAATAAAGATCTTTCCATAACATCTTTTAGCAATCTTTACCTGCAGGTTTTGGATGATTTGCTCAATCTGGTCACTGAAGTGAATGGAAATCAGATCCGCGGCTTTAAAAGGACTCACTGATATCAGTTCCTGAATGATGAGGGAAAGAGAATTAAATATTCATTAATGCAGAATGTATACACTATACAAATGCACTGCTAATACTCCAGAACAAATTTAGGAATAATTATATCTGGGATGTTTTCAAAATCAATATGATAATGAAATTATGTTTATAAGAAATCAAATAAATCTATCTGTGATGCAACTATTTCCCATTAGAACAGAAATTTGAAAACAATAGGTTGTTTCAGAGCAAGAAACGTCTCATTCTGAGTTACTTGAACACTTTATTCACTGTCTTTTACTTAGGTTTTGTCTGAAATGATTAATCTTTTTTACTGGTTTTTAAGCATAATTGTGTTTTACTATTGTAGGCAAACTTTGTGCACTTATATAGAAATAGAATTCCAATGGAATCAATGCAACATTTAGATAAATATATACTGTTAAAATGAATCAAACCATTTTAGATTTAAATATGATTTAACTAATTTGTAGACCCGATTTTTATGAAGTTTTGGTGGTATAGATGTACAATTTATCTATCTTATTGTCAATTTCAACAAGTTAGCTAGGAGCACACGCTTCTATGTCCGGTACTTGAATAAAAATGATTATGTAGATGACTATTAGCCACCTTTAAAACCTGAAATTCAAATTCTACTTTCATCTTATTAGGGACATGCCTGCGGCTAAAAAGAGAATGAATATTTCTTTTTCTCCCTATACTTGCATTTCAGTCTCATCATCATTGCTAATGCTTTCCTCTGGCTGTACTCAGCAGGATTCACAGGGAACTATGCTGAGATTTTTATGAATTTCTTCAGTTCCTATAGCTCTCCAAATGGAAAAAGTCACAATGCCACATGAAGTACATCTGTATTGCTCGTTATTATGCAACTTGGCATACACACACTTACATATGCTAGTTTCTAATCCAGTTTCTTGATCCTAAACTGGGCTTTGGTTTAGTATCTCCCCTGAGAGATGTGCACACACTGAACCAACAAACGCCATACTAATCTCATACGCAACAAGCAAAGGCAGTAAGGCAAATGCAACATTGTCTACCACTGCCCTAATTTGCCTCTCTAAAGACAATTAAGGCATGGAAAGAGAACAGCTATTTCTGGCAATGATGGGTCGTTTCCGAATAGCTGACTTTCCTTTAGAATATGCATCTTCCCAGATAAAATGGAAAACAAACATTCAGATATAAGCATTGAACTTACCAAATCTGCAAATAAAAGGTAAAAGTTTCCCCTTGACATTAAGTCTAGTCGAGTTCGACTATGGGGAGTGTGTTCATCTCTATTTCTAAGCCAAAGAGCCGGCGTTGTCTGTAGACATCTCCAAGGTCATGTGGCCGGCATGACTGCATGGAGCACTGTTACCTTCCCACTTTTTTTTCGTGTCAGGAGTGACTTGAGAAACTGTAAGTCGCTTCTGGTGTGAGAGAATTGGCAGTTTGCAAGGACGTTGCCCAGGGGACCCCTGGATGTTTCGATGTTTTACCATCCTTGTGGGAGGCTTCTCTCATGTCCCCACATGGGGAGCTGGAGCTGATAGAGGGAGCTCATGTGCACTCTCCCCAGATTCAAACCTCCAAACTGATGGTCTTCAGTCCTGGCGACACAAGGATTAAATCTATTGCACCACCGGGGGCTCTGTTACCTTCCTACTGGAGCGATATCTATTGATCTACCCACATTTGCATGTTTTCGAACTGCTAGGTTGACAGAAACTGGAGTTAACGACGGGAGCTCACCCTATTCTGCAGATTCGAACAGCCAACCTTTCGGTCAGCAAGTTCCTCAGCTCAGTGGTTTAACCCGCTGCACCACCACTGCCCCTTAATCTGCAAGTATATGGGTGTATAAATGCATGTGTGTATATGTATGTGTATACACACACCACATACAAATGAAGATTGAGCATCCGTTATGTGGAAATCTGAAATGCTCCAAAATTCAAAACTGTCCCCATGGATGGCTAAGATACAGATATCTCTGCTTTCTGATAGTTCAAGTTATACAAACTTCATTTCATTCACAAAATTATGACAAATAATATTTATACAATTATCATTAGGGAATGTATATAAAGTGTATATGAAACATATATGAGTTTTGTGTTTGGTGTTTGGTCCAATCTCCAAGATATCTCATTAGGTATATGCAAATGTTCCAAAATCCAAAATGCCTGTAGACCAAGACAATTCAGATAGGGGACACTCAACCTGAATATAATATAATATAATATAATATAATATAATATAATATAATATAATAATACATGGATAATGCTCAATGGTTTTCCATTGCATTTATAACTTGGATTGAGGAAAATGGTTTGGCACTTTAGGATAAGAGGTTCCCTGACATGTCCCAATGGACCTCAGCAATTATGCTATGAGTTGTCTTGTTAATCTGAGGAACAGCTGATTACCATGGACATTATGCTATTCTATCTGATTACTATTCTATGTGATTGACTATGATTGACCAAAGAGTTGTTTCACCATCTAACAACTCACTGCATTCAATTCTCTATCCACTACAGAAATAATTGCTTTTATTTAAATTCACTTGAGAGGGCCATCCGTTCAGGTACTAGATAATCATGGATAATATCAGAACAAGTCACTTTCACTAATTTTACCCTTCCAAGTTGGTGTTCTTCCAGGAAATAAGGACAACTTAGAATGAAATCGACAAATTCCACTGCCAAAGACCTCTTGCTGTCAGAAAAACATCTTGCTGTCAGGAAATTCCTCTTAATATTTAGGCGGACTTCTTTTCCTGAAATTTGAATCTATTGCTCTGTGTCCTAGTCTCTACAGCGGCATCAAATATGTTTGTCTCCTTCTTAATATTAAAATGCCATCTATGCTCCTGGTGGTACAATGGGTTAAATCCTTGTGCTGGTAGGACTGCTGACCAATAGATCAGCAGTTTGAATCTGGGAAGCGCAGGTTTAACTCCCTCTATCAGCTCCAGCTCCCCATGCGGAGACATGAGAGAAGCCTCCCACAAGGATGGGGACATGAGAGAAACCTCCCATAAGGAGGTATCTATCAAACATGCGGGCATCCCCTGGGCAACCTCCTTGCAGATGGCCTTGCAGTTTCTCAAGTCGCTCCTGACATGGAAAAAAAAATCTATGCATCTTATCTATTTCCTCCTTTAGCATTTCCTGATAGCCCAATAAGGAAATGACACTAATTAATATCTATTTTACTAATTAAACTGGGTTATTTTAAAATCACTGTTGGATTATGATCCATTTTAATATAGGAGAGTATTATCCTTTACTGATGCTGTAATTATTTTCAGTTAGTTGTATTTCAATATCTAGTTTATTACTTTAAGTTTTGTTTTTAAAACTCATTTGTTGGCGTAGAGTCCAATCTATTTGCCAGATCTCACAAATGTAAGTATAGAAATATTACATATATCTTAGGGCCCTTACAGACAGGCCCTATATCCCAGGATCTGATCCCAGGTTTTCTGTTTATCCCAGATTATCTGGCAGTGCGGACTCATATAATCCAGTTTAAAGCAGAAAACCTGAGATAAGATCCTGAGATAGATGGCCTGCCTCGAAGGGCCCTCAGTGATGTATAATCAGTTAATTCAAGTCATACCTCAATGTGCTTTACAGCCTTCTGCCATACAGATTGCTTTTCTTCTGTGCTATGCCCAGGAATGGAGAGGATATTGTGGATATAAGTAAAAACTTCTTCCTTTAAAGCAATAAATTGGAAAGATTAAAATATCACATACTACTTTGATAATGTCCAGCAAACGCAAATAACATTTCTTGAATTATTAAATGCATACGGAAACATCATGAAAAAGTGAACAGCATTTTCTATCTATGTATTAGGAATGTGCATGCAAACCATTAAAATTGTTCAAAAGTCATTACAAAACTGGGGGGCTCTCGCATTTCGTTTCTAAAGTGTTTCTAAAGTATAGTTAGTGAAAAAATTGTTACTATAATGAGAGTAATGAAATTTAGTTACTATTTCATTATAGTAATTGTGCATTATTACTATAATTGGGGGAATTTCAGGGGCTCCTTTCGCCCTCATTTTTAAAGTTATTGGATTGGAACTTGCTACAGTGATTGAACACATATACCACTGCTAGCCCATCATATTTCAGAATGTTTTACTTATCTACGTATTTTAGGGGAATTTTCAAAGTTTTTATAAACAACATTTTTAAAAACTACAAGAGCTACTTGAATTTTGTATACAATGCACAAGATGACCAGAGCATCAATCCCCAGCAGTTTCAGAAAAAGTCACACACCTACAGATTTTGAGGGATTTTAAAAAGTTTAGGCAAAAACAATTTATCTCCCAAAAAAGTGACAACAGCAATCCCCTTGAATGTCTGTTGTTTTTATGACACACAACCACATAACTTATACTATTACTTACTTACTTTAGTCCTCTTTGCAGATTAAATAATTTTATTTATTATTATTAGACTGACTGGTGCCATTAGGGCTTTCTGATGCTGAGCACTGCATTCTGGGGAATGTAGTTTAGGGCAGGGTCTTTTGCATTCTCTGCTACAGGGAGCCTTGCTTTCCCAAACTACATTTCTAAGGATGCTGTGTTCTCATTCTCCTACCCAAGTTTCCTAGTCCCATCTCCAGTGCCTTTCTTATGGTGATCGGGCCAAAGAAAAACTGGGTTGGTTTTTAAAACACTTTACATTCTCTTGGCTTTACCAAAGTTACTTAATGCTTATACTGAAAATTAAATTGATCTTAGGAAGCATCTGTATGTTACAGAATCTTAACGAAAATAATTGGAGTGTTTTGATTCTTAAATCCCCCCCCCATCTTTCGTGCATGTTTCTAATATCAATTCATATGCACAAATTTAACTAATTTGATATGAAATACAAAGAGTAATAATAATTTTGCACACCCCTACTATCTATCTATTTGTCTGTCTGTCTATCTATCTATCTCATGAAGCCATTCCTACATCAAAAGCCTTGTCTTGAAAATCAGATTCCATCCTCCCATTCCTGCAATGCACACATGAAGTATAAGCTCCCATCTGGTGAAAACCAAGCTAAAAATGGAAAGGAAAAGAGATTTCATACAAATTCTCTCTATAATTACTTTGGCATATTCTCATCCTTACCTTTCTCAAAGGATCACGCAAGTAGCAATCAATTATCTTATCATAGCGATGTTCCCGCTCATACATAAATTCACAGATTTGATAGCTGTAATAAAACATTTTTAATTTATTCGTTTTAGTATATCAACATTTTGCAGGTGACAGAAACTGAGAGAGCCACATGATTTTCATGTATATGTCATCCTGTAAAGGTATTCGCTTTCCTGTCTTGAATCTTTGGAGCTGGCCACATCTGCTCAGTATATAGTTTTGTATGTACCTGTGCATATGGGACAACCTTGAAGAACTGAAGGCTGCTGTGGTAGTTTGTGAAGTGCTTGTATGTACTTAATTTTTTACATTTCCATTATTTCTTACATGTGTCTATACTGATTTTATTCTGTATTTCCCCCTTGTGTTTTTTTAAAAATTTATTTTCAAGCCAAAATTTCACTTTGGGAGACAGTCGAATTTGACTACACTTATTCCTGCCCAAGCTGTCTAATTTCTTCTTCTCAACTCTAGGAATCTCAAATTAAAATTCTAATGGTTTTGCATTCACTGGGTTTGGAGTATCCTGTTTGTATACATATCTTGCATTTTATTTAAAACCAAGATTCATATTAGCACGTTCAAAAGATTTTCATCCCATCAAAGACAGAAAGGAGAACAGATACAGAAATCCAAGAGGACCACAGATAAATCTAGATAAATTTAGAAACAAGTTGAGCACAATTACAATGGAATGCAAGATTAATCTCTTTAGACAAGGAATTTAACTGTATAACTGGCCCTATACAGTTCTGGCCCAGCTTACTTGTCTGAACATATCTCCCTCTCATAAGCATGATTGGCGGGGACGAGGGACAGGCCCTTCTCGGTGGTGGCCCTCCACCTATGGAACACACTCCCCAGCAAAATTAGGGCAACTCCCTCACTCCTCTCCTTTAGAAAAAAAGATCAAAACATGGTTCTAGGACCAAGCATTTGGGCAGCAGACCAAGCAGTAACAGCAATTGACCGATGAGAATCAACCATGAATAGACATCGGAGTGGAACTCTGGACTTTGATTTGGATTTGTGATTTGGGCCTGGTGCTATTTTAATGTTTCAATTTTTAATGTTTTATTTTTAATATTTCAATGTATATTTATAATTCTGTGGTTCACCTAATTGTCAAATTGTTTTGTAATGTGATTGATGTTATTGTCGGCATCTAATGGCTGCTATTTGTAAGCTGCCCTGAATCCTCCCTCGGGGGTTGAGAAGGACGGGACAGAAAGGTTTGAAATAAATAAATAAACAAACTGCAGCATTTTAAAATATTACACTCCTATATAGCAGATTTGAACCGGGGCATGTGGCCAAGCTCCATCAAAGTCAACTTTGTAACACTACAAATAGTGACAGCAATTTGATTTATGTGCACATGAAAGTGACAGGGAACTTCAGCCCAATCCCAACTGACTTTAAAGAAGGACCTTCTTTAAAATGCAAGATATATTAAAACATGTTTGAAAGAAGAAGCGAGATGAGAAAAATATTTCCAGAATGCTTCGGAGTTACTGAAAGCCACAAGAGAAGCTTAGCTAGAATGAACACTGTAAGTCAGGAAAAGCAGCATAAAGGCCAGGAGGTTTTTCCAGCACCATTAACAGGCAGTTTTAAGGAATACAAAAATGGGTTCCTGGGACTAAGTGTAATTCTTTCAAATGTGGCCAACTTTCTCACAAAGCATTTGAAATACACAGATTGTGAAGTACACAACTGAATTGCACACAACAGCTAGAAAAGTGACTGTGCTGCTAAGTTTTCCAAGGTTGGTCTTCCCAGCAGGTAGAACAAGGGCTCACATATCTGAATAGCAGGTGGAGCGGCCGGATCCTATCATAGAACAGCACCAAGGTTTGTTTTTGCTTTACTCAATAAAGTTGTGAGTTTTTTTCTCTACAAAAAATGTGCCTGTGTATGTTTTCTCCTGCTGCTTCATACTGCTAGGGTTGCAAAGATCAATAACTTGGGAACACAGGGGGAGGATGCAACTTCAATTGTGCCTCACTGTATTATTTGTTTATTTATTTACTTCATTTATATGCTGCCTTTCTCATCCTGCAGGGGATTCAAGGCAGCTTACAAAATCCAGCAAGAATTCAATGTCGTATTATAGAAATTACAATAAACCCAGTATAACAATGTAACATACTCTATCAAACTATAAAACAATTTACACACCTTAGTAAATAAAACACATAAATAAGCTTTTAATTTTATCCAGCATGGTTCTTCTTAGCATTATCAAGTAGTCAGAATAACTTAAGAAAATATATTATGTACAGTCAGCCCTTCACATTCATTAGGGTTAGAAGCACAGGACCTCCACAAAAGTGAAAAATCATAAAAAATACATTTTATGGTGTTTAGCTTATATGTATTTTTGAAAATATTTTAAAAACTATTTTAACATTATTTCTAAAACAACTTCCACTGGAAACCATTCACAGAATCAAAACCAGAAGGCTTAGAGATACCTAGAAAAAACCAAATCAGTGAATAATCAAATCTGTGAAAGTCAAAATGTGGAGGGCCAACTGCAATCCCAGGCATCTCAAACCTATATCCCATACATACCATGGTGGTCAATGGAGTTTATTTCTACTCATACATGATTGCACCCGAAAACACTTTTTGCTTGTCTTGCGTGACAGCCCATAGAATTGCAATTAAACACAGAAGGAGAAAATGTTCAGGTGCAGAAGCAATATTCTTGCCATATCAATGCAACTGCTGCAACATCTGCTCAGTATTCTGGTACTAAAACTCAGCAAGAAGCAAATCCTAAAGCTTTCAGATTGAGACTAGATTTATTTGGAACAATTATACTCCTCAGGGTTTCAGCAGCAGCAAGGAAGGTTGATCTATTTTCTTTTATGTTTTAGGATATGTATGCCATATCGCAGTCACTAGGATATAATGTAATCTGCAAGAGACCCAAGACTAGCTGCAATGGCAAGGCAACTTGAGAGTGAACAGAGGGCTTGCTGCTGAAAACAGTTGCCAAGCAACCATCCCATGCGCTTTTCCTAGTTCCATTCATCTCCTGCAGATAAGGCCAGTCGGGAGCTTTCAGCCTTCGTAAGCTTGGATGAAATTACAAGACCAATATGCCCCACTGCCTTAAGGCACCCTATTGGGATCATCTCTATAGCACTAGAAAGGCTCAGAACAATAACATTATAGCAGGCACAGCTTCTACAGATCCCAAAGGATATCTGAACATAGACTTAGGGAGGTCGTGGACATAAGATTATCTTGATGGAAGCCCCACTGCCAAATCTGATGAATCAAGTTTGCTTTCCTTGGAAGAACACAATGGTGACAAAGTGCCCATAAAGTATGTTGCTTGAGGAGTAAACAGAAGAATATAGAAGGGTAACGGAAATAAAAAGTGCACAACTAACGGTACCAAACTAACACTCTACATGGGGTTGCCTTTGAAGACTATTTTGAAGCTTCAAATGGTCCAACAGGTGGCAGCCAGATTGCTCACCGGAGTAGCATACAGAGAGAGGACATCCCTCCTGTTGTGCCAGCTCCATTGGCTGCCAGTCTGCTACCGAGCACAATTCAAAGTGCTGACTTTAGCCTATACATCCCTAAATGGTTCCAGCAATTTACCTGTCCGAACATATCTCCCTCTATGAAGGAAGAGACAGGAAACGTGTACAAAAGACTTACAATTCAGCTTTTTCGGCCATCTGAATCAGTCTGCTCTCTTCAAATTGTACAATACCACCAGCTTGAAGCAATTCTAGAAGAACCTAAACACATGAAATAGATTGAAAATTTTATTTCATGTATTGCGCCCAGAAAAGCAGAATCTGCAATGCACTGCTATATATCTTCAGAATATATATATATCTACATACACATATATCTACACACACACACACACATGGAGTTCGTTTCCAAAAAATGCCAAATCCATCTGAACAAATGTTACAAGAATTCACAAAACGTACTGAAGATATGCATTCTTTTGCTATAAAGAGAAATTTCCCAAGCTCTGTAATGAAGTAATTTGATACATTTTGGTAAATCTCATTTTTCAATATTTTTTTGGTTTTTTTGGATTTGGTACCTTTTGGAAACAAACTCCACACACCAGGCCCGTAGCCAGGATTTTGATTAGGGGGGAGGGCTGAGTTTGATTCGGGGGGGGGGGGGGGGGCTGAGTCTGAGTGAAAGAGGGTCTACCCTAGCAAACCTTTTGTATCGTTACCCCAATACCCCCATGCATATGGGATATATTGAGCATGGTGATCAGATCATGATATGAATAAACATAACAGTTTAAATAATGTACCAGTAAGGCCGTCTCGCAGAGCACCATAAGAATTTCAGGGGGGGCTGAAGTCCCTCAAGCCCCCCCCCCTCGGCTACATGCCTGCCACACACATACATGTGTGCAAGAGAGTTTTATTCAGATACCAAACAATTAAATATAGTGCCTTTGCTCTAACACTGTAGTTTTCATTTTAGTTGCAACACCTCTCCCTTCATATCTGAAACCTTTCCATCACCAAAACCTATGTTTTCATTGAAACATGTGATTTTCCACCCACAAACTACATTAGGACAGCTCAGCATCAGATACATCATCTAACATTTCTAGTCATATTTTGACTTTTGCATCATGTCTCAGATTATGCAGAAAAAGGAAGCTGTATGCCTTGGCATGACTAAAGTATTAGCTTCAGTAAGACCTGAACCAGTGAATTAGTGGGAATTTGGAAAGTCAGTACTTCTCTAATTTCTATTAAATTAATGGATACACTCTACTTCAAAGGGATTAACAGGTGGATTAAGGCTGGTTTTCAAATATCAAAGCCATGCTGTTTACCTAACTACTTGGAAATATCTCTTCTGCACTGTTCATATTCACACACATCCTGCCTCACGAGTAAATTGTTCTCAGCCTCCATTCTCTTTATAGGTATCTTCATTTCTAAGCCATAGAGCCAGCGTTGTCCACAGACACCTCCAAGGTCATGTGGTCATGACTTCCCGCCGGAGCGGTACCTATTGATCTACCGTATATTCTGGTGTATAAGACTACTTTTTAACCCAAGAAAATCTTCTCAAAAGTCAGGGGTCGTCTTATACGCGGGGTTGTCTTATACGCAGGAGTAGTCTTATACACGGGAGTAGTCTTATATATGGGAGTCATCTTATAGAGTGGGTGCTGAAACTTTCAATCGGATTGGAGAATCTGTGGTTGATGCATATTGTGGGGGGGAGCTCAAAAATGGCAGTGGACGCGTCCCTGCTCTATGCAGGGACTGTATGAAAGCATTAAGGGCGAGCTGTACAAGTATGGTAGAAGAAAATCCATTCATCAGGATTCGTGGACTTAATGCGGTCCCGATGGTGAGGTGAAGAGGCACCTCACCGGGAAGGTGTAAGTGAGGGCGGAGCAAGCTGCAGGCGTCCGGGGCACCCGGGGTATGGAAAACAGAGATAGAGTGGCTCTGGGCCCAGAAAAACACAACTCTTTTACCTGTCTGGCCCGCCCTTGTATCCTATTACCGTACCTCCTCCTCTGCCTCTCAGATCTTGCTCCTGAAGACTGCAGTGAAGCAGTGCAGGTGCGCATGTGCGAGATCTGAGAGGCAGAGAAGGAGGTACAGTAATAGGAAAATTACCATATTGAAATCAAATCTGATGCTTTTAAAAAATTTATTTGGTGCGCGTTGGAAGAGGGGTAGTCTTATACGGCGAATATATCCCAAACTCTATATTTTAACTGGAAAAGTTGGGGGTCGTCTTATATGCCCAGTCGTCTTATACGCCGGAATATATGGGTACTCACATTTGCATGTTTTTGAACTGCTAGGTTGATATTCTCTTTATGCATGCCTCTTAACCTCCTCATTTTAACCTCTCCAACCCTTCCTCATTTTATATTACCAATTTCCCTTCCTGAATTGTCACAGGACAATCAAGGCTGATGACAAGCCTTAATTTCTATACTGTCCCTATATACTCCAGCATCCACCCTCCAGTAACTTCAGCAGAGAAGGGCTGAGTTGTCAAAACCGATGGAGAAAGAAATTCCATACAAAGAGATAAAACCTACTGATGCAATAATCTCCATTGGCACTGAACTGGCAGCAGTAAGCCAGAGTATTAAAAATCACTATATTGCGCTCTCCACATCTGGCATGCATTATGGATGCCGTGTGGGAATTATTTTGGGCTGAATTTGTGTTTTTTTAGTGTGCGCTCTCCTGAAAATATTCAAATATTATTCATAAAACTGCACAAACTTTTGGTAGTCTGCTTCCATGAAATATATGAGCTGTCAGCTGTTTTCCGGATGCAGTTGACTTCTTATGCTGAGTGCCATTTTTAGCATTCCTGTCCTACAGCCTGACCATTCTTAGCAATGACCCTTCCTTCCTTAACCATGCATCACTCTCCCAGCATGAATTATTCCTCTAAGGATTCGTACCTGCTGTCTCTCAGAGTGCCGTGAATCATCATCAGGGCTGCACAAAAATTCAAGGACCTGGACAGGATTAGGAGAGCATTTTGAGACACTCATACAATACACCCCACCCCATTATTGGACATCATTACTGAGTGAAGAAATAAATACCAATTGCATTGGCACTACTGTAACATTTTAAACCAGCCCAAACCTTAAAACACATGGACAAATTCACGGGGGACAAAGCAATCAACTGTAATATGCATTTGTATATCTATTATTGTTTAGTAGTACCGCATCCAACTGGCTCTAGAATATCTGGTTGGACATTGTAGAAACAGACTCTTGAACTAAAAGGTGATTTGGTCTGATCCAGCACAACTCTTCTCACATTATATAGAATTTATTTCTCAATGGGCAAATTCAGGAAAGAGAGAGCAAAATGGCAAGTGATACAAATCACAAATCATTGCCCAGCAGATTTTCTCTGCTTTATTTCACTGTTGTTCATGCAACAAAATAGGCTGAAAGCACTATTCATGCAATTCTATTGTCTTCTACCATGAAATAACCAAATGTAAGCACCTGATTAACAACACCAACAATCCCTTCATTTGCACTTGCATTTTACCTGGTCAAATAATGTCCTATTCACAAATAGAGTGTTGTTTGGCTTAGCAAGCTGACGGGCAAGGAAAGTAAAGAGACATCCAACTTGTGATGGGGTAAAATCAGAGTTCTCCACCATAACCTAGAGGAGGGAAGCAACATAATTTAATCCACAAAGAAAAAAAATCAGAACAAATAGAAGAAGGGGGGAAAGTAAGACACAAATTAGATGCACCTGATGTGAGAGCATTAAGGTAGCAAAGATTCAGCAATGTACTTCTGTGATGGACATCTTGAGACAATTCAAAAGATTGTCATTGAATTTTGATTGCTCATAAGGGGGACTCAACGCGGCCTCAAATGAGCATCAAAGGATGTTAACAACATAAATACCATAAAAACTACAACTTACAATAAAATCATTTAAAACATTGTACATCACCAATAAAATTTAACAATAAATTAATAGATTAACGTGCCAGTAAAACCAAGCCAAGCTGGGAGAATCCATGTCGCAAAAATCCAAATTTCCTTTTCCTATTGCCGCTGGTCTGTAATCGAACAACTGGCCCCAAAGCCAGATCTTCAGTTGTTTTCTAAAGGACAGGAGGGAGGTGGCCAACCTGATATCCTTAGGGAGAGAGTTCCACAGACGGGGGGCCACTGCCGAGAAGGCCCTTTCTCTCGTCCCCAAGTACATTCGTTGTTTCAGGTAGGACACATATGTTCTCATTCAGCACTGCAGGGTTTTGCTATGAAAGCATGTACCCATATGACACTTGGCACCTTGTGAACTGACAACAGTTAGTTTTATCTATTGTTGTTTTACAATTGTTTTATTTTGATTTTATGCTACATGTGCTGATGAGGGTTGTTGTTATAATTTTATGTGATTTGTTTTATATTTTTGTACTGTTTTCACCTGTTGTATGTTATATGTGCACCTTGGAGTACAAGCCGTCCCGAGTCTCTTCGAGAAGATGGTGGCAGAATATAAATAAAGTTATTTATTTATTTATTTAGTACATTTCTATACCGCCTCTCTCAGCCTTCCGGCAACTCGAGGCAGTTTACAAGTAAAGAATTCAATGCCACCAAGGACACAATTGCAATATACCATATAAAAAACATCAGCAACAATAAAATCAAACATTATAATGAAACATACTTCAATCAATAATCATTAAAACAATGTCCAGTTGCGCCATATAGTTATTCCATTATTATATCCGTTACTCCGTATTTTCAAATGCCCGCTCAAATAGCCATGTGTTAAAATTCTTCCAGAATGATAGGAGCAAGGAAGCCAATCTAATCTCCCTAGGAAGGGCGTTCCATAGCCGAGGGGCCACCACTGAGAAGGCCCTGTCTCTCGTTCCCGCCAACCGTATTATTATTATTATTTCCCATAACTCATATTCAGCTCCTGATAGACTAGATTTAAACATCAGCTCTCATACTTTATCATCTGCAGCAGACACAGCTGTATAACTGGAAAGTAGCCATATTATGCTGCCCTGCAGAAGGCAATGACAGCTTGCTGAACTTATCAGGGAGGGCAACATATTAGGCTTTGCTGAAGCAGACTATGAAACAACTCAGCAACCCGCCATAAATAACAGAACAGTGAGCGGAAGGAAGGAAAAGAAGTATCCCAATAGAATAAAATCAATTTTCTTTCAGCAAAGAAGAGCACACCACACCCCCACTCTCTCTCTCTCTCTGTATGTATATGTATGTATGTATGTATGTATGTATGTATGTATGTATGTATGTGTATATATATATATATATGGAGACAAGATTTCGAAGCTATTTGTGACAGGCTTTACATGGGTACTATTTTAAAATTTACTTTACAAAAACACAGAATTTACTGTTCCATTTGTTCCGCAGAACTGCCATGCTGTTACCAACATTTTACATTTCAAAAAGACTACTATTCCGTACACAATATTGCCATACTGTTTAAAATAGAAACATTTCAATAAGCTACAACAGATGTTTCATCTATATGGGATAATTCTAGGCTTCCAAATGGCAAATTCTCCTTATCATGTGATGGATGTTATGGATAACTTGCTTTTGAAATAGTCAAAAGTACCATTTGGTAAGATAAATTTCGAAAATAAACATCTCTACGATACATCCTGTCTTTTAAAAGCACAAATCTAAAATAGTTGTTCCCTGGGAATAGGAGAGCAGAGGTAACAGGGACAGCGTAGACTGTATAATATGGAATATGAAAGGAAAGGGGGGAAATCATACAAGACTAACTATATTTTATCCGTATCTTGTCATAAGAAATTATCATGGGCCAAGCAAAAGTTGAGCAGCAATGACTGATTGATAAATTTAAAGTGATACTGCTAAGCTTGCAGTAAGATTTAGTAAGGTTTCCTATCGATGCTTTATTGCACTGTCCCAAAAGCTTGGTCCCACAGCCAAGTTTTTACCATCCTTCTGAAGGACAGGGGGGGGGGCGTCTGATCGCACCAGGAAGGGAGTTCCATAGCTGGGGGGGGGCCATCATCAAGAAGGCCCTCTCTCTCGTCCCCACCTATTGCACCTGTGACAATGGCGGGACAGAGAGCGGGACAGAGAGCAGGACCTCATCGGATCTTAATCTTTTATCATGTATCTTGCAAATCTTGTTGAAATAGAAAAATGGGCAGGCTGAGCAAAAAGAAAAGGTTCTGTCACAGCAATTATGAATAAAAATCCAATAATTACCAACCTGCAAAGGTCAACTTGCATGAGTCACAAACAAAAAACAGAATGGACTTCAAATTTCTAGGGGGAAAAATCGGTTTCACTGTTCTACCAAGAAGCAAGCTTTTTTGCACACAATTTTAGCAGGTTTGCTGCCCGTTTCCTTCCTCTCTGTTGTCTTTTCTAGCACAAGATCATGAGTTCAGCTTCTCTGCTGTCCAGCAAAGATAAGATGATGATTACCCAACATGACAAAGACATTAACCATCAGTGGTGCTTGTCTGTTCATTGCCTCTCTGTTACCAAATTAATTGTTTCATCCATCCTGCTCCCTTGGACCATGCCATGCACTTGCAATAGAAAGACTGCTTTAGGCCCCTTCAACAATCTTTTGAGAGGCTGCTTTTCTCCTACCAAAAAAAGATTTATGGAGGTACCTTAACTGCCAGCAAAGCTATCTCCTGTTCTTCCGAGATACCAAGCTTTATTCAACTTGACAATATCAAACCATACTGGACAAAAAAGCGTATAAGCTCAGTCACACCTGTCGAGAAAGCCTTGGTGTCCTCAGTTAAAAGGGTTAGCTCAGTACAAGATACTTCAGATTTCCTAGCTAAGGTAGCTTCCAAAGAAAATGTTGTTGATTTCCCCCCCATAATAATTTGAGCTCATGTTCTGCACAGACGAGTTTCTTGAACTTTTTAAATTCACATCCTGTTTCGGCCTGAGAAATGTTTATGTGACCCCTGGCATATAGCTGTATAAAATAGGTGTAGACATCATATATTTACTGATAACAAATCAGCATGTGTAAACTTGCTAAACAGGCTGATTTTCCTTTTCACAAAGTACAGTGATACCTTCAGTTAAGGGTTTAATTCGTTCTGTGACCGACCTCTTAACTCAAAGCGTTAATATCAAAGCAAATTTTCCCATTGAAATACATTTAAATGCTATCAATCCATTCCGACCCACCGCCCCTCCCCACAATTCTTTTGTTACCATGTTTTTAAATAAGAAAGTGTACTGCACATTCAGATGGAGCAATAACAAAAGAAAGACTAACTTTAAAATGGTAGAAGCACAGAGTTGTGGCACAATGGTGGAAACACAAAGCAAAGAGGCAGAAGCATCATTTTCTTCATACTGTACTCATCAAAGCCTCCCTCTCTCCCTCTCTCTCTCTTCATGAAGTCAAACATACCAGGAATAAAAAGCACTCAAAATCAACTAACCCAAAGTTCCTCAAAGCAGACAAGAGTAAAGTACACAGCAATCTCCCAAAGCAGACAAGTGCACAAGGAATGGAGGCATGAGGCACGGAGGGTGCTTTGAAGCCCTAAAGCCCTGTACTGTCATGCTAGCAGTCCCTCTTGCATACGCTCTTAACTCAAAACGCTGCCCATATGTCATAGTGAAGCCTGGGCCAAACTATGGCTTATAACTCAAAATGCTCATAAGTTGAGACACTCATAAGTCAAAGTTCAACTGTACAGTTGAAGCATCTTCTGCAGAGTTCTCTGTAAACATTGCACAACAGATGCCTGTAAATGTTGAAAACATTTCAGAAAACTTTAATTGTTGCCTATTTTTGGGACTTCAACATTGAACTAAGGGGGCCCTATTTGGGGTCAGGACCCACCGTTTAAGAAGCAATGCTCTACAGCACCAAAAGCAAACCAGCAGTCACTACAACCAAAAGTTGCAGAGAACACTATCAATGCTTTGTTTTCATTCACTCTGTAAGGGGTGAAGAAATTGCAAACATCTGGCAAATGCTTTCTTAGCCCATCAGTTAAGAAAATAATGCCAAGGGAGCATTCAAAGTTTACCGCTACTTTATGATGGCAGGGAGCATGTTCTAAATGTTAGTTGCACATATTGTTCTGAAGCATAATAACAATCTATTATTTATAAAACCATCTAATATACATGAAGTGCTATACAGAAATAAGAAATAATGCCCAAGATGCCAACTATCTAAATACCCATTAGCTAGAAGGGATGGAATAAAAGGAGATGCAAGGTATGGAGAGATAGAGAAAACTCTATTAGCTGGCAGATAGTGAAAATACAAACATTAAACGGATACAATAATTAACTTGTAAACAGGAAACAAAGAAAAGAACAAAATTATCTATTGTCCTAGTTATCTATCTGATGAATGTAAATATGACGACTGTTTTCCCCCTCATACAGAAAAGAAAAGACTAAATAAATAATTAATAAAAGGAAATTTCACACATCCGAGGCCACAAAAGAGGATGCAGGGATGTTATAGAAAAAGCAAAAGGGAGTGAATATGTCTTTCAAACTATGGCTTATAAAGTCATAGAAATGTGGCATGACTGTACATATTTCACTTGTCTTTCCCTTACCTCTTCCGAAGGAAAAGGAAGGAACATGTAATCATGGCTTCATAAACCATGGTTATTTATTTATTTTGTGTCAAAAGAATTGCATAAATAAAACAAGTATAAAACTGATAAAATAGAGGGAGCAGCTAAATAATTTTAGATCAAAAATGGGTAACTGTGACTGCACTGTCTGTAGCTTTAAACAATTCTTCCTCTGTGCATGAGGCAGGGCATTGTGGGCAAGTATACAGATGCTGAGGTGTGTGTCCTGCTCCAAAGCCTCACAAGGTGGAGGATTCTTCTAAGTAGTGCTATTTTGCTAGGTTGTCTTTTGATCTGCCCACTCCACTTCGGAGTCTATTCAGGGACTTCCAAATTGCCCATTCTTGGTTTGCCCCTGGAGGAAGAGCCTCATGGCAGACCATCCAGTTGGAATTTCCTGGTTTAACTGCCCAGAGAGATATTCTTGCTGTTGCTGGGGAACATTAAGAGGAGTGGTGGTTCTCATGAAACTTTTCCTTGATTTGAGTCTACTGCAGCCTTTCTCAACCTGGGGGTCGGGACCCCTGGGGGGGGGTCACGAGGGGGCATCAGAGGGATCACCAAAGACCATCAGTATTTTCTGTTGGTCATGGGGGTTCTGTATGGGAAGTCTGGCCCAATTCCATTATTGGTAAGGTTCAGAATGCTCTTTGATTGTCGGTGAACTATAAATCCCAGCAACTACAACTCCCAAATGCCAAGGTCTATTTTTCCCAAACTCCACCAGCGTTCACATTTGGGCATATTGAGTATTCTCGCCAAATTTAGTCCAGATGCATCATTGTTTGAGTCCACAGTGCTCTCTGGATGTATGTGAACTACAACTTCAAAACTCAAGGTCAATGCCCATCAAATCCTTCCTGTATTTTCTGTTGGTCATGGGACATGTGCCAAGTTTGGTTCAATTCCATTGTTGGTCGAGCTCATAATGCTCTTTGATTGTAGGTGAACTATAAACCCCAGCAACTACAACTCTCAAATGACGAAAGCAATTCCCTCACCAAATCCCATCAGTATTCATATTTGGGCGTATTGGGTATTTGTGCCAAATTTGGTCCAGTGAATGAAAATGATCCTGCATATCAGATATTTACATTACAATTCAGAACAGTGGCAAAATGACAGTTATGAAGTAGCAACAAAAATAATGTTATGGTTGGGGGTCAACACGAGGAACTGAATTAAGGGGTTGTGGCATTAGAAAGATTGAGAAACACTGGTCTACTGGGAGGAGGCTGATAGCCATGCAGTGGGTGGCTTTCTTGATGTTCAACCTTATTTCTCTCACAGTTAGCAGGAGCTTCCTGTTGCACATTGGCGGGGGGGGGGGGGGCATTCCAGATAGCTTATAGAGTGTAGGTTTGAGACATCCTGTGATTACTCTGCAAGTTTCATTTAGAGCTATATTCACCTGCTTCATGTGGGCAGATTTGTGCCAGACAGGTCAGGCATACTCAGCAGTTGAGTAAGACAAGGCCAGGGCTAATGTTTTTATTCATTTTGGGTCTGCACTCCACACACTGCCAGTAAGTTTCTGCAGGATGTTATTGCATGCAGCTACTTTGTGCTTGGCGTTCATTCTGTGTTTCCTCAATGTTAGTGAGTCCCCTTCGGGCTTGAGAAGGACAGTATACAAATACCGCAAATAAATAAATAGTCTTCAATCTAAGGTGACACCGAGATATTTAGGACGGGAACAGTGTTTGAGCTTATCTATAAACAATGGTGAGAAACAACATTTGGAATATGATTATAGTCAATGGTAGAAATTCAATTTCATATTTACCAATTCAGAATTAATATCCATTTATTTCAATGGCACTTACTCTGCAGTGTAGAGAGGAAGGGATAAGTTTACATAGAGACTTAAAAAGAATTTTAAAAGTTTTAAAATGTTAACACAATAAAGCTATTTAAAAGTAAACCTATACCATTACAACACAATTAAGTCACACACAAAACCAAAACAAGAAGAAAAGGGAACACTATATTTTTGCTCATTACAGTAATCTACACTATACTGAATCTGGATCTAAATAAATGAGAACAAGGTCAATAGACAAAATTTTAGAAATAGCGAAGAGAGAGAACTGACAGGAAAAACAAGAAGTGAGCTGAAGCAGAAAGAGAAGGAGCAAAAGCTCAACCCTTTAACTTATGGAGAAGCTTTGAAGGTTACCTGAAAGGAAAGGCATATATAAAGGTATATGGGAAAGGCAATACAAACTGTCTCCTGCATACTGATGAGAATCCAGCAGATGCCAGCTGGAAGGAATATGGAAGCTTCACAAACAATAGTCTATGAAGTTGCGAACAATTATCCCGTCTGGTTATGGAATGAACCCTAGTTTTAAATAATAATAAATCACTGGGAAACCATTCTTTTTTTACACTTTCACTTACAAAATATTCTGCCTTGTTTCTCTGGTTTTTTCCTTTGTCTAGCAGAAGACAAAGACTAGGAGCTTTTATGCATAGAAAGATAATACTTTTGCTCAGAGTCTTTCAACTGCACACAGATGTCTGCAGAACGCATATCAATTCAGTATGCTGAGATCTAGGCAGCACTTACTAAAAGAGTCATTTTTCTGTCTTTCTGCTAAATCTTTTTATCTGTCTTTGTAGCAGATAAAACCATTATTTCAGAAGCAATCTAATATCATACACAAAAGTGAGCTCAGTTCCCAACTCTCCCGTTTATTATATCCATCATCTATCTATCATCTTTATGTTGGGAGTTGCGATCGCACAATGGGTTAAACCCTTGTGCCAGCTGAACTGCTCACCTGAAGACCTGCAGGTCAGTGGTTTGAATCCGCGAGACGGGGTGAGCTCCCATCTGTCAGCCCCAGCTTCCTATGTAGGGACATGAGAGAAGCTTCCCACAGGATTGTAACTCATACAGGCGTCCCCTGGGCAATGTCTCGGTAAACAGCCAATTTTCTCACACCAGAAGCAAGTTGCAGTATATTCTCAATTAGCTTCTGACACAATAAAAAATCTTAATGTTGAGAGACGTTCTTCTTCACACATTTCACATGGATAATGTCCAAAATAAAGTCTAGCTATCTGGCACCACACATTTGATTTAGAAAAATAAGTTGGCTTCATTAGTTCTCATCTGTGAAGATGATTTTTGAAAATGAAATATTTGCATCATCATAGACGATCATTCGTGGCCAAGTATGATTGTCTTCCAAGGGTCCGAAAGTGATAGTAGAGACCTATTCTGCATCCGCATGGTCTTTCACAATAAGAACATAGATTTTCAGATAGAAGGTGGTCCAGACAAGAGTTTGCTTGATGTGCCTTCCTCTTGGCATGTTTCTCCTTAAACCTGCGACTGCACTGAACAAATACATATGCACAATCCAGAAAGAAAAAGGGGAAACATACCTTGAGTAGGATGTCCACAATTCTCTGCTGATACTCCACAGCTTGCTTGTCATTCTTAAAGTCTTCAAATGTCTTTTTAAAAGAATATCATTGGGGAGAAACAGAAATACTTCAGACTTTTATCCCCTTAGAATGGGAAATATTAAAAAAAATCAAAAATGTGTAATCGCCTTGGTTTACACATTTCCTATATTAAATGGAGTAGCTGTGATCAGATGGTCAAACCTTGGCTTAGTAAATCAGGATATGCACAAACTTTGGTCTCTCACATGCAACCATTTTGCTCCCATTCCACTTCACTATTGGTGTTAGCGAGGAAAGAATGAACAACAAATTGCTGTGACATCATTAATGAGTTCTCCAATTAAGTAGCTTCCAAACAAGCCCAAATTAATAAGATCTGAAACTATGGCTCTAAATCCTGGCTTGTTGGGGGAGTCAGCCCTGAGGGATAAATAATAATAATAATAATAATAATAATAATAATAATAATAATAATAAGCTTTATTTATATCCCGCCCCCTCTCCCTGGAGGGACTCAGGGCGGGTTACAACAAAACAGACAAATACAATGAATAATATAACACAGATAATCATCACTTATCAATTAATAAAAGCAAAATAGCACAATAATGTAAACATAAATAAATAAACTTAAATTTAAAAGGACTAGAAAAACTACGTGGAGGGTAGAAGACCCAAAGTGGGAAGTGGAAATGAATGAGCACAACTGTGTTGTTTTGCAGACAGAAACTGTGTCCACAAAACTAAAAAGTCATAAAAAACCAAGAAAGTTATAACAATTCAGGCAGGATGAGGCTATACATTACATTCATTGCAGCAGAGGGATCAAGGTGTGTAATACAGTCCATCCCCGCCCCCATTCACTGGGGTTAAGGCTGCAAGACCTCCAGAAAAGTTGAAAAACTGTGAGTAAACGAACAGTGAGGAAAGACATGTCTAGGAATCTCTAAGTCCTCCAGTGTGAAGTTGACCATAAAGGGGTGCTAGAGAACCTAGAGATTGTCAGAGAGAGCATCTTAGTGAAATAGTTGAATTATTAAACCTCTATAGTCAAGTCCAAAAATGTAGGAGGACCAAAGATATTTTGGATTTGGTAGTAAAGTGGTCATCAGTGGTTTGAGTGACAGGAATTTCAGTGGAGTGCAGGGGGAAATTCTGTAGAGAGTCAATTATCTTCTCTGCACAAGAAAGCCTCCCCATTTCCAAATGGAAATGAAAGGTAAAAGTGGAGAAATATGAGGGGTTTTCTGGGGCCCCTGGTGGTGCAGTGGGTTAAACCACTGAGCTGCTGAACTTGCTGACCAAAAGGTTGGCAGTTCGAATCCGGGGAGCAGGGTGAGTTCCTACTGTTAGACCCAGCTTCTGCAAACCTAGCAGTTTGAAAACATGCAAATGTGAGTAGATCAATAGGTACCACCTTGGCAGGAAGGTAACAGCACTCCATTCAGTCATGCCGGCCAGATTGGAGCTGTCTACGGACAACGCCGGCTCTTTGGCTTAGAAATGGAGATTAGCACCACCCCTCGGAGTTGGACACATTTAGTATCAAAGGGTAATGAAATAAAATATGACTATACCTCAAAATAATTTGAAAATACCTGAAGGCACATCTTCTGTCCCTTTACCTTGCAGATTTCTAATTCTAAGCCTATTACATGCATGTTTTAAAAAAATTGCTTGAATATATTGCAAGAGGAAATTGAAAGATGATTTCTTTTTCTGGTTCTCTGTTGTTGTATATAATGTCAGGGCAGCCTCTGGCTTTCAAAGACAGCAACTGCATGGTTGTTTCATCTTATCACATGCTAAAAGGACATATTGACATATAAACAATTCCCAAGCAGGAATTAAAGATATTCATAATATTGGACCGAATGTCAGCAACACTTTCTAGTCTGATAGCCAGGATTATCTGATGTAAACTTACTTATAAGATTGTATGAAATAAAATATAGAAAGTCAAAAGTGGGTGTGATCCAAGTTTGAACATTTACATTTTAGCAATGGTGGATTTTGCTACAAGAGGTCTCAAATCCACCTTCTTTAGGGAGGATTTCTAGCATTATAACATACTTTTTGGCTTTTAACAGTTGGGAAAATTACCACTGGAGAGAACTGTGCAGTAGAAAAATGAGAGTACTGAGTTATCAAGATTAGAGAAAAAATGGACAAATTGAGAATTGATTCATTTTCTTTCTTCCTTTTTCAGGTCAGGAGCAATTAAAGAAACTGCAAGTCACTTCTGGTGTGACAGAATTGGCGATCTGCAAGGACGTTGCCAGGGGACATCCGGATATTTTATAATCCTGTAGGAGAATTCTCTTATGTCCCCACATGAGAAGCTGGAGCTGACAGACGGGAGCTCATTCTGCTCCCCAAATTCAAACCCTCAACCTTTCTGTCAGCAGTCCTGCTGGCACAAGGGTTTAACCCACTGCACCACCGGGGGCTCAATTTTCAATAATAGTAAAGATAAAGGTTTCCCCTGACATTAAGTCTAGTTGTGTCTGACTCCGGGGGTTGGCGCTCATCTCAATTTCTAAGCCAAAGTGCCAGCATTGTCCGTAGACACCTCCAAGGTAATGTGGCCAGCATGACTACATGAAGCACAGTTACCTTCCCACCGGAGAAGTACCTACTGATCTACTCACATTTGCATATTTTTGAACTGCTAAGTTGGTAGAAGCTGGGGTAACAGCGGGAGCTCATGCTGCTCCACGGATTTGAACCTGCGACCTTTTGGTCAGAAAGTTCAGCAGCTCAGTGGTTTAACTCACTGCACCACCGTGGGCTTCTTTCAATGATACCACATCCATATAATGTGTTGTATACCGATATACACAGTATCAACTCAGAAATAAGAGGGAAACATTTAAGGTTCCCTCACAGAGGATGCTTTTGCCCAATTTTCAAGCATCTCTCCTTTTTCATTTTATCTTTTTCATGTAGTAAGATTATTCTTCTGTGAAGCATTTTGAGAAGGTTGAAAGGGTTGCTCGGTGATGAAAAAACAGGACAGTTTACATTTTTTATGCCAGCTGCACATGCCCTAAATATCTATATGTATGTAGAATGGGACTGAAATGGCGAAGAGTCAGAAGTGAATTTATATAGCATACAGCCTAACACTTTTCCTGTGGTAGGACTGACTCTGGTTGTCTCACTAGAAGGCTCTCCTCCACCCTCATTAATTGAGGATCCTTTTTTATGGGCAGGATAATACCTCTCTTGGCCTGGGTTTCTAATAACAACTTGAAGAGCTAAGCAGAAGAGTAGCAGAAGAAATTTTAGTTTTTGCCATCTGAACTTTCTGCCCACAAAACCGGACCAAACATCAAAACGTTGTGTAGGTTTTTGGCACTGATCAGCCAAGTGGTATGTGTAAGTTCTCTTTATATGTCCCATTTATATTCCGCTCCTTTAAAACAACCTTGTATAATCAATTTTATATTACCATGTTCCATATCTGGCTTTCCTCCATACTGGTAATTTCAGAATTTAGTTTGCTAGAAGATGACTCATCAAACTTCAATAGTACAGGTGACACAATGTCTTCCCTAGTATCTCTTTAGAAATGGTGTTGCCACTTACCAGTGCAAGAACATTAAGGAATTCCCGAGTATCAAAGTGCAACAGTGTGCGGACGTAAGGGTAAACTTCTTCTTCCACAGGTGCTTCGGCTGAATGCAACCGGATAAGGAATTCAAAAACCTGCAGTGAAATAGTAACACACACATCACTAAGTCAGTGTCTGGATTCTTGAAAATTATTCAAGGCTCACCAGTTCAGAGAAACATTTTCAAAAACAGAAAATACATTTTCGATAGTATTTTCTATCATATAAATACCATCTACTATGTTTGAAGCTAGTTTCCTGATACAGGTTCAATTTCTAGCAGCAGGCAAAGGATTTCAGAGTTTAATGTTTCCCAGGGTTCCTTACATCCACTTTCACAATTATTGACATTTATTATTGCTCATTGGCATTTGAGAAGGATTATCTCCACAGGTTTCCTAAATAACGAATTCAAACAGAGGGAAACAGTGTATTTGCCTTCTTGTTTACTTTTCAAAATAAATCTTTTCTTATACATTACATCAGTTTATTCAGACACAGAGAAAGGATATACATATATCTATGTATGTAGAATGTAATGCAGTGCAGGGAGTTAGAAATATAGCGAATAGATGGTGAAATGCTAGCAAAATAACATGTTAGACTTGAGGGGAAACTCCAATATTATGTGGATATTAACAATATTTAGACTTGTTCTGTCCATTATGTAGAATATAAGGACCACATACTAAGATATCCAGGATAACTGTGTAGGAATCTCTAGGTCATCCAATGCATGTCTATATTATGCTAGAACCAAACGTGAGATAGTTTGATGGTGTTCAGTCCTGTATCCAATTTCATGTAACTGTAGTCCAGCAGGGAACATGATGCTTGCTGGTTTGAGGGTCTTACTGTATTCCTCATCTCTCAATGAAATGAAGCCCAAATGTGTGCAAATACATGTTTCTCCCCTTCCCACTTCCTGACTCTCCATGCCACCCTAAATATCACTTTTTGATCTTCTGTATGTTCCTCCTTGTATATACATTTAAAATGAAACTCTTTCGGGGCCAGGCTTAGCACAGTGGGTTAAACTGCTAAGATGCAAAAATCCTGCCGATTGAAAGGTTGGCAGTTCAAGCCCAGGTTGGGGTGAGCTCCCATCATCAGCCCCAGCTACTGCTCACCTAGCAGATCGAAAACAGTAATGTGAGTAGATAAATAGGTAGATAAATAGTGGGGAGGGAATAAAAAGCTGCCTATAAGAACATGCTGGTGATTTGATCGGGAGGATGTTTATGGACAATAAAGCTCCTCGGCATTGAAGATGGAGTGACAGCACCTCCCCGTGGCTGGAGTTGAGCACAACCTCCAGGTGCCAGAAATGGGAAAAGGTGGGAAAGCCTTTGCCCCTGTTTATGTATGTCTTTGTTAATTGTATAATGGCACTGAATCTTTACTGTATATGTGTTCTGTATTTTATTTACTGTATTTGTATACTGCCTTTCTCAGCCAATTGGCGACTGTAATCCACCCTGAGTTCACTCGGGAAGGTAGAGCAGAATATAAACAAAGTTTGTTGTTGTTGTTGTTGTTGATCAAAGACCTAATTTTTCTTACATTCTTTTACAATGGATCATGCACATTAAGAACAGTATACAAATAAAATTTTAAGTTAATCCTTGATAAGCATTTAAAAAAATAACATAGCTGTTAGCCTGTATAGTTACCCAAAATGAATAAAACCAGATAAAGAATGTATTAAATTCCTAAGATGACTATTTCACAATTAAAAGGCAGTGAGAGAAGAAAAAGCTCTGGGGAAATTATAAAGCTCTATGGGAGACTATCAAAAACCTACTTTTGCCCAGACAATAGCAGTTTCTTATCAGATATCTGCAAAGCAACTGCTAATTACAAGAGACTCATCATTCCTATTATTGCTACGTACTTTAGAGAAAGAAGTGTCTGTGACGGAATCATCTGTCACCAATAATGTGTTTTATATCTGTGAATCGTAGACAAAGAGCAAGACACAAATGGGACACAGAAGATGAAACTACCCTACTGCATCTCTTCTACTTGCTTTTTGCCTTTTTTGTATCCTATCCTACAGAGATTCTTGTGATTGTACAGACATCAAACTTTGAATCCAGAAGCAAACTCAATATCTTGAGTGATTGTTGGCCAACATGAGTAGTTACTGTTTAAAAAAAAAGTAAAAAAGGTCACCCATAGCAAATAATACTTCTGGAAGTATTTTTCCACCTTGTGTTGTTGAAGGCTTTCATGGCCAGAATCATCGGGTTGCTGTAAGTTTTCTGGGCTGTATGACCATGTTCCAGATGTACACTCTCCTGACATTTTGCCCACATCTATGGCAGGCATCCTCAGAGGTTGTGAAGTCTGTTGGAAACTAGGCAAGTTCTGTTGAAATTGCCTACATGCTTGTGGATTTCAATGACTTCTCTGCGTAGTCTGACATGGTAGTTGTTAGAGTGGTCCAGCATTTCTGTGTTCTCAAATAATATGCTGCGTCCAAGTTGGTTACTCAAGTGATCTGCTATGGTTACCTTCTCTGGTTGAGTTCTTCTGCAGTGCCTTTCATGTTTCTTGATACATGTTTGGGCACTGCTGTATTTGGTGGTTCTTATGTAGACTTGTCCCCAACTACATCAAATACACCTGCATGAACAAGATCCACTTTTTTTTAAAAAAAAGGCATTTTTCCCTGGTAAAAACCCACCTGGTTTTTAACCAAAGGTACCAAATCTTCAGAAATATTGCCCAGTGGATAAGCTCGGCCTGCTAAACAGCAACTGTAAGAAAATAGAAATAAAAGTTAAGACATTGTACTGTAAGGAACACTTTATATAGTACAGACATCCCTCTGCTTTCATGGGTTTTATACTCACAGTTTTGAATATTTGTGAGCTTTCCTCCTGTAGCCATGGGTTCATCCATCCATAGCTTGAATTTTTTTTAATCCAAAAAAGCACACCTTGGTTTTATTATTTTATATAAGGGGCACCATTTAACGATCCCACTATATATAATTAGATAGGGGAATTCACAGATTTTGTATCAACATGGAGTATTCCATACAATACAGATATTGTATTGTCGAAGGCTTTCATGGCCGGAATCACTGGGTTGTTGTAAGTTTTTTCGGGCTGTATGGCCATGGTCTAGAGGCATTCTCTCCTGACGTTTCACCTGCATCTATGGTAAGCATCCTCAGAGGCAGTGAGGTCGACCTCACTACCTCTGAGGATGCTTGCCATAGATGCAGGCGAAACGTCAGGAAAGAATGCCTCTAGACCATGGCCATACAGCCCAAAAAAACCTACAACAACCCAACACAGATATTGTGTTCCCATTATCTATATTGCATGGAATTAAACATGCACAGCTTTGATAAAACAATGTACTTGCAAACTAGAATTGCACAAATAAATAAGGCTTCAGTGTAAGATGGAGACATTTGCAACCCTACCATTTTGGCATAGGAAGCAGAAAGAAACACAAATATTTAGTGAAACAGAATTATTTGATCAAGTTAACACTCATAGTGCTTTGAGACTTGAAGCTGAGAAGCAGTTTGCTGGTTGCAGGCCCAAAAGCCTACCTTGTACACTGCTCAGATGAAACCTTTGAGTAAAAATAGCCTGGCACTATTTGGATCTTACTAACCATGTCCTGTCACTTCATATTCTACTCAATGTGATGCACAGCTTTTTGTGCACAGTGCTAAAAATGCAGAAGGGTCAACTCCCATATTTTTATGAACTGCTACTTGCAGTTGATCGAACTTGTAAGGGATGACAGGGATATGACATCTGGGTATTATTGCTTTTAGCACCGAGCAGATGGATCTGTGGGTGGAGGTGATTAATACCTCTGAGAAATCATGGACAGATCATTTTCTAGTTGGTGTCAACATCACTGCTATGATCTGTCCCTGCATTGGTGGCAGTCCACCCTTAAAAATCCTTGGATACTTTTATGGCCAGTATCATGAATGATCCTGACAAAGTCCTTGTCAGTAGATGGGATCAAGACACACAATTACTCCCAAGCATCCTTTCCTATGAATTACTAATTGGGTTTCTTGGTAAACAGAAGACATCAGAGAGCTGGAACAGCAAGTACATCAACTGGTGTGCAAATCTTGACTCACATGTGACAAGGCACAATATAGAGAACATCTTTGTTCATATAAGGTGGCAATACATGCAGTGGAAAAAGCTTTCTCTGCATTCATTGCCTCTGTGAATTCATATTCAGCTGTGCGATAAAGGAGTGTGGGGGATCTAACTCAGGCACCTTCCCTCCAAATCCAATTTTGTCGCCTTCTGACATTTGTTGTGATGCCCTTAACAATAATCTTACAGATAAAATCTCTCAGATAAGAACAGACTTAGATGGCAACGTTACAACAGAAGCTAATAACTCTGTTGTCCAGCAACTCGCTGAGCAGGATTACACTGAATCATTTTCCGTTGGTAAGCAACATAGATGTGGACAAACTGCTAGGATGAGTAAGGAGGACAACCTGAACCCTTAATCCCTATCATTTTTGGCTGGCCATGCAAGAAGGAGACACAGTTAAGAATTCAGCAGCAATGTAATTAACCCATCTCTTAAAGAGAAACCATCTCAATTTTAACATCAGTGATTAATTTTCTTTTCTTTGGGGCGGGTTTTGATTGAGTTGGCCTGCTCCCCAGATTCTTAGATTCTTTTTCTTTTTAGAATTAATTTTTATTGAAAGAGTATATAGTTACATGGAAAGTGGGGGAATATTGTAAAGGAGACAGAAAAGTAGGAAATAAGCTGGAGTAGAAAGAAGAAGAAAAAAGAAAGAAAGAAAAAACACCAGTCAATAGGGTACAAAGCCCCCCCCCCCCCCAAAAAAGGGGAAAGAGAGGGGGGGAAGGAAAAAGGGGGAAATGTATATAAAAGGACTTCCATCTAGTCTTTGAAGATCTTATGTTAACCTTTTTCCACTCTATTCAGAAAGTTGCTTCCCTATTTTGGTACTTCTTTATCTTTAGTTTACTTTCAAGTAAATATCTCTATTTTTCATTGTTTAAAGTAGCTTTTTACCAAATCCCAATTTGTGTGCTTTTTTGGGATTCCATCATTTGACGACAGCCAATAAATTAATTCGTCCATATTCATTATTTCCAGTATTTATTTTGCCAATCTTCTCTTTGTGGTATTTCTTTCTGTCTCCAGGCCTTAGCATATACCATTTGAGCTGCGGTGGTTATGTAATTGAAAAGTATTTCCATATTTTTCTCTCCTTCAAAATCAAGCATTCCAAGCAAGAAGTACCCTGGTTGGTTCGCTCTCCAGATTCAAACCGCCAACCTTTCGGCAAATTCAGCAGCTCAGCAGTTTAATTTGCTAGTGTAAGTTAAAACATTCATAATGCAGCTACTGAATAAAGAAGGGAAACACTGCCCACACTTTGTCCCACTCAACCCACACTGGAGAACAGACTCACAACTTAACTCTGCAGCAATACTGGCACATGTATAATATATTACCATGTCAAGGACTCCATTATTTGAATATAATGTACAATATAGTGCTACCACTAAATGTTGTATACATTTAGTGGTAGCACTTAAGATGGATGGACATGGATCAGAAAAAGCATTTTACAGAGTCTGGGAAAGAACTTTTAGTTAAAAGTGACTTTTGATGAAGTTCTGGGCTAGCTTACCTTATATAGACAAGAAGCTTGTTGCCCATAATTACTTGCTCATCTAAGAAAATAGAAAGGTAAATCTGTTGTAATCATCTGGTGTAATGAACAGTTAGATTTCCTATAAAGTCAATATTTTTCTGTACATCTTTTATGATTGATGCCATTTAGGCATGAACACAGATTTACTTACAATAATGGTGTGGCAACCTCTAGATTCCACCTTGTTCCCAACCTAACAGACTGATTTTATTCAAAATCTGAATACTTAAGTTCATGAAACATACCTACATTTCAAGCGAGGCTGCAATGCTAAATACAGAGTGCTACTAAATACTGTGCCTTTAATGAGGAGCAGATACTCTATAAAACAGAAATCACAGTCTATCTGCTCACAGGGCTCAGACACCGAAAGATACAATCCTGTCTGCCACAAAATATCTGAGAACAAGGGGGAACAATCAATTCCCTTTTGCTTGCAACAGGATATAGGAAACTGCCATATGCAGACCATTGGTCCATCTACTTTAATAGAATTGACAATGGTTTTCCAGGATTTTCAATTAACTACTTGCCTAACATTAGTAAGGTAGAGAAAAGCAATATAGCATCACTCTACATGTGAGCTAGATCCTAGATATATGCAAAGCATTTCGACTGAGAAGATTACATCGAGTGAACCAGGTCTCATATGGAACAAGTCAATTAAAAGTGAGTATAGGATGATATAAAGTAAAGGTAAAGATTTCCACTTGACATTAAGTCCAGTCGTGTCTGACTCTGGGGGGTGGTGCTCATCTCCATTTCCAAGCCAAAGAGCTGGCATTGTCTGTACACACCTCCAAGGTCATGTGGCTGGAATGACTGCATGGAGCGCTGTTACCTTCCTGCAGAAATGGTATCTATTGATCTACTCACATTTGCATGTTTTTGAACTGCTAGGTTGGCAGAAGCTGGGTCTAACAGCCGGAGCTTACCTTGCTCCCCGGATTCGAACTGCCGACCTTTTGGTCAGCAAGTTCAGCAACTCAGCGGTTTAACCCACTGGAAACTAGGAAAGATTTCACAGACTAAACAACCTTTCCCAAAAATACTCAAAATATCTGCCTAACAGAAAAACATCTAAACAAATAGTACATCAAATACACCTTATTGTTGTTGTTGTTGTTGTTGTTGTTGTTATTATTATTATTATTATTATTAACATGATTGTTATGTTTATTTAAGCCTTGCTTTTTCTCTCCATAAGTAGTCTCAAAGCGGCTTACATTAAAAGCATGTATACCATACCTGAGAGGGACTTTCCAGCACTGAGTGGATGGGCAATGACTTTGAATAATTTCTGTAATAAAATTAAAAGTGTGGGGTAAAACATGAAATTACATACTAGAAGCTACTAGACTTCAACTCCCATCATCCCTCTCCATCAACAGTTCTGGCTAAGGACTAATAGGAAGCATGAACCAACAATATCTGGAAAGCAATATGCACCCCATCCCTAAACTAAATGAAAAGGATAATTAGTGACTACTTAAATGACATCACCACATGAAGAAGACATTCTGATTTTCCACCAAGACAAGAAGTGAATTTTCTTTTTTGATAAAGAAAATACTTTTCTTTTATGTCTCACAAAATGTCAATCCAATTATCATCTGGTAGTTGGCATTATGGGTGTGTTGCTATTTTTACATGACTCTCCCTCAAACCAAGTTTTAAATATCAAGTTAAAAGTTGACCTTGTCGCCTATGCTGCTCAGAGTGGCAGCTTTCCACTGAGTCATACAGATATCATCTTTTTAATAGTCTTACAATATTTCTTAGCCTAGACGTAACTTGCATCTGTACCCACACAGTTTAAAATAATTTGCAGCTGATGAGAAAGAATAAAGTCAACCATGACTGAAGTTTTTCCAAGGACCTCTTACTCCTTGGAGAAAAGAAATCTCAATGGGATATTGTATCTTTTGGGTACATAACAAGATTTGATCATGCAACCAGAATTAAGAGTGAATGTGTCCTGTTTTAATTAAAAGCAAGGAAGCTTTGATCCGGTGGCTCAAATAAAGAGAATTCAGTCCAGATGACTCATTACTTTGTCCTAGTAATAAAGAGAAAAAGTTTTCAAGAACCCAAAACCATAATAAAATTAACAAAAGGCTGGTTCACTATGTGATGTTTCGGAGGGTATGGGGGGGGGGGGGAACGTATATAAGATATTCACATATCCTCAGCATTAATGATAACATTACAAAGTGATTTGTGTTCTATTCTGCAATCTAATAATTTCATTAGAAAATGGTTTCCAAGCCACTGTTTATGGCTTGGACAAAAAAAAAACTGGCTACAGATAAGAGCAATTTGTACATACAATACTAAAGAAAATATTAATGATAAAAAGATAAGACACTGTCTTTGAAAAGATAATGAGAGAAAAAGTGGAACGAAATAAGGCACAGGCCAGTAAGATATAGACAATGCTAATTGAGGTCGACGGGTATGCAATACAGGATTTGAAATGTATGTGGAAAATGAAGTTACAAATTACAAAAAAAGATACGAGACAAGTGGTAGAGACAGTAGGGATGATAAGGGATACAAAGGTAAGAGAAATGAGGAAGAAAATATTACATAAGTGGTATCGTACGCCCTGTCAATTAGTGCGCTATTATAAAAAGGGGAGCAGTCAGTGCTGCCATGGATGTCAACAGAAAGGGCAGTTTATGCATGTAATATGGGAATGTAAACAGATACAATACTTCTGGCAGACTATACAAAATGCGTCAAGCCCAATATTAGGAATCGATTGGGCTGAGGGGGAAAAGGAAGGGGCCTGAGGCTGTTAGGAATGGTGGGAGTTGAAGTCCAAAACACCTGGAGGACCGAAGTTTGCCCACACCTGTTCTAAAGTAATGATTGGCACACAAGATAGTTAGCATACGGCTTCACACTTCCTTACCTCCATTGGAGTAATAAAATCATTCATTCCACTGTTGTAGACATAGATCATGGCATCATACAAATGGTTTTCCCAACACATGAGGACAACCTAAGAACAAAAGAAAGCTTGGGACTTAAACATTTGTTAAAGACTACAAACACCATCATGTTTCCTGACTGATCTATAAGAATTCACTTGAGAATGATAAACACAGAGTTGAAAATGGTTTCCTTCATCCAGCAATAGATAATTTGTAAATCATATTTAAACTGGGTTGCTGTTAGTTTTCTGGGCCGTGTTCCAGAAGCATTCTCTCCTGACATTTCACCCACATCTATGGCAGGCATCCTCAGAGGTTGACAGGTCTCTTGGAAACTAGGCAAGTGAGGTTTATATATCCATGGAATGTCACCATGCTAATCAAGGTGGCGGGGACGAGAGAGAGGGCCTTTTCGGTGGTGGCCCCTCGGCTGTGGAACACTCTCCCGGCACACATCAGACAGGCGCCCTCCCTCATGTCCTTTCGAAAAAGCCTTAAGACCTGGCTTTTCGAGAGGGCATTTAATTAAGTGCTAAGTAATAACATTACGGCAATGAGAACTGGAACGGTATAAGGAAGATGAGACTGGCTATGATTCTACTAAGAGACGAAGCGGATTTTTATGTAGTTTGTATTGTTGTATAGTTATATGTTGTTGATATTGGCCTCTGTAACTGTCTTTTTATGTGTATTGTACACCGCCATGAGTCGCCCGTAAGGGCTGAGAATGGCGGTTAACAAGTGCATCAAATAAATAAATAAATAAATAAGGTGGCCAAATGCTTGCCTCAATCAGACAAGAGTTCTTTCTCCCACCCTGGACTTTCCACATATATATAAACCTTACTTGCCTAGTTTCCAACAGACCCCTCAACCTCTGAGGATGCCTGCCACAGATGTGGGTGAAACGTCAGGAGAGAATGCTTCTGGAACATGGCCATACAGCCTGGAAAACTCACAGGAACCCAGTGATCCGGGCCATGAAAGCATACTTAAACCTTTGCACAGATCATAGGATTATTAAAACCTGCTTTAAAAAAAAGGTTCTAGCACCAATCATTGCAAAAATAAGTTCAATTAAATTACTTTTATGTAACTGGGAGGGGAGTAATGACCATTATCTGTTTTATGCTCTGCTTCAACCTATATTCTGATACATTCAGTATGGTTTCTAGCATAGTTATGACTGACAAAAATGTCTCCGTCATCATGTTCTCCCTGTTTAGTGTAACAACAGCCCTTCTAAATACTCCTTAAATCTATCTTGCTTCTAAGAGGGGGCGTTTGAAAAGGCATAACTGGATGCTTCAGTGTCCTCATGTCACAATGTTTAGTTACAAGCCTTTGTTGATACAGAGGTTTCTTTAACACTTTGATGTTTCAGAAGAACATGACATTTTTAGTCCAAAATAGTTATTTTATCTAAAATATTTATATTCTTTCTTTCCAGATTAAAAATGTTCAAGTCGTCGAAGAAACAGAAAGAATGGCATGTTTTGTTTACAGAGGAAGAAGGAGGAGGAGGAGGAGGAGAACTACTTTATTTTTCTACCCCAACTCCATCTCCCTGAAGGGACTCGAGGCAGCTTAGATGGGGCCCAAGCCCAGGCAGAAAACAATTAAAATAAAGCAATAACAATTAAAACAGCATAAAACAACATAACAAAAATAACTAGCAACAACAATAACAGCAGGCTAATTTTGGAGGGGGGGAGGAAAGCCACTATGCGAACTAGTTAAAGGATAAAGTGGTTTAGTAAAGTAGATGACAATGTATTAAGGCATAGGAAAAATCATGGAAACAGAGTAAATTAACAGGATCAGTTAATATAATATAGGACATCAAGATTGAAGTGGGGAAAAGCAAGGATATAGTAGCCCAAAATGCAAGCACAGTAGTACTAAAATGAATTCAGATGTCATGTTAATTGACTGAAGCCAGGACATAAATCCTCCACTTTGCATTATTTGGTGCTTGGCATCTTTTGGTGGCCCCAAGGTCTCTTCTGGGGATAGAAAATTGGTTCTGAACCCAATTTTCTCTTCTGGGGACAGAAAATTGGTTCTGAACCCAATTTTCACATCTACAGCAGCATGGGAAGGACACGAGGCTCAAAACCAGGCAAACTAGGCTGGAGAGGGAGCTTCACAGATGGCACAGCACAAGAGAAGGAGAACTACGGAAAAGGTCTCAAGACCCTTCTACACTGCACTATAATTTAGATTATCAAAGCAGATAATCCACATTACTTGCTTTGAATTGGATTATATGAGTCTACACTGCCATATAATCCAGTTTAAAGCAAATAATCTGGATTTTGTATTGTAAAAGGCTTTCATGGCCAGAATCACTGGGTTGCTGTAGGTTTTTTCGGGCTATATGGCCATGTTCTAGAGGCATTCTCTCCTGACGTTTCGCCTGCATCTATGGCAAGCATCCTCAGAGGTAGTGAGGTCTGTTGGAACTAGGAAAGGGGGTTTATATATCTGTGGAATGACCAAAATACTGGATTCTGTATGCTTAGGCTCCATTCAAGCATTACTCCCAAGGCAGGTCAGGTCTGGAGGTAATTCCAAACACATTGACGTAACTGTGAATAACACAGTATTCTGCTAGTGTAATAGTAGCAGAATAATATGTTGTTCATAGGAACATTGATCTGTTTGGAATCCAGATATGGCTTAATGCCCTCTGGGGCCACTCTGACAACCATAATATATTCTACAGTAAGAACTGAAATTAATTGAGACAATTATGTATGCAAGATAATTGTTTATAGGTAATACAAGAGTCTTGTTTGGCTTCAGAACACTTATGCACTAGGAAGCACAGGTAAAACTACTCAAAACGATGCATAATAAATCTCAAGCCATAAGGAGAGGCAGGTAAGAAATAAAATAATAATAATTAAATAGGAGGAATCAATTAATGCCAGTAGTAAAAGATTCATTACCTGCTGTATATCTAGACTGGTAACATCCATATGCACAATGCAAGCCTCCATGTTTGCCATTAAATTCTTATCCTGAAAGTGCAGCAGCAAATCCTTCATAATTTGAGCTGTCATGCCCACCAACTTATCACTTATAATGTAAGGTTCGAGGCACTCCAAGAAGACACCCTTCGCCACAGAGTTTTCTGCCATCTTGTCATACATCTGACTAAACAATAGGTCCCTAGAAGGGAGGAAAGAAGTGATTAGCAGATAGGTTACAGAGACAGAATAAATTATTGAGCTAACTATAACCATGATTAAATGCTAAAGTAGAAAGCGAAAGGATAAGGAAGGAATCTAGTGGCACATTGAAGATTGACTAATTTTATTACAGCATGGGTTGTCGTGAATTTCAAGCCACTTTTTTACCTGCAATGACGAACTAAGATTTCTTAATTTCTAAATATACTAACCAGAGAACAATACTTTCTATGTTCAGACCCAAATTCTACAGTGTGGCTTTCACAGGATCTCATTTCGTCATTTGCCATTTTGGAAACTAAGCCGTTTGCAATGCATCAATGTGATACAGGATTTATCATATAGGACATGGCTTCTCTATGGTCATATATTCCATAACTGTCAGTTGTTAGATCTGAATTTTCCTCTGAGACACCCGCTGTGGACAGCCTAAAAGAGCAGGACCAGCACTGGTTCCCCCAAAGGAGCATATGTCAGAAATATTAAAAATTAACTGAGTATTTTTGGTTACAAAAATGTGAGCCAAGAACTGAAAGAGTTAGTAGGCTGAATCATGTTAAAGTCAGTTGGCCAAAATTAGCGTCATCCTGAAGAGAGTGAGTAGGCTGAAGCTTGTTAAGAGTTTGTGGGCCAAAGCTAGTGTTGTCCTAAGGACTGTGAGATAAACCTCTGAGAGAAGCCTCGTGTGAGAAAGCTCCAGTGTGAAGGTTGCCGCGTATAAAGCTACTATGCATTTGTTTATTTGTGTTATGGAAACCTAGTTCTTGTAAACAGTGCAATCATATTATTTTACTACAAAGAAAAGTCTCCTATGAAAGAGATAACATTGTGTGTTTTTGTTCTTTTTATCACTTTGGGCTACTATTGCTGCTAATAAGTTACTCTGCTGTACATTTATGAGGAGGGTCTTCTGTTAATAAGCCCATTCACCCAACAGTATACATGACATATTCAATTGGTAGACTTTAACTTACATCCGCTGAAGCAGCAGGCAATAATCAACAATGACAGGGACCATATCCTGTACAAGGATCATAATGAAAGGATCACATCACCAATAATTCACAAATACAGCTGAATATATTATTACAGGTTGAGCAACTCTTCTCCAGAATTCCCAAATATACCCAAACCCAAAATTGTCCACATGGGTGGCTGAGATAGTGACACCTTTGCTTACTACTGGTTCAATGTACGCAAACTTTATTTTATGCTCAAAATCATTAAAATGTTTGTCTTAGTTGAGAAATAAAAGAAAGATATAACAACAACAACATACTCCCTGGCTATGTTTATGAGATGTATACGAAACATAAATGAATTCCATGTTTAGGTTTGAGTCCCATCTCCAGGATGTAACATTATGTAAGTATACACAAATACAAGTTCAGGCAGCCCCGAGTTACAAACACCTGACTTACAAACGACTCATAGTTAAGAACAGGGTGGGACAACAAGAAGTGAGAGAAATCTACTCCTTAGAAGGGAAATTGACTCCTGAAAGAGTTGCTATAGAGAAAAGGTGTCTTCACTGAAGTGTTATCACCAATCCTTGTTTCCACAATAAGCCAATTTTTTCAAAATCCAATTTTCACAGGGACAGAAAGTGAGGGGTTTTTTTTTTCCGTGTCAGGAGCGACTTGAGAAACTACAAGTTTCTTCTGGTGTGAATGAATTGGCCGTCTGCAAGGACGTTACCCAGAGGACACCCAGATATTTGATGTTTACCATCCTTGTGGGAGGCATCTCTCATGTCCCTGGATGGGGAGCTGGAGCTGACAGAGGGAGCTCAACCTGCTCTCCCCAGATCCATCAGTCAGCAGTCCTGCTGGCACAAGAGTTTAACTGGGGACTACAGAAAGTGAGGTGAAACAGGGGCACAACAGTAAAACATCCACAGGATTGTTAACCCTCCTCTATACTATCCAAAGTGTGTGTGTGTGTGTATATACCGGGCTATAGTTACACTTAAAATGTACCTGTTCCGACTTACAATCAAATTCAACTTAAGAACGAACCTACATAACCTATCTTGTTCATAACTTGAGGACTGCCTGTATTACCAATGTTTTTTTAACAAATCCAAAATATTTCTGGTTCCATATATTTTAAGTAAAGGATGCTCAACCTCTACGGCTATAGCATGTTTCTTCAAAAGAGTTTTGAGTCTTACATCAAAACTGCGATCTTAATAAATTATTTCTTGCACATTATCCCCAAGATAGAAAAGACTGCTGGGACTTTCTATGGATTTGTTTTAGTAACCTGAGGTGGCAAAAAAATTAGATGAGCTCTACCTTCCCTTTCCATTCCACTCCATGCCCCAAACCCTATCTGTCAAATAGATGAATATTGAATGAAATAGAAGCATCTCCAACAGCTCCTGGCATCTGTCCCCTAAGGTGTCTGCCTGAATCTCCCCTAATAGTAAAACATCACAGATTTTGACGTGGGGCTTGAATGTCTTTTTTAAAATGCACAAAATAATGTTACTTTTATTTCTGAATGGTAAACAGATACAGTTGTATTTTAAAAAGGAAACAAGTGATCACTCCAATCATTGTACTGTACCTGAAAGTATTGCTCCATCACTTGGATTTTACCCTGCTCAGGACATTTCTTCATAATTCTATCAGCATAATGGATAAGAATCTCAACCATCTGCGTGGGAGAAAAGAAACACAGTCAGAGAATTCCTATTATGCATCGTATCAAGGAAGATTGAAGAGATATTGTCAATGCTGTCACTTCCAGGATCCTCTTACATTACTAGAGCATGCCACAGTGTTGAAGATAAAATACCTGAAATATTGGGGGGGAAATCAGCAACTATGACTGACCCCCTTGCCAAATGGAAACTATACAATTTCTCTGTATTATATCCCAACAAGCAACCTCTTGCCCTGCCCACAAGAGCATTGGTGTCGGTGGATAGCAAAAACCAGGTTTGCTTTTATATTTTTTTCTCTATATTTTTTAACATTGATTGGTTGCACCCATGGAAGCAAACCAATCAATGGGGTTCTTCAGTACCATATATACTCAAGTATAAGCCAACCTAATTTTACCACAAAAAAAGGAAAAACATATTGACTTGAGTATAAGCCGAGGGCGGGAAATGCAGAAGCTACTGGTCAATTTCAAAATAAAAACAGATACCAATAAAATTACATTCATTGAGGCATCATTAATTGAGGTTAAATGTTTTTGAGTATTTACATAAAACTGTAATTTAAGATAAGACTGTCCAACTCTGATTCAACCATTATTCTAACCTTCTTCAATGTAAATGTGCTTACATATCCTTCTAATAATAATAAAGAGAGTAAAATAATGGAAATGTAATAGTAACAGTAATTATAGAGTAAAATAATAAATGTAATACTGATAGAGTAAAATAATAAATGTAATAATAATATTAGAGTAAAATAATAAATGTAATAATAGTAATAATAAATAGAGAAAAATAATAAATGTAATAATCGCGTAAAATAATAAATGTAATAATAATAGTGTAAAATAATAAATGCAATAATAGTGTAAAATAATAAATGTAATAATAATATAATAAAATAATAAATGTAATAATAGTAATAATAGAGAAAAATAATAAATGTAATAATAATAGTGTAAAATAATAAATGTAATAAAGTAATAGAGTAAAATAATGTAAATGTAATAATAATAAATAGAGTAACATAATAAATGTAATAAAAATAATAACAGAGTAAAATAATAAATAACTTTAACACAAATATAAGCCGAGAGGGGCGTTTTCAGCCTTAAAGAAGGGTTTAAAAAACTCGGCTTATACTCGAGTATATATAGAATATTGTTTGCATTATTTAAATTTACTAGTACTTGGTCATGTAATGTGAATGTGTAGCATTCCCATTCTTGATTTACATTTTCCTTTCATTTCTCAGATCTTGTGTAAGAGGTTTATTGCTCTTTCTTTTTGCTGTTGTTGTCATCTTCTATTTTTCTGCATTGTCGTTTTCCTTGTCCCACTTGCATCCAGGGTTCTGACTCTATTTCTGCCATCTTTTCCTTTTGCTTCTCATTTGTTATTAACCGCATAGAATTTTATCTGTCATTTACTGAGGCTTTTCTTTCTTTTTGGCTGCAGTTCTGATCCTTAATGTATTAATATATTTTGCTTTCACACCATTTAAACCTCCAGTTTCTTGCTGGAGGGGGAAAAGGAGCATCTTGGGGAGGAAAGAATGTAATTCTACATCTGAAAGAAGATAACATTAAGGAAAAAGGAAACTTACTCTGTCTGCAACGACAGCCTTGCGTTTCTGTTCCTCCCCAGATAGCCCTGTATAGAACATAAAAACAAAAATGAAACACTGCAAAAGTAAGCATTCGTACCTCTTATAACTCTAAACCAGACATGGGGAAACTTTTGTCCTCCAGGTGTTTTGGACTTCAACTCCCACAATTCCTAACAGCCTCAGGCCCTTTCCTTTTCCCCCTCAGCCTCAGGAAAGGGGCCTGAGGCTGTTAGGAATTGTGGGAGTTGAAGTCCAAAACACCTGGAGGGCCCAAGGTTGCCCATGCCCTGCTCTAAAGAATCCTTTATTGTCTACTGTACTGCTCCATCTCCTCCAGCAACAAAAAGCGAACATTAAAATCAGTACGTGGATGGTCTCCAAACATCAATGCAGAGATCGCATTGATGTTTCTCCCTTGCGCCAGAGGAAATGTGACAAAAGAGGTACTTTACAACACATTTGGCCTGAGTGCACAAAGTTAGCAAATTGTGGGACGAGATCCTTCTCGATGCAACAAATTTGTTTGTTTATTTATTTATTTCGGACATTTGTATCCCATCCTATCTCAACCTCTGCAGAGGGACTCAGGGTGGCTAACAACCAGCACACCATGGTGCCCACAACCAAAAGCATAAATATACAATTGAAATAAAAACAATATAAAAATATTGTTGAAGGCTTTCATGGCTGGAATCACTGGGTTGTTGTAGGCTTTTTTGAGTTATATGGCCATGTTCTAGAGGCATTCTCTCCTAACGTTTCGCCTGCATTAATGGCAAGCATCCTCAGAAGGGGCCTGAGGCTATTAGGAATTGTGGGAGTTGAAGTCCAAAATACCTGGAGGGCCAAAGTTTCCCCATGTCCGGTTTAGAGTTATAAGAGGTACTTGTTAATGAATTGCACAGGCTGAGAAACTCACCCACAACATAAAGCAAGCCAAAAGACTGAACAGGAAAGACATTTTTGAATAAATATTGTGTAATGTTATTGTATACGGCAAGAAGGACATTGGTCTACGAGAGTCTCCACCTTCCTTCATAATATTGAGGAGGAATCCTTTTTGAAGGGGAACATACAGTATTTTACTACAGTAGCATGTGGTTAAGCTTTATTTATTTTATTTTGCTACTGTACGTATTTTATTCTGATGTAATTTATTTGCTTTATTTATTTTATTTTGCTATTGTACGTATTTTATTCTGATGTAATTTTTGTTGTCTGTAGTCTGCATTTTATTTTGCCGTATTGTACCTTTGGGCTTGGCCTCATGTTAGCCACCCCAAGTTCCCTTTGGGGAGATGGTAGCAGGGTATAAAGAATGTTTATAATAATATTATTATTATTAAGCAACACTTTTTTTTCTTTGTTCCACTGGGATTCTATTGTTAGATGAAAATGACAATTGTCTGCAAAGTACACCAAAAGAGAGATAATAATAATAATAATAAAAAAAGAATGGTGTGAAAAATCTCTAAACACACCTACCTACAACAGCCTTGGCTTTCCCTTCATGGAAGGACCAAGCAAGAGCGAGAGCTTCATTCAGGCATTCTTGTTTCAGTAGGTGGTCTATTCTCTAAAGTTAAACATATATTAGAAACAAGTCTTACTGATTTAAACAGATTATGGATAAATAGGCCCCCTGGTGGCTGAGTTTCTGAACTTAAACCACTGAGCTGCTGATCTTGCTGAGCTCCCATCATTAGGCTCAGCTTCTGCCAACCTAGCTGATTGAAAATGTGCAAATGTGAGTAGATCAATAGGTACCGCTTCTTTGGGAAGGTAACAGCGCTCCATGCAGTCATGCCAGCCACATGACCTTGGAGGCATCTATGGACAATGCCCGTTCTTTGACTTAGAAATGGAGATGAGCACCACCCCCCAGAGTCGAACACGACTAGACTTAATGTCAAGGGGAAAACCTTACCTTTTTAAGCTGCAAAAACTATTGCAGACCACATAGGTAGCATTTTTTCTTATTTATATAAAATTTACATTGATAATAAAAATATAAATAAAATTATTCTAAATGTATTTCAAGACAGAAATATTTAATAGATTAATCCATTTCGGCGCTCCATGCAGTCATGCCAGCCACATGACCTTGGAAGTATCTATGGACAATACCGGCTCTTTGGCTTAGAAAGGGAGATGAGCACCAACCCCCAGAGTCAGACACAATTAGACTTGATGTCAAACCTTTATCTTGACCTTTATGGATTAATACTAGTCCCTTAGGAAACAGTTGGTGTTTTTACGGTTTTGAAACCAGGTGATTTCACTTGGAGCTTAATAAATTTCTGGAATGTTTGAGTAAAACAATTTTAACAGCCACTATTATGAAAATCTGCTAATGCAACTTATTTCATGTTGCTTGCTCATGCAAAATAAGTCTATCTGAAAAAGAAAGACACATCTGAAAACTTTCCCAATTATAAAATTAAGAGTCATCATTTGATTCAAATGGAACCATAATATCACACAATTGCTTTTTCGTGACATCAACAAAAAAACAAAAGATAGAAATAATTAAGACTAATTAAAGTGATCAGTATGCCCATGTCTGGATGGCTATTTCAACATTTACAGAACGAACAGAGCAAATTACTGAGAGAGCAAATAGTGTGATAAATTCTAGCAGAAGGCACTTTGCAAATGTTTCACATTCTTGTGACTGGTATCGCAAATCTAAACAGTATTAAAAATAACTGGATCAAAAGCACTGTTAAAAAGAGTGAAAAGGGTCACAGTAGCACAGCAGGTTAAACCGCTGGCTGCGGGAAATCTGCTGTCCAGAAGGTTGTCAGTTCGAAGCTGCGAGTCGGAGTGAGCTCCCGACTGTCAGTCCTGGCTTCTGCCAACCTAGCAGTTCGAAAGCATGCAATGTGAGTAGATTAGTAGGTACTGACTCGGCGGGAAGGTAAAAGGCTGCCCCATGAAGATATGCAGACATGCCAACAGCACAATCCGAGATGTCTATGGACAACAGGCTCCTCAGCATGGAAAAATGGAACAAGTGCACCTCCCCATGGCCAGAGTTTAGCATCGTCTCCAGATGCCATGAACAGAAAAAATGTCTGTGTTGTATGTTGTTGTTCACTGTGTGTAAAAGGCATTGAATGTTTGCCTCATATGTGTATATTGTGATCTGCTCTGAGTCCCTCCGGGGAGGTAAAGGGGAATATAAATAAAGCATATTATTATTATGACGATAGCAGCATTCATGTTGAGATAGGAATGTTTCAGTATGTTGAGTTAATGAATTTAGATTCATAAATCAGAATACTGTGTTGTCAAAGGCTTTATGGCTGGAATCACTAGGTAGCTGTGAGTTTTTCAGGCTGTATGGCCATGTTCCAGGAGCATTCTCTCTTAATGTTTCACCCACATCTATAGCAGGCATCCTTGGGGGTTGTCTGACTTCACAACCTCTGAGGATGCCTGCCATAAATGTGGGAGAAACCTCAGGAGAGACTGCTTCTGGAACATGGCCATACAGCAACCCAATCAGAATACTATTGTGGTTTTTTTTGGTCTAGTCATCTAATCTGAGAAACTGGGCCCATTTGGTAACTCTGTTTATCAAGTCAGAAAACAAAACACATTAAGAAGGTTTCTTTTCTCACTCACCTCTCTCCAGCTCCTCAATGTCATGACATGAACAGACTGAAAGCAGAAGGAAATAAGAGAGCAACCAAGTTACACTTGCTTATTCAACCACTACCAATAATTAAAAATTCCCATAGCACAGTTTGAGTCTCCCTTATCCAGAAATCCAAAATACTCCCAAACTCAACCTTTTTACTGCCATCACCAACTTCTATTTTGGAAGAAAAGGGGTTAGTAACATGTCCAGCACCCTCTGAGCTTTTCCTAAAGAAGCAGTGATGGAAGAGAAAAGAAGGGGAAGATGATTCTGCTTTTCACAGCATTGTTGCATATAATTAAACGTCCCAAAAGCTTCTGTGCTTATTTTCCTCCTGGCTAATGGTGGGAACCCTGAGAACAGGCTGTAGGGGAAATGGGATACTTGATCTGTACCATGAACAAGATGATGAAGCAACATTTAGTTTTGCTAGAGCTACTACATCAAACTTTTGAATGACAAGAACAAGTCCCAGGCTGATGGGCTCTTCTTCCCTTGTTCTCTTATATACTTTCCATTAAGAATTCAAAACTACTTGCTTCTGCTCAATTCAGATCTGTTCTGTTGTCCAAATCTCTCAAATTTTGGTTAATCTTAACTACGGGTAGCTTGAAATAAGAAACAGTTTGAAGCAGTCCTGTGAAGCTGAGTTAAAACAGAATTTATTTTAAATATAATTTTGACTAAATGGGTGCAGTAGGTTAAACTGCTGAACTACTGAACTTGCTGACTGAAAGGTTGGCATTTCGAATCCAGGGAGAAGGGAGAGCTCCTGATGTTAGGCCCAGCTTGTGCCAACCTAGCAGTTCGAAAACATGTAAATCTGAGTAGATCAATAGGTACTACCTCAGTAGGAAGGTAAACGGCACTCCATGCAGTCATGCTGGCCACATGACCTAGCAGGTGTCTATGGACAATGCCGGCTCTTCAGCTTAGAAATGGAGATGAGCTCTACCTCCCAGAGTCGGACACAACTAGACTTAATGTCAAGGGGAAACCTTTATCTTTACTTTTGACTAAATCTCCCAGGATCTCTAAGCCGGTATAGACAGGAGATATATTTTTCTGGGAAGCAGGAGTTTTGTGAACTATAACACTATGTACCAAATTTGAAAAGAAATCTGTTCCTATTTTCAAAGTGTTATTTCCTGTTTGCTTCTGCAGTACTTACTTTATTTTTGTGGTTGCCATAAACTATGTTGAGATATTCATTGAAAAACTATAGCAAAATAAACCGATGTCCTGCAAAAACAATGTTTTTGCAGTTTAAGAAACCTTTTCCATGTTTTTATGATAAAACCAATCAGGAAATAATGTTTATAACCCAGGAACAAAAACTGTGTTACATAGTGTGATCCCTGAAAAAGAAACTTTTCTAAACTGTGATTGATTAAACACAGTTTAAGATTCAGACTATTTGACAAGTTGTGGTTAATTAAAAACAAATCACACATTCTCATCCTTCTGTGATTTGTTTTATTTCAACATTACCAAAAATTCTGGCTTAAGACAAACCAAGACTTTTATGCTGAACGTAATATATCACAGAAATGGAGATGGAAAGCCCATGGTCCCAGCATTCTATCAAAGGTTCCTACATTTTATTTATGAACCCTAAATCAGGCCACTGAATTCTACGTTCCCATATTTCTTACAGCTGTCTTTAGCATTTATCTAAATTGAAAGATTTTTTAAAAATAAGTGCTTTTACATAATGTCAATTCTTACCTTTGTGCCTACATAAAATATTTGACCACCACAGTTGCTGATTGACTGGTAGCAAGCCTTCTCCCCAACCAGGGCCTACAAGTAGAAATATTTTGCTTTAATGTTAAAATATAGTTGGAAAACCCTATAATTTCCTTGAATTCTTTGTCATTTTGTCATATATAAAGCAAAACTGTGTATCCAATCATTTAGTATTTACTTGCATTACACTTGAAAACTATTAGCCAGTACAACATGGGGAGATGAGGTCAACAAACCAGCTAGTATTTTTTCTAATCGTTTTGTAATTCACAGCAGAAAAACTTGAGCAAAATCCAATTTTTCTTTAAGGTAAGTGTTAAAACCCTTTGAAGTAAATTCTAGAGAGATGATATGACCTGAGTGGTGTAGTGACAGGAATGTTGGAGGAGGACTTTGGATATCAGGGTTCAAATTCGCACTTGGCCATAGAAATCCACTGGGCAATTTTGCGCAAGTTTCTGTCTCAGAGAATACATCAAGGCACACAATGGGGACAATGGTTTTTTATATACGTTACGTAAAAAAAAGGAGAATAATGGCAAAGATTCCAACTATTTCAACATGAGTTTGGAAGTATCAAATGCTCATCCCATTGAAAATAAAAATGTCCTGCTATTCTTAGTTTTAATGCATATTTAATAGTTATTTTTGCAACTTTCTCCTGATTATTGGAACTTTAACATCCATTTCTTGGACCACATAAAGGCTATACGTCTCTCTCTCTCTACACAATGAATATATTCTGAATGGCCACACTGCAGATTCCCATATAATTAGTGACCCTTTTGAGCTGATAGTTACGCAAGGCTCAATGAGAACATTACTGTATTGTCAAAGGCTTTCATGGCCGGAATCACTGAGTTGTTGGAGGTTTTTTGGGCTGAATGTTCTAGAATGTTCTAGAAGCATTCTCTCCTGACGTTTCACCTGCATCTATGGCAGGCATCCTCAGAGGTTGTGAGGTCGGAGGTGCTTTGAATGCAATTTTCCCCCTTTTTGGCAGAGGGTTGGACTGGATGGCCCATGAGGTCTCTTCCAACTCTATGATTCTATATAGAAGCACTTGGCATTAAGCAGCAGTAAATGGAAATGTCTGGCCAACATGTGCCAATGTCTAATCGCTAAACTTAATAACCTCAGGATATAATACAGAGAAAACAGAGTCAGGAAGAGCTGATACTTTATAACATAGCAGTGTTCTCTAGGCCATATTGCACTATGTTCTCAACAGAGAATCAAGCGATGTAATATTCAACTGCCTTCCTCATCCTGATTCACAATATTACTAGCCAGTAGCCATAGTTACACAGAAAAGAGGAACATAGAAACCAAATAGGACACTGTGATCCTTTGTTATTCACTGGCTATTTCTGGGCACACCATATTTCAGGTAAGAAACCTATTCAGCAGAGCAACTATTCAGCAGAGCATTCTACCAATGATCTTTTAATACATGATTTATTGGACGGTACCAGTGCTTGGCTGACGTTTCCTCCTGTCGCCAGTGACTTGAAGTGGCTGCTATTGTAAACTAACTGAACTTCTGAGATTTCCACTGTCTCGAGCTCCTCCTGTGTTTGGCGATCGATCACATGCAACTTTTCCACACTGTCCAGAAGCACAATGGTGCGGGAGTTTATCCACTAGAAAACAAATATAGAAAGGACAAGTAATTAACACGTACAAGTGATACTCAAGGCTTCTAACTCTTTCAAAACTTTCAATACTGAATTGTTAAAATCACATGAGGATTTAAAAAAAGACTTTGGAAATTTGTCATGGTTACACTATATGCAATTATGTAGTTATTATAAACAAGATAAGAAAACAGGCTTTTGCCTAGAAGAAAATGTATGGGAGAAACTACTAAATTCAGAGAAAAAATTGATATCTAAAATTTATAGTAAACTACTGGATTGGGCAACGGAAACAGAAACTGTTAAAAATTGTATGGTTAGATGGGCCCAAAATGTGAGAAGACCAATCCATTTAAGGGAATGGGACATGATATGGAATAAAAAAATTAAATATACTTATGTGACAAACCTAAAAGAAAACCTATGGAAGATGTTCCACAGGTGGCATATTACACCAAAAAAAATAAGTATAATGTATAAGAATACAGAAAATAAATGCTGGAAGTGCCAAGAAGAGGAAGGTAGCTATTATCACATGTGGTGGACTTGCAAAAAAGCACAAGAATTTTGGAAAAAAATACACATGGAGTCTCAAAATTTTTTAGAAATCACATATTTAAAAAAGCCCGAGTATTATCTACTAAATATTACAGATTCGGCTATCAATTTAGATCAAAACAAAGATATATTACTGACATATTTAACAACTGCAGCAAGAATTATCTATGCAAAATACTGGAAACTGGGAGAAATCCCAGACATAGAGAGTTGGCTAATTAAAATTTTAGAAATTAAAGACATGGACAAACTAACATTTTGGTTAAAAAAGAACTCAGGAAACCCAATGCGAGAGACAGATTGGTCTCTCTTTGAAAATTATATGGAAGAAAAGAAGAAAGAAGACAGATGAGGAAGAAAAAGTGATGGAAGGTCGAGTATGCAACAAAATCCCAGATTGGAAGTCAACAATGTATTTTTTTTCCTCTCCCCTTACACAGTTGTCTGTAAACCCCCCACCCCATTGCCTCTCTATTTCTCCTTCCTTTTCTTTTACCTCTTTACTGTTGGGTATTGTTCTCACTCTTTCCCTGTAACCCTACAATATCCTAAAACTTCAATAAAATTTATTTAAAAAAAAACAAACTTTCATATCCAAATACAGGTACACACCAGCTGACAAAGAAGCTCCTTCACACAAAGGTTTTTTATCAGAGCCCTAAATTCCACTTAGCTCGTTGTTAGTCATCTTATTATTAGCACTAGCTGTGCCCTGCCACGCGTTGCTGTGGCCTTTAGTAAGAGTTTTGAAGTCTCTGCCTGGCCTCTCTTCCTTCCTTCACTCGCCCTCTTTCCCTCTTTCTCTCTCTCACACTCCTTCCTTTCCCCTCTTTCTCTCTCTCTCTCTCTCTGGCATCCCTCCTTCCTCCCCCTTCTTTATGCTTGTGTGTAAACTTGAGTATCTTCTGTTGGTCATGGGGGTTCAGTGTGGCATGTTTGCCCCAATTCTGTCGTTGGTGGGGTTCAGGATGCTCTTTGAGTGTTGGTGAACTCTGAATCCCAGTGACTACAACTCCCAAATGTCAAGGTCTATTTCCCTCAAACTCCATCTGTGTGGATATTTGGGCGTATTGAATGCTTTGGTCTGGATCCATCATTGCGCCTTCAAAGTCGCCCCCTCCCTTCTCCCCACCCCTTCCCTCCCTGAGTCACTCCTTCCCTCCTCCCACCCCCTCCGGAAAGACACGCCCCCTCCCTTCGCCCCACCCCTTCCCTCGAGTGTCTCAGGGAGGGAAGGGGTGGGGCGAAGGGAGGGGGCGTGTCTTTCTGGAGGGGGTGGGAGGAGGGAAGGAGTGACTCAGGGAGGGAAGGGGTGGGGAGAAGGGAGGGGGCGACTTTGAAGACACGCCCCCTCCCTTCACCCCACCCCTTTCCTCCGTGACTCACTCCTTCCCTCCTCCCTCCCTCTCCGGTTAGACACGCCCCCTCCCTTCGCCCACCCCTTTCCTTCCAGGAGTGTCTCAGGGAGGGAAGGGGTGGGGCGAAGGGAGGGGGCGTGTCTTTCCAGTGGGGATGCGGCGCGGCGAGGCTTGGAGTGTGCGGAGCGGGGCTTGGAGGCAGCGTGGGAGGAGTAAGATGAAGGAGGGGGTGGAGGGAAGGGGGCGGGGGGAAGTTGCGTTGTTTGTGTGTGTGTGTGTGCCGTGGGGAAGTGCGGTGACGTGTTCGCGCTGGGCGGGGCGGGGCGAGGGAGGGAAGTGCGTTGGCCGTTCGGCCATGTGTGCGCACGCGCTGGAGACTTTGCGCCAGTGCGCCATGCTCAGTTGTTTTGCCGTTTTTTCTGTGTGTGGTTGTGTTGTTTTGATTTCTGACTGGATTAGTTTGTACCTAGTGGGTTGTCCTTGGGGCATGGCAATTTTGGTAGAGTTTTGTGGAGGGGTTTTAGAGTTTTGCTTCCCCGTTGGACGCCAGTAGGAAATTTATAGATATAGATTATTATTATTAGATGAAAATCCTCATTTAGGTCTTCAGGAACCAGAGATTTTAATTTTAAAATCCACTCTACTTCTTCTATAATGCAACATTATACATAATTTCATTATGTATTCATTGCTACCTCTTTTTATATATTGATATAGACCTTGAGGAATGCTTTTAAGAATATATACAGATTGAAACAAATAGGGCTTTTTCACAATTAAAACACCTATCATTTGATCACTTTGAGATGTGCCTCCAGGTTTGTTTTGGGGTTTTTTGTGGTTTTTATCAGGTATAAATGCTGCAAGTTGCTTTCTGAAGCCAGAGAAGGAGACGAAGAAAACAGAAGAACGGCCTGCCTCAGGGGAGTGTGCTTGTTCAGTCAGTGTTTAACATTTAAACAAATGATCAGCTACTGCCAAATGGGACAGAGAGTTTCTTCTATGCTGATGATTGTGCCAACACCACTCAACCAGGGAGCTTTGAAATGGTTGAACAGAAGCTCTCCGAAGCTTCAGGTGCTCTTACTGCCTATTACAAGGAAAACCAACTGATTCCTAATCCATCTAAAACACGGACATGGGCTTTCCATCTTAAGAACAGACATGCATCTCGAACTCTGAATGTTACCTGGGAAGGAATTGCACTAGAGCGTTGCAGCATACAAAAATACCTGGGAATTACTCTGGACCATGCTCTGACTTATAAGGAGCGCTGCTTGAATATCTGGCCAAAAGTGGGTTAGAGAAATCATATCATATTAATACTGATTTGTCCAACCTGGGGATCACAACCAAATAAAGTGAAGACATCTGCCCTTGCACTTTCCTACTCTGCTGCATATGCATGCCCAGTGTGGAATACATTTCACTGCATTAAAACAGTGGATGTGGCTCTTAATTAGACATGCCACATTATCACAGGATGTCTACACCCTAAACTAAATTATACCTGACATCCGTCGGGAAGTAGCAGCCAGTAATGAAAGGACCAAGACATTGACATCTCTGGCCCATCCTCTGTTCAGATATCAGCCAGCATGCCAACGACTTAAATAAAGAATTAGCTTCCTAAGATCTACAGAGATACTCGCAAGAACACCGCAGCAAATGAGAGTCCAAAGATGGCAGGTAAAAACTCGGAACCTCAATTGGTGGCTGATACCGGATGAGAAACTCCTTCCTGGATGCACAAAAGACTGGGCGACTTGGAAGGTGCTGAACAGACTGCGCTCAGGCACCACGAAATGCAGAGCCAATCTTTAGAAATGGAACCAGAAAGTGGAGTCCACAACATGCGAGTGTGAAGAAGAGCAAACCACAGACCACCGACTACAATGCAACCTGAACCCTGCCACATGCACAATGGAGGACCTTCTCACAGCAACACCAGAGGCACTCCAAGTAGTCGGCTTCTGATCAAAGGAAATTGAGTATAATGCCAATGTTTAACTTTGTTTGTGGTTTTTTAAATACTTTATCACTGTATTCTCAATTCGCTTCTGATAGGATAAATAAAATAAATCAGGTATACCACCCTGACCTGACTTTGCTTAGTTTGTCTTCTTTAAGCACAAAAATATTTGAGATACAAAATTAAAAACAAGGAAACAAGTACAGTGGTAAGTGTTTTATACAGCTACCTCATGTTATACACCCAAATTATTTCTCTATAAGATTTCTTGAAATAATTACTTTTCATTCATTTTCTACTCCCAGGATAAATTAAGATAAATTAGAATAATTATAAAGATGTACTGGTGGATTTTGTCATTAGCAAACATTAACTGCCAAAGAAGAGATTTCTTATCATATTCTTTTTGGGAAAGACTTGCAAGTCCCACTAAACCTGAGGAAAACAGATTTCTTCTTGAGTGGCAGAAATCTAGCAATTCTTACTCGAAAATTTAAAAATGAATGCCATTACTTACTGTAAAATTTATGAGGTCATAGTGCAGATGCAGTTGTTTTTGCTTGGTAACATGTATTGCTCCAGAGTCATCTCTTTTTACCTGATGATGGAATAAGACAATTTATTCTATTATGGTCTGTCCTCACTTTCGCAGGTAAAAACAAAGCATCATAATTTATGTTATTTTTGCAATCAATGCTTGTTGTCATAAGTAATAAGACAAAAAAATCAAGCCATCTTGATAAGTAAGAAAAGTAGGACATAAATTAAAACAAATGTACAAAACAAAGATATTACATATTTTTAACAAATAAGAAATAAAAAAATACTGACAGGTAGTTATGTCAGACTAAGCAACAAATAGTCTAAAATATGTATTATTATAGGCCCATGGATAGGAATACCATAAAAGTTTAATCCTTTGGCTTGCAATTGATTTTTCACTGTTAACTGAGGAATTTCCCACATACACAGCAAATGGAAATCCAATTGCAACTAATTCCATCATTAGCAGCTGTGCTATCTCGCTGTTTGTGAAAAGAGAAACTCCCATTAATTTCAGAGTACACTAAAATGGAACTCTGGCTAAACAATTAAAGTACCATTTGTCAAAGTCAGAGTGAGTTATATAATGAAATCCTTTTCTTTCTCTTTCATTTGATAATGAACACATTATTACTTTTCCTTTTTTATTGTTATTCAGTCCCTTTGTCAAAGCCTTATGATTTTCCCCGATGGGTGCCAAATTCGATGAATGCGCAAGTGCAGTAAAATGCCCCCTTATTTATATAAAATGGCAAAACCAAACCAGAATATTTTGAGAATATTTTTGAACTGTAGTTGGTTGAATCTGTGGATATAGAGAGCCAACTATACTAAAGACAATGTGTTTTTAAGACGATAAAGGCCCCTTCTACACTGCCGTATAAAATCCAAATTATGTGATTTGATAATCTGGATTATATGGCAGTGTAGAAGGGGCCAAAGAAACAAAAAAAATCCTAAAAATCCTATCTCACAATAGTGCTGCTCCACCCTATGAACTCAGGTTATGTTAACTAATAAGCAATTGCACTAATAAGCAATCACACTAGAGCAGGTCTGGGAAAACGTCAGCTCTCCAGGTGTTTTGGACTTCAACTCCCACAATTCCTAGCAGCTGGTAGGCTCTAAGGAATTGTGGGAGTTGAAGTCTAAAACACCTGGATGGCCAAAGTTTGCCCATTCCTGCACTAGAGGACAAGTGCTCCAAAATCCAATCTCTTGGCTGGTGGATAATATCAATGTTACCAGAAGGAAATGGACAACATCTCCTCGACAGAAGGCAAGCACAGGATTCACAGATGTTTGCACAGCAACAAAATGCCACGCCAGCAAGGGAACACTGGATGGGTCCATCTGAAAATAAGAAGATATCCAATTATTTGTGTCATATGAGTTAACAGTGAAAAATGATTGGCTGCAAAAGTAAATATATGGTAGTTTCAAAGTGAAAGGCATTGGCTGAGTTTTAAGCCTGAGGAAGACTTGTGGAGTTATCTTATAATTTTCTTATATACAGGGCATTCATAAAGTATTTTATTTATAATCAAAGCTTTAAAAACATGCGAAGTTTGCATTTTACTTGATTCACAGCTCAATTAAATATAGAAGTACCCTTATATCCATTGGACGGAATAGGCTTGCATGTGTTTAATTGTGTAGGTGTAGGATATCAATCAGCAGCCTCCAGAGACCCAAAAATAATCTCCTTCCTAATCAAGCAATAAGTCCCAGGTGAATATATAACACAAGCAAAGTATAGAAGTGAATAAGCCACCTCATAGCACATGTCTATACAACTTTATGCAGACTGGCTTTCCATAATTTCCAGGAAAATCTCTTGCTTCAGAAACTTCCCAAACTCTCCTTTCAAAAGGAATTGGGAACATCCAAATTTGCCTTCTTATTCTTTCAATTGTAACACAGTATTGCCTTTGAAAATTCCTGCAAATATCATGGGATAAATGTCAGGGTTGTGGAAGAAACAAAGACAACCAGAATTGAAGACATGATTCTCCACCATTAACTTCGCTGGACTGGCCACGTTGTCCGAATGCTTGATCGCCATCTCCCAAAACAGTCACTTTTCTCTCAGCTCAAGAACAGAAAATGGAATGTCAGGGGACAGCAAAAGAGATTTCAAGATGAGCTTAAATCAAACCTTTAAAAATGTGGAATAAACACCAAGAACTGGGAAGCCCTGGCCCTTGAGCTTTCTAACTGGAGGTCACCTATTACCCACAGTGCTGTGGATTTTGAGGAGGCACAAATAGAAGGCGAAAGGGAGGAACATGACAAGAGGAAGGAATGTTAAGCAAACCCTTGTTCGGACCATCTTCCATCTGGGAATCTATGTCCTCATTGTGAAAGACCAGGAAGATCCAGAATAAGTTGCTACAGTCTCATGTATGGACCCACCGCCAAGACTCTACACTTGGAAGACAACCATCCTCAGCCATGAGGGAACGCCTATGACAGGATGTAATGCACAATCCTCTGCAGTCCTGTGGAGGGCTGTTTTAAATTTGTAGATTATTAACATTCCTAAATAATCCCTTTTACATTTCCCAAATAATCCCCATGCACAGTTATAATACTTTGAACAAAAGTGAAACATTCTTGAATGTACTCACACGGCCATATGGAAAAGTCATCCACACTTTCAAAGATGGTTTCAGTCCAATTACAAGAATCTGAAATTAGCAATATATATTATTACTCATGAAAGCCAGTGTGGTGTAGTCATCTGAACATCAGACTACAGCTTTGGGGACCAGAATGTGAATCCCCACTTGACTATAGAAACTCATTGGGTCTCCTTAAGAAAGACGCATTCTCAGCCTCAGAGCCAAACCCCGGTCTTAATCTTGCCAAGAATCCCATGAGAGTTTTGCTTTAAGGTTGCTATAGGTCAGAAACAACTGTCAAGCACATAAGAACTATTAATAAATCTTATATTTGAAAACATTTCCCACTATTTATATACACACACACATACACAAACCGAAGTATGTGAGCTGGTCAGTTGGTTTTTACCACAAAGGCTCTTACATAACTTGATGGATCTGGACCAAACTTGGCACACCTGCCCTTCATTATCCCAATTAAAACCATTGTAGGGTTTGAGCTAAAAAAAATCCCACCTCTTTTGAGCCCAAAGCAGAGGGAAAGAAAAGGAACAAAGTAGATTAGCTTATATAGGGTCCTTCCAGACAGGCCCAAAAATGCGAGGGCCTGTCACGATTTTACTGGAGGTGTCCAAACGACGCCTCCAGTAAAAGTGAATTAATTCGGCACAAAGCAGGGTTTCATGATAAGAGCCAGATCTTAAGTAAGATCTGGGTCTTACCAGGTGTGGGCCATGTGGATTGGGCCCAAGGATCATGTCACACGATCCTCAGGCCCAATTCAGACAGCCATTTCTGTTTTCCAGGCTTCAGAAACCTGGAAAACCAAGAGGGCATTCCCCCTCCCCCAAAATAAGCCCTTAAAATTTAAAACAACTTACCACCATTAAAGTACTCCTGTATTCCTCCTGGTGTGTAGAAATAATGTGGCACAACAAGACAGAGGGACAAGCAGCGATTTTCCTCCTGCTATCACCCCCTGCCCCCCTTCCTGGCATGTCATTTCTATGTGTCAGGAGGACTCCAGAAGTATGTTAATGGAGGCTGGGTAAGTTGTGTAACATTTTAAAGGCTTATTTTGGGCGGCGTCCATCACCCTGCCCAGGAAAGCCCTGGTTTGGGGACCCTTGTGGGAACAAAAACCCACACAGAAGTAGGTTTTAAACCTGTTTCATCAAGGGTTTTACCCCTGTCTGGAAGCACCCATAGAAAGCAGGTCACCTTTGTTAAGGAAGCCATTGCTAACAGAGAGTATTGGGTGATGGGATGGTCTCTTAGCTCAGCCTTTGCATGCAGAGGTTCAATGCAGCAAACTTCTCCTTTAGAACCACTGAACAAGCAGCGTGATTCACACGTTCTCACACCCATGACTCTCCTGGAAACAAAGCACATAGAATAAGGAAACACAGCATTTGACAGCAACACACTGTAATGGAAACTGAGAGTGAGAGTCAGAAATAAATTCCATATGCCACTCAAAAAATGGTGTAACAATTGTATTTGCAATTTGATCACCCATGTTACAGACAAAAAGAGCATTTGTAGTACGGTTCCAGCCCAGGTTACCTGTCCGAACATATCTCCCTCTACAAACCACCAAGGACCTTAAGATCATCCGGCAAGGCCCTGCTCTCGGTCCTACCACCATCACAGTTGGACTTGGTGGGGACGAGAGGCAGGACCTTCTCTGTGATGGCCCCTCAGCTGTGGATCTCCCTCCCTTATGAGATTAGATCTGCCCCATTCCTCCTGATCTCCCGGAAGAAATTCCAATCCTGGCTGTAGGATCAAGCATTTGCAGAATATACTGATTTAGTGGTGAAGAAAAGGTTTTAGTGGATCGCAATGGACTGATTTAGATGACGATTTAAACTGGCAAATTGTTTTAATATATATTTAAACAATATACATTAAAAATATATAATATATATTTTTAATGTAGGCTAATTGTATTTTATGTTATGTTATTATATTGTGTCGGCATTAAATAGTTGCCTATTGGAAACCGTCCCGAGTCCCTCTTTGGAGGTTGAGAAGGACGGGGTATAAATGTTCTAAATAAAATAAATAATAAATCAATACTATTGTCTTCCATAGCTACACTTCATGCACTCCCAAGATGACCTTAAGCAATGAAGCAATTATAGAGAAATACTGATGTGAATTGTAACAAGTTCAGGAAGAATTGTTTAGCAGCATTGTTTATATTAATGATTTTACAATGAATGAGCCCTCCACATTTGTTGGGGTTACCAATACAAGACCCCCAATCAAGTAGAAAAACTATAAATAAAAATATGCAATTTTTCATTCTGAGAGTACACCGCTCTAGGAATGTCAAGATCCTCCAGTGTGACTCTGCAGATTTTGGGATAAAAAAATCACACTGGAGGTCTTGCAAATGGCTTGAGAAATGTCCTCTCTTAGAATCCTGGGGATTCCAGCACAACTATGAAAAACTTCTGCCTGAATATGACCCTAAATATTCCTAGAGATAACATATTAATTAGATTCATGAAAAATCAAATAGGTAACAGACAAATTTGCAAATGTGAAGGGACAACTGTATATGTTTATATGGTATAAAGTTCCAGTGCTTTATATTCCTAATTTTATTGAGTATTACTGTGTTATTTATCTGAATCCATTGGGATGGTACAGATATGTCAAAATATTTCCTGCATTTAAAACTATTGTAGGGTCAGCATACCCAAGGTGGAAATTCGTGAGACTCAACCTGGAAATATCCACCTTCGTGATCACAGCATCTTCCACTATCAGATAATATTTTGTTTGGAATACTGTCTCTCGAGTTCTCGGGAAATATTTCACTTTGAGGAAATAGCCTTACTTTTCATTTTTCTTATAGCAAACACAAATGTTCTTACTTGAATGACAGTTCAAATACTGAGCCTCCGCTGTCGTTGCAAATTGCTAGGGTTGGATCATCTGTAAACTAAATAGAACATTAATTTTCCCACCATGAAATGTTCATAGTAAATACTAACAGGTAGCAAACTATTCAACATAATTACTGAAAAGCAATATTACAAAGAAATTTCCTCTATTTTTTAAGTATTACCAACTTTCCTGTTCCTTTCTCAATAACACTATGTTCTCTCTTTAATAATATTTAATACTACCCTAATGCAACTCTAATTTATCACCCAATTCTTTCGGAGGTTCACCAAAAGTTCTCCCATTTTCCCATCATATTTTCCATCTCCACTCTCCTGTACAAAAAAGGAAGAAGATTGTGACAGGCCCATGAGGTGGTTTTCTGCTCTGGGACTCACAAATGTCCAAAAATACAAGGTGGTCAAACGACAATTTGGTCTTGGAAGAATAGGGCTCTCTCAAAGTACTGAAAAGGTTAATTTCTGTTTCCAAGATTTGAGATTTCCAAAAGAGACAAGATGCATGGGGGAGTCTGAAAATAAAAACAATCTTGGAATCTCACGCAGCACCAGGGCTAAACTTTGCCACCTGCTATCCATGTGCTATACACAATTTCTTAGGACCAGGAAGGCTTATTAATTCATTGTTATAGTACTATCAACACATCTTATAAAACAGAATAGATCACTGTTTATTACCTTTATGTGTAAAATTGCAGTTCCAGGAGGATGAGCATCTGTTATTGATCTCAAAAGCTTTCCACTGGCCAGATCCCACATGGTAATCTGCAAGGAAAAAAAGAGAACGATTTTCTCAAATGGAAACTCTTCCTACCAAAACATGAAAGCAAATATAATAACTTTGCCAGTGTAACAGCTCCCCTGTTTTTCTACTTTCCAGGTACAAAAAAAATCTAATATTGTATACATTTTCACAGCATAATGGCCAATGAATTGGTAATGCAGTGCACCCTGCACACCTGCTCCCCATTTTGGGGAGGTATTGATGTGTAGCTGATCACTGACCATAAGCATCAGCTTTAATATATTCCAAATCAAGGTGGGAATATGTAATACTACAAATCCTGTTTGAAATGCCCGGCAGCCCTAGACAGTATAACCAATGGTGCATGATATTGGAAATACAATCCAATGATATTTGAAGGTTTGTATGACTCTCATCCTTGCTTTTTTTTTACAATAAAGAGTGCTGGTAGCAAGTTCACACTAAATGCTCACAATCTGTACAATGGTTAGCAACAGAAACTGTACAATGGTTAGCAACAGAAACATACAAAATCTATGTATGTGCACCAGTATTCGCCCATACCTTGGGAAATCAGACTTTGCCATGACAGTCCATGCTCTGGTTATATCCTGAATAGACTACTGCAACACGCTCTATGGGTGGGGTTGCCTTTGAAGACTGTTTGGAAGCTTCAATTGGTCCGACGGCAGCAGCCAGATTTCTCACTGGAGCAGCGTACAAGGAGCATACAACCTCCCTGTTACACCAGCACCACTGGCTGCCAGTCTGCTTCCAAGCACAATTCAAAGTGCTGGCTTTAGCCTACAAAGCCCTAAACGGTTCTGGCCCAGCTCACCTGTCTGAACGTATCACCCTCTATGAACCATCTTGGAGATTAAGATCATCCGGGGAGGTCCTGCTCTCGGTCTCACCTGCATTGCAGGTGCAACTGGAGGGGATGAGAGACAGGGCCTTCTCGGTGGTGGCTCCTCGACTATGGAACTCCTTCCCCAACAAAATTTGATCAGCGCCCTCCTTCCTGGCCTTCAGAAAAAAGTAAAAACTTGGCTATGACACCAAGCCTATGGGCAGTAAACAATACAAGGAATGATCAGAGATTATGCGCAATTGATATTTGATATTCAGAATGGCATGGACTACGATTTTTGGATTATGCGATTTTAATGTTTTTAACTCCATGTTTTAATGGTCCAAATGTTATGTTTTTATGATCTAATTGATAGTTATATGCTATTGTTGTTTGTGTTAGGTTTCACATGTATATGAGGCATTAAATTTTGCCATAAATATGTTGGAAACCGCTTTGAGTCCCATCCCCCCCCCCCCAGGGTGAGAAAAGTGGTATACAAGAGAAGTAAATAAATAAATAAATAAATATAATAAATAAATCCACCTCTGTCTTCAACCAAATCCTTCACTCCCTTACCTGGGAGCAGGTTCAATTGAATCTGGCAGGCTAGTTCCAAGTAAGTAGTACAAAAATGAGTAAGATGCATATCAATATTACCTGTCCTTTCGCAAAACCACACAGAAGTCTTGAACAATCATTGTTGATGCTAAGAGCAGAAATAGCCCCATATTGTGCTCCAACTGCAGTACTGCCCAAACAAAGTCGAAGAGCCTGGTTAGGATCTAAACAGAAAATTAGGTTGGTTAACCTATGGATGTATAAACAACACAGACCGGCACTTCAATACTAGGGAAAGCATACATTTTCAAACTGGCTCAATTCACCCTGGTTTTGCTAAATGACAAGATGCAGCAAGCTCACACTCTCTCTTCCTCTTTTCCCAGTTTGCATAATCATAATTTCCTGTGTCACTTGATTTGGGTGAAATACTAAGGAAATATCACTGATTAGAATCTGAAGTGAAAGAAGCTTTTGGAGTTACAAGATAAATGACTTCACAATCATGGATATAATTTTTTAATTTGTATGATAAGCTGGAATGACAAGCAATGAAACTAATACAACAGAGAAATGATATGATCAGTGTTACAAAAGGAACCTTAGACTGTGGACATGATGTTTATTCCACTTCAGCCAACCATTTGTGTGCTCAACTATTCTTTTTCTGCTCTTCTTCATGTGACCAAACCAAGCAGCATAACGCAAGTGGCTTTGAAGAAGATAACTGTCCCGGTAACGTCACTCTAGTGACTTTGTGCCTTCTTCATGGTTGACTTTAAGCTCAAGTAAAAGCCTTTTATTCATCCAAACTTTTAAAATAATCCTTGGGCTCTTGTTGTTTTAAGTTTTTTTTTACTCTGAATATATTTTCATGATGCTTCTTTTAGAAGGAAAGTTTGTTATGGTTGTGTTTAATTACTAGTCATATATTGTAACATATTGTTTGACCTGTAAGACAGCCAGAGAACAGTATCTAATGGACAGCCATTCAGATTTAAGCAACAATTAAGAGGAGAAAACCCATTGAATAGATCCAAGAAAGAAGACAAAGATGAGACAGGAACTAGCTAATAAGGCCAGTATAAAATAATACAGCAAAAACAAGAGATAGGGAGGATTGTGTTGTTTCAAGAAAAAGCATATACCTAACAAATTAAAATTTTCAATTGCTGGAAACTAAAAAAAACCTCCTAAATTATTAACTTCAGAAGAAAACACAACTCCATGAAAAATAAAGAAAAAAGATGAGGCAATATAAGCAAGACATGGGATTTAGTTTAAGTGGCAGTCACCATATGCTCTCCTTCCCTCTCCCCAGTTCTGTGTCTAAGGCAAAAATTAGCTGTGCAACCAAGACATACGGTCTTCTGTCACCATCACAAAGCCCTTTAAAATACAATTATATAAAAGAAAAAAGACCTGCTGCCCTTGAACAAAGTGACCCACTCACTATTTCAGCTTGAGGTAAAGTCTCATGTGCACATCTAAATACACACACAGTATATTGATGGTGATTTCATTCCAAGTTCCAATAGCACCATATCATGAAAGAATGCACAGAATCAATGGTAAGGTTGATACAAGTAGAAAAATATAATATGCATATTTTATTATAGAAACACATCATTGAAAACAATTTCCCCAACATTCTGTATCTATGGCAAACACACATAAGAAACAGCTTCATACTCAGTTATGCAGTTAGTATACTAAGATTATCTTACTAAAATTATTTAGAAAGTAATCTTAACCTGTTGATAATATGGGAGGCTTGTAATTTGAGGTTATTATTTCATTTCTTATTTTTTATAAAGCCCTGCCACCCTTCTAAACATACCAGATCATCTGCTCGAAACCAATCTAGAAACTTTACCAAGTAAACTCAGGTGTGTCTAAAACCTATTGCCACAACTGTGTGTTTATTCTTCTTCTGCCCCATATGCAAAAGATGTAGACTTGAAAACATAACTATTACTACAGTCAGATGTATATACAGGCAGTCCCAAAGTTACAAACATCTGACTTAGAAACAAATCATAATTAAGAACGTGGGTGAAACAACAGTGAGAGAAAATCTTCTCTGTGAAAGGGAAATTCACTCCTGGAAGAATTATCAGAGGGAAAACATTTATCCACTGAAGCTTTTTCACCAATCCTTGTTTCAACAACAAGCCATTTTTTTTCAAAATCCAATGATTAAAGGGACAGAAATTGGGGTAAAATCTTCTGAACAGAGGCACAGACAGCAAAACAAACACCACAGGGATGTTATCCCTTCCCTATGCTATCCAAAGTTTATTCACACACACACAAATATATATATTTGGATGGAGTTACCCTTAAAAAGAACAAACCTACATAACCTATCTTGCTTGTAACTTGGGGACTGGCTATCCAAAGGTATCTCCCTCTATGATCCACCTCGGAGGTTAAGATCATCTGGGGAAGCCCTGCTCTTAGTCCCACCCTCCTCGCAAGCGTGATTGGTGAGGACAAGAGACAGGGCCTTTTCAGTGGTAGCCCCTCACCTATAGAATTCCCTCCTCTTAGATCAGCCCCCTCCCTCCTGGCCTTCAGAAAAAAACTAAAAACATGGCTCTGGGATCAGGCTTTTTGTCAATAATGGGAGAAGTGCAATAAGAGACTATAAATTAATTTAATGAAGACCTGGACTGGCCCTGGAATATAACCTGGATTATGTGATTTTAACTGTTGTTTCAATGTTATGTTTTAATTGGTTAATTTTAATGTTGTTGTTTATTCATTGATGTAGGTGTATATGCAGCATTGAATTGTTGCCTTTGTGAGGCCGACTTGAATCCCCTTCGGGGTTGAAGAAGGCAGAATACAAGTATGGTAAATAAATAAATAAATAAACAAACAAATAAATAAATAAAGGACTTAACCCAAACTCAAGACGTCAATAATGGATAATCAGTAAATGAAAGATATGATTTTATCTTAATTTATAGTGCAGATATTTTGACCAGTACCAGTGAAAAAGCAATTCCCTTAAGTCAGAGAGAAAACTGAAAAGGAACAGAGAAGAAACAAGAGGTAACTAATCCCCTTCTTTCTGCCTGAAGTCAACAAAGGACAAGAATGACCGACATCCATATCAGGATAATAACTAAGGCAAATTAGGCATTGGCAGAGGTAGAGGCTACACACACTATATCTTGCACATGTATTCTATGCCATCACAGCAACTCTCTCTTTTTAACTACCTACAAAATTGCAAGTGACTTCTGGAAGCAGATTCCAGATAAAGGTTTTGAGTTCCCATTGACATCTATAAAATTTTTATCATGTGCTTAATTTTCTTCAGTGAAATACTTAAATTTGACTGGATGATTCACCAGAAGATTCAGTTCATTCGGAGAACAAGCTGGAATGTTCCTGAACCAGGACCTTTTTAAGACATGAAGAGGCTCAGGGCAAAATACGTTTCTGAGGTTATTTCTGAGTCATTAATGTGTTGTTGTGGTTAGAATGGTAGACTGAGATTCAGGAAATGTAAGGAGTCTCCAGTTAGCCATGAAACACAGTACAGGTTGAATGTTCCTTATCCAAAATACTTGTTAAAGCAAAGGATCAATCTGAATCAGAAACTTCTGATATCAAAAATTCCTCCATAAGTCATCTAAATACATGGGCTGGAGAGCGTGAGATAGAAATCAAGAGTTTTTGCACTGATAACAATAGTTGAACCCAAGGAGGCAATGGTAGAAGTGACTAACACAAAAAGACAAGAGCCGCCATGGGAGGTAGGAAAATCACATCCTGTCCAGGGAAGCCTATCATAAGGGAGTCTATTGAAGAAGTGCTAACACTTTCTCTCTCCTTTGCTCTCCCCAAGGCATGGCAGTGCCAAAAAGTCCCACCATGACAATGAGAGTTGAGGGGATCAGTACTTTTTTTAGATTCTCCCTTAATGGGAATATGGCAAGGGCTTAGTCTGTCTGGGAAGGGCCTATTATAAAAGAAGCACTGGCTCTGTCTGCTATTCCTGCCAAGGCAAAGTAATGCCAAACAGCCACCACGGCTGCCTTTTACCTGCACAGGTATTCAAAACACACTGGACAGGGGTACTGTGTCAACACATAGATAAGCTGATCTGGTTTTTGCCTACCTTGAATTATACCACAGATAAAATATTTCTTTCACAATGGATTTTCCTATGAAACAGAATTATTTCAAACTCTAAATAGAAACTTTGCCATAAGCTGCAATATACCATGATGTAAACTCTATGAACCTGTGGCCTTTAATTATAGGCTTGACCCTGAATTGTAAAATTCCAGAGTATTATATCCAATGTGCAGCTATTCATGCAAATTTCATGCACAATGCAACAGTACTATACCTTTGCCTTCTCAGTCCATGAGGGAAAAAGTCAAAGGAGAAAGAAAAGCCAGAAATCAATACAGAGGAAATAAAGGAATAACATATTGTTATTTCCAATAAGACATCTCTGTTCAGCAGATGTGCATCAGAAAGGAGTTCCTGCTGGGTTGCTGGCAGGGCAATTTGTTTAACACCAGAGACAAAAACAGATAACACGGTCTCCAAAAATCATTTTGTGATAGACCTCTTGTACATCTCGTTGAGATTTGGGCATTTGTGTTTAGATATTTTAAATTCAAGTTAACATGATTCTGAAAAAGCAACTAAATAGGAGCCAACATGTTGTATTTGTGAGAGCACTGGATTATGACTCCCCAGACTAGATTTAATTCTTCACTTGTCCATAGAAACCCACTAGGTGACCATACACAATTCACATACTCTTAGCCCCAGAAAGTCCTGTCCTAGAGTCACCATAAGTCAGAAATCACATGAAAACACGCGCCAACAACAGATTACAAAATGTATTGTATTACTTACATGTACTACTTTCTAGTAAGCCTACACTATCAGACTCCCGGACATATCGGTACTATTTCAATTACCAAACAGTATATAAAACCTTATTATTTTGTCGAAATAATATGACACACACAGTTTCATAGACCCAAATTAAAGCCAAAATTATATTCTAATGTCTAAAGAATTCAACAGTACTCTTACTTACCAAATATAAGTGCTAGACCATGAGATGTTCCCACTGCAATGAGACTAGATGCTGCCTAAACAAACCAAAGGGGAAAAGACAGAGTTAAAAAGTGTAGATAGAAATGGTATGGGCTCTGGATTTAGTGGGAGAAGAATTCTCATACCAGGAGCTGCACATGATCCTACTAGAGAATACATATACTGGAGAAGCATGTACCTCCTATTTCCCAGAGGCCAATGTACAAAACATAGCAGTTCTTCAGAAGTGTTCTTTTCAGTGCCCAAAAACATCTACTCTCCCATAAAGTGTCTTGTTTCTATATCATGCTCTCAAGAGACAAAAATAGACTTCATTAAAGGTAATATATCTGGTTTACTCACAACCTGCATGTATTGAGCATATAGGAACATAAATTGTCAATCCAGTCACAGACAGGTTTTGAAGTGGTTTCTCTGTGCAGATAACACAGGGTGTCTTTCTTACAATCAACAGCAATGTGAGTTTGCTCTTTAAAAAGTCTCATGGCGTCTCTCTGTGTTCTAAATTGGAGTCTGAGATGTGAGCAGCCCCAGATCTGACCATGTGGTCTACAGCCCCTCCCACGACCTCAAGAAACATAGATTAAAGGGGAAACTACATACCAAAACATACATATACAATACAGCAAGCAAACAGGATCATATACAAACAAATTACTAGTGGAGGCTTGAAGAAGGTTGCTATTTCCAACAGTGGTGAGGTGGGGAAAGCAGAAAAAATTTACAGGAGAGCAAGGAGAGTGAGCAGAAGAGTGCAAGAAAAAAAGCAAGTAATGTATTGTAAATCTTCATGAACTTACTATTGCAGTGGGTAAGCCAGCATCCACCTTAGCCTGAAAGAGAGCACATATAACTAAAACAATGCCATTTAATGCATAACAAATGACATTATCAAGCTGTCAGACCTATTATGAGTTTGAAACGCACGATTATTTGCAAAGCTAGTATACAGGATGGTTTAAAATGATGAACCCAGTTTCAAAGCAGTAAAGTGTTTAGGATCGTAGGGTTTTGAGAAGCTTATGCTAGGAATGTTCAAACCTGCCTCATCTATTCCCAACTGTAATCAGCTAAACACAAAAAAAGCACAATTCTGCATAACAAATCTTAATATTTAACCCACTTCTGGACATGCAGTTTTGGTTTTGTGCACCAAAACAAAGTCAGATCACAGTAACCACACAAATTCAAAGAATATATCATAATTCTTGCATCTATACAATACGTATATATCTACATAATCATTTGATGCTTATAAAGCACTCTTTTTTGTACTATAATACAGATGGTCTCATACCACTGACCTCCCCCTCCCAACTCCTGTGTAAAGTTACTGACTGCTCTAATTTTTGGTTTGGGGCAGTGGGTACTGCTTGCAAGGGTATGAGTTCAGTTGTCTTGCTAGGATCTAAGATGGCAAACTACCCAGCTGCAAATGGAAGGATTCATCTCCAACTCAAAGGTTGTCTTATGAATTATTAAGGATGTTTCTGGTCCTGAATCAAACAGGTTAAGAGAACTGTGGCTGTGTATATAACACTCCCTCCTTTTATCAGTAAACTAGCTTTGACTTTATCCCAGATGCCCCTCTTTCTTCTTCCCTTCCCTCTCAACCAAGTCCAAGAATCCTAACGATACATATTCATAGGTTATGACACTTATTATATTCCTGAAGTAGACATAAATGTAACATTGTGACAACCCCAAAACTTGCCAGTTTTGAAAAACAAGTCTCACGGGAACAACTGGATATGTGGACACACATATATGAAATGTGTTGCATCAATTACATTCACATACATTCAGCAGCTGCTGCACACTTAGCTTTGGTGTAATTTAGACCAAAATGTTTTAAAATACTGTATTCCATCCCTGGCCCAAAGCCCCTCTTTGATCTGCACTCTTGGCTTGAAAAGATGGGAAAAGAGGTACTTACTGCTGCAGACACTATTTGTGCAGAAATTCCTTTTAAAAGCGATAGCCGTATAACTGAGCCATGAATAGAAAAAGAATCACGAAGCTTCTTCTTCCTTTGTAAACCAAGAAGAATGTTTTATTGTATACAGCTACAATGATATATGCTTTCACAGAGGACTATGATTTTTTAAAATAATGCATATGAGTTAAGGGAGTTAAGAACACAATTACAATTTGCTGACTGAGGGGCTACAGCAATAGTGGAAACGCCTCCATATGATGTTGGACTGCAATACCTATCAGCCCTAGTCAGAATAAACAGTGATACAAAATGTTTGAAATTATATCCAGGAATTTTTGGAGGGTCAAAAGTTGTCTATCAAGAACTACAGGATCCAACGTAAGCCTGATTTATCCGGTAAAATACCAAATATACTTACAGTAATGATGCCTGTATGATACTTTAAATATGTGGATGGAACTTTGCATAAAAAGGGCTGAAATACAGTTGAGTCACTACTAGTTTAGATGAGCAACTTATGCTATATTCCAGGAATAGGCAAACTTTGGCCCTACATGTGTTTTGGTCTTCAACTCCCACAATTCCTACCAGGCATGGGCAAACTTTGGCCCTCCAGATGTTTTGGACGTCAACTACCACAATTCCTACTGGCTGTTAGGAATTCTGGGAGTTAAAGTCCAAAACATCTGGAGGGCCAAAGTTTGCTCATATTTGCTGTATCCCATGCTTTCTACCAACATTTAAAGTCACCCATCTCACTTCTTAATGTGAAATTATACATACGGTCACTTTGTACCTGTGGTCACCCCTTTTGCTCCAGTTCCATCTCTTTTCTGATAGGGAAAAAAGCATTTTCTTCCCTGGATGGCTCTTTAATATTTCACTTCAAAGTGCTCTTTCTAGAGAGCTATGTAAGTATTGTGTGGGCTCTCCTTTGTTTGTTATGTTTCTCAGAATTGTTGTTTTGGCACACAACTGAATTTGAACTCTGTCCTGAATGGAGGCCTGAGGACCAGCAATAGCAGAGCCATTTCTGGCTGAGCCATTGGAACTGATGTGATAGGTGTGCATATTCACATTATTCTGAATCTAGTCTCACTCTGTCTGACAGATAGGCACAAACACCTCAATATGACTGTTTCCAGAAACACTGAGGACACCTGGAACATTTGAATCCTCGCATATACTTTTTTTAAAAAATCTGAATATGTAATTTCCTTTCATCCAGGCCTACAATAGGATGTTTAAAATGGGGAAGTTCCACCAGAACAGGAACAGCATTTTCCCAGTCCCAGCATAATACAGATATAGAAGTTCCTGGTAGGAAATTAGTTATTATTGAAATAAACTTCTTTGCTCAATCAAAAAAGAGATACCCAAAGTAAACGCAGAAAAATCATTTCCAGTTTACAGGCACCAGGCTACTGAAAAATCTGCAAAAATCTTACAGTTCAGTATTTCATAACAACCATATTGCTTTTTGCCTCAGAAAAGACAAAATTTTAGCCTCAGTGGGGCAGAAGAGAATCTTCTATCAATTTGCTGAGTTTTTAGAGCACAGATTAAGTAGCCAATAAAAACCAATAATTAAATATGATTTTAAAATAATTAGCTAGAGCAGCTCCTTGCTTGCATTCATTTGCATTCTCAAGATTCAGCACTTAAACAGTTCCATCTGAACATTCAAAAGGATTTTCTGTGCATCAGTAAAAGCTGCCATACACATTCACTTGCCAACAAGCAGTTACCTTTTGAGGTGTGTCCTGTCTCCACTGTCAGAACTTGCGACGGAAGAAGTATCATACGAATGTGTGTCAATGTTGTCAATGTTTAGAAGAGAAGGGTCCTCAAGAACAAATGGCTCTTCTTCATCATCAGTCTGAGACAAAAATGTAGTTGCTCAATCAAAATTTTATAATACTTCAAAGACTAACATTTTATTAGCCCAAGCTTTCAGATTTCACCTGTTCAGGTATAATAACAGTGTAACTCAGGTACGAGTAAACCCAGGCCCAGGGGATGCAACCCCTTGGGCTCTTTTCTCAGGCCCTCCTCTCTCTCACCATCCTATCCTTCCTTCCTTCTCTCTTTACTTCCTCCTTTCCTCCCTCTCTCCCTTGCCTCCCTATTTCTCCCTTCTTTCTTCCCTTCCACCCTTTTGTCCTTCCCTCTCTCTCCTTCCTTCTTCCCTTCCTTCCCTTTTGTCTTTCCTTCTTCTCTGTTTCCTCCTTCCCTCCATTTGCTTCCACCCTTCTTTCCATCCTTCTCTTCCTCCCTTCCTTCCTTCCTTGTTTACCTTCCTCCTTTCCTCCTGGGAGACATTTAGCTCGGAGAAGAGAAGATAGAAAGGGAACATGAGAACTATGTTTCAAGATTTAAAAGGGTGTCTCATTGAGGAGGAAGGAGGGGAAAAACTGATTTTCTGCTGCTCTAGAGACCAGGGCATAAAGGAGCAATGCTTTCAAATGGCAGGGGAAAAGATTAGCCTGAAAAGATTAGGAAGAACGTCCTAGAGAGTAGCATAGACTGCCTTGGAGTGTGGTGGAGTCTTCTTCTCTGGAGGCTTTCCCACAGAAGCTTGCTATGGGGAGTGCTTTGATTGTGCCTTCCTGCATGGCAGGGGGTTGGTCTGGATGGTCTTTGGAGGTCTCTTCCAACTCTAGGATTCTATATCAGGCAATATGGGGGTCTAATGGATACACTTTTTGTCTCCTGTCCACCATCTCATCCTGACCAAGACCAACCCTTCTGTGATCCAACCGTTTCCCATCTTTCCTTCACTTTCTGCCTCTGAAAGAGAAGAGAAAGAGGAGGAAAGGGCAGGGAGGGGGCTTGGGGAGGGGGCTTGGGGAGGACCCCCTCACTCCCAGCCCACCCACCCCGCTCTGGCCTGCCATGTAGCCCCCAAGTTAAAAAGTTTGCCCATACCTGGTAGCTTATAATACCAATATTTCTCACAGAAGTATTGAATGGATTTGAGAACCACAAGATAGTTATTTTGTTAAAGACCGGGAAGAAAAACAATCCTTGTTCATCAATAATAATTATATTGCATTACTGCACTGTCCTACGTTTTTAACTGTTTGTAGACTACAGAATTCTAATTAACAGACATTTTAAAGTACAGTTAAAGGAAATAAAATAAAGACACATAGAAGCCAAAAAAGCTGATGAAGTGGTTGGTATTAACAGTTTTTATACAATTTGGTTCTCATTTGCAAATGAGTTTTGAGAGCAGCACATTGCAAAATGTAACACGAATCAGGCATAAGATTGGTCTATATGCCTACTTTTTACTATCTTGGGTCAGTACGTGATCAGGAGAAATTTTCCTGTCCTTTTCAACTCACCTCATTTAAAATACTTTCCAGTGTTGGAGGAGTATCAACCTGAGGAATATCAAACTCCTTATCATCTATCTAGATAAAGAAAAGAAACAACTTAGCCTTTATCATCAAACTGTAGATTGACAGTCTTTCACAGTGGGATATCATTTTTTTCTAATCAGGAAGAATATCAGTATTTATTTAATGTATTGTTACCCCTCTCTAACTCAATCCCGAAGGGGACTCAGAACGACTTCTGAATTGGCAATAATTCATTGCCACATTAAGACATAAAAACATACAACATACAAAATACATTGTACAGTATGAAGCCTAATTTGGGCTTGGCTACCTAATGAAAGAAAACTAAGATGGGTCCATCTCCTCTGAACTTTCAGTGTGTGGCTAAGGCCCCTTTTACACCGTCATATAAAATCCAGATTATCTGCTTTGAACTGGATTTTATGGCATAGTATACTCTGATAATCCAGTTCAAAGCAGATAATGTGGATTATCTGATTTGATAACCTGGATTACACGGCAGTGTAGAAGGCGCCAACGTTTTGCTTTATTTATTTTATTTTATATCATTTATATAACACTTTTTTCCCAGAGTAGGACATAAACCGCCTCCAAAAAGTCCTGACTTGGTCTTTGGACCTTGAAATATCTCTGGTGTTTTAACTGTCTGGCTTCAAAATGTTTAAAAGTAATTTTAATCTATATATTCCTTTTAAATGTTTTTTATCTGTTATACATGAACTCAGGGGTTTTTGTGGGCTACAAAGTGATACATTAATGCCACCAAAAATATAAACAAATAACTAATTACTTTTAGGCTGGGTATATTTTTGTAAAAATTGCTACTTTTCTAAACAAATTTCATATGTAGCTAAACAGGAAAGGAAAACACACAGAAAAATACCAAAACAGAGTATCTAGGTGTTATGAAACACAACTTCAAATTATATATAAACACCAAAAATAAGCATTATAACTCATGAAACCCAAGACCGTGGAGCCACCAGCACACAAAAGCCTGAAAGCGATAATCCACAAGAGGCATTATCTGAACTAAATATGTATGGATCAGAACTATGATTTAATCTAAAATGTGGATAAGTTTAGTTTCTGGTTGCTTGAGAGTTACTATTAAAATAGCCCTAACTAATACTATACCCCTCACTATACCATAGCATACATTCTGTCCTGGCTTGATATAAATATTGAAATATAGTAATGAAAAATAAATAGAGACAAACTTAACTTAATATAACATGATGTTATTGTATAATAAAATAGCTTTATTATAATTCAAAGTTTTTTTTTATTTTTTTGACTGGTTGCTTAGGAATTTTGGTTCTTGAGCTCTGGTTAACTAAGAGTATACCGTATTCTTATACAGTAATCCCTCACTACTTTACATTTTGCTTTTCGTGCACTCGCTGTTTCGCAGTTTTTCAATAAATATTAATGTAAAATATTTACATTACATTATTTACATGGTGGCGGATGGTAACCAGCTCTGCCTGGCAGCCAACGGGCCTCAGAAAGGGAGGCTGGTGTGCGGGCCAGGTCTAGGGCGCAGCGGGGAAGACCTACTGATCACGAAGTGTGGCCTACTGAGGTGTTTATTGGGTTGGCTCGCAGCAGAGGTGGGCAAGGCAGCGTGAGGGCTAGACTGCAAATGCACGTGTGAACGCTTCTTATATATGCCCAATGGAAGTGGAGCGCTTTCTAAAAATTGCTGCTCAACTAAAATGACTGAAGAATTTTGTTTATAAGGTAAAGGAAAAGGTTTTCCCCTGAATACTAAAATAATGTATAAATATTAAAATAAATATAGCGTCCCTACTTCACGGATTTTCACTTTTTGCGGGTGGTCCTGGAACGTAACACCCACAATAAGTGAGGGAACACTGTATATAAACATACGCTCTGAAACTAATATCTCCAACAAATAAAAAAATTAATCTCCATAGTATGAAGCTCATAGAGCAACATAAAAATGAATGAAGAAAGGGGCAAGATATAAAAAATGCAGATGACTTCGCCCTGAGATTATTTGATTATACAAATAAGGATGGGCTCCTGAGTCTTACCAGCTCACTCTTTGTTTCCAACTCCTTACTCAGTTCAGTTACAGATAATTTAGGGGAAGACTGTTGACTTGACTCATCTGTCACAGAGAAAGACCCTTGATCTGGGTCAAAGTTCTCAGTCTCCATCTTCATTTCATCTTCCATCTTTGCCATTCACAGCTCATAAGTACTTTTCAGGGCCAAAGGACCTGCAAATGAAATGGACTGGTTTACATGCTGCATTTACAAATGTAACACATACGGCCCATTTCAGAAAGACCAGAGTTATCAGCAACATTCAGGTAACAAGTAGTTGAGCAGCAGCTTATGGCTAAGAAATATAGTTAGCCTACGGCTATATCCAAACATACCAAAAAGAAGTATTTTATCTTGATATACCCATTCACTGATATATAACCTACATAATCCATACACATGTCAGGTGAAATCTCTACATCAGAAGGGAGGGATCTGTCTTTAATTTGTTCTTCTTATAAGCCAGCAAAACTATTGTTACATCATTTTAAAATAATTTTTCTACCAAACTATCTTGTTATACTCCACATTTTCCCTTTCATCCAAATAAATAAAAATGTAATGTTGGTTTGTGGGATTAACATAACTCAAAAACCACTGGACAAATTGACACCAAATTTGGACACAATACACCCATCAGGCCAACAAGTGACCATCATTCATAAAAACACTGGAAAACACAGAAGAGACTTTAAAACCAAAAAAAAACCCCAAAATTACATTACAACGCATGCTCAGCAAACACATATATACACAAATATATACACACACATATACACACAAAAAACACATATATACAGGCCGGGGCACAGCAACACATGGCAGGGGATGGCTAACTGTAAAATATACATAACTTTAATGCCACCAAAAATGGATTCCCTCTACCTTAAGGGCAACTTCTGACAGCTTCATACCAATGTTATTATTATTGGGTTGCTGTGAGTTTTCTAGGCTGTATGGCCATGTTCCAGAAGCATTCCCTCCTGATGTTTCACCCACATCTATGGCAGGCATCCTCAGAGATTGGAACATGGCCATACAGCCCAGAAAACTCACAGCAACCCAGTAATTCCAGCCACGAAAGCCTTTGACCACACATTGTTGTTGTTGTTACAATTATTACTATTACTATTATTATTAATAATAATATTCCATTTATCTCTCCCGAAGGGGACTCAATACAGTTTAACATAAAAGTATTAGTACACAATTTTAAATACACAAATATACAGCCATTCAAACAGAATGAAATATAAACAGTATTAAAATTCATAGTTAAAAACCACTGAAACAGATTCAAACCATTCAAACAGATTCATACAAACTGAGCAGTTGCTATTTTGTTGTCCTGTTCTCTCCTAGCTTTAGGGAAAAGGAAACAGGATACATCTACACTGTAAATTATAACAATAATGTATTGTTGAAGGCTTTCATGGCTGGAATCACTGGGTTGTTGTAGGTTTTTTCGGGCTATATGGCCATGTTCTAGAGGCATTTTCTCTTGACGTTTCGCCTGCATCTATGGCAAGCATCCTCAGAGGCAACAGATGCAGGCAAAACGTCAGGAGAGAATGCCTCTAGAATATGGCCATATAGCCCGAAAAAACCTACAACAACCTATAACAATAATAATAACAACGTGTTGTCAAAGACTTTCATGGCCGGAATCACTGGGTTGCTGTGAGTTTTCTGGGCTGTATGGCCATGTTCCAATCTCTGAGGATGCCTGCCATAGATGTGGGTGAAACATCAGGAGAAAATGCTTCTGGAACATGGCCATACAGCCCAGAAAACGCCCAGCAACCCAATAATAATAACATTAGTATGAAGCTGTAGAATGAATGCAGTTTGTCACCACTTTAACCGTCATGGCTCAGTGATGTGGAACCATGGGATTTGTAGTTTGAGGCCCTAACACTCTTTTGGCAGAGGAGGCTAAGGACCCTTCCACACAGCCCTATATCCCAGAATATCAAGGCAGACAATCCCACAATATGTGCTTTGAACTGGGTTTTCTGAGTCCACACTCACATAATGTGGGATTTCCTGCCTTGATATTCTGGGACTTAGGGCTGTGTGGAAGGGCCCTTATAAAGCTGAAACTCCCAGGATTCCTTATCAATGAGTCATGGCAGTTAAAGTGGTGTCAAACTGCAATGATTCTACAGTGTAGATGCACCTTTTCTCTGCCTACTGACCAGGAAGGCAAATGCTTGGCTTGTAATGGTGCTCCATGGGCTCCCCCCTTACCAACACACACACCACGGGTTGCTGCAGCCACCGGAAGGACCCTCGACCACCCGAGGAAGCCGCACAAACAACAGCTTCTATCTAGATCCTCCCAGCTGATCTGAGACCCAGCCGCAGCCGCACCTCTTCATTCCAGTGATTGACTTCCGCCCGAACTAGCTCGGCCTCCTTGCCCGCAGAGTCCTTAAAGGGACCGTCCTCTTTTATTTTCATGGTTGGGCTCTCATGTCACAGCGGTCCCTTCTGACGCCAAAGGGAGATGCAACTGGTTTGGGCAAAGCCCGCACATTTGAAAACCCAGTGTCGCTGGAGAATTGAGACAGCTCGACACCACTTTAAATGCCAAGGCTGGATGCTCAGGACGCTTAGGAGTTATGGTTTTACAAGGTCTTTATCCCTCTGTGCCTTAATACTTTTGCCTCACCAAACTACAACTCCATAGGATTGAGCCATGGCAGATAAAGTGGTGTCAAACTGCATCAATTATGCAGTGTAGATGCACACCTCTAGTTATAACTTGGCTTCCATCTACTGCTCCTTCTAGGCAGCTGTATCAAATCCGGATTATCTGCTTTAAACTGGCTTATAGTATCTGAGTCTACTTATTATTATTATTATTATTATTATTATTATTATTATTATTATATGTAGACTCAGATAATCCAGTTCAAAGCCAATAATGTGAATTATATACCTTGACATTCTGGATCCTATGACAGTGTAGAAGCGGCCATTGGTTTTTAAATATGTCATTTTCGATTTATTGCTTATTTTTGTTTATGTGATTTATATGATTTGTATTTTATCAAGTGTTTCTGATGTTTTGTTTATTGATGTTTGTTTATTGATGTATTTTGGGCTTGGCCTCATGTAAGCCGCACCAAGTCCCTTGGGGAGATGGTAGCGGGGTACAAATAAAGTTTATTATTATTATTGTTGTTCTGGCTTTCCATTGAGGTAAAAGTTTCATCCCCTACAAGGGTTGGAAAATTAATTCTACCTAAATATATAATACTATTTGTTGTTAATTGTGACTTTTCTATTGTGAAGGCAATGCTCAGTTCAAATATGTTGTAAATAACTTTATTTCACATGACACTGACATGAAGTCTGTGATCCAGAATACTTGCAAAAGATATGCACTTATCAATTTACTATGGTTGCATAAACAGCACTTAGGTGCAGAAAACCATGAGATAAACAATTCTCCAGTGGCAACTCTTAGGCCAGAAACTTCCCTTTGCAACATATCCATTCTCTGAAATAATTTTTCTCCTGTCTACTCTACACTTCATCACTCTAGAGAAAAAATCCACTTTAAATCCGGTTTCTGCCTCCTGCAGAATTCTGGGATTTGTAATTTACCGAGGCTGTTAAAGTCTCCTCCCTAAACTAGAAACCCCAGAATTCTGAAGGACGCAGAAACCGGATTTTAAGTGGATTTTTTCTCTTGTGTGATGAGGAAACAGAGGAAATACTGATCTCGCATGAGGTCATGCGATGGAGGGTTGGCGTTCTCAGATGCTGCTGAGTCAAGTCTGCCAATCCTCACTTTAAATGTGTTTATAATGTCTTTGTATGACATTATACAAAGACATTATAAATACTCTTATGTGTTTATATGAAGATTTGTTTTTTCAATGGAGGTAGAGGGGTCAATTCCATCAAACCTGGGTCAATGGATCAATTAGGAGTACCTTCATTAAGGGAAAGTCGAGGACTCGTCTGCCTCATTGTCATCATCCATTTCCTGTGCAGATGTCCAAGTGGTCTTTAAAGTACCTGAGCTGACCAATGCAGTCAAATTCATTAATTCATGATCCAGGCTGTGTTCACTTGCTTCTGGTTCTTTCTCGGTGTTTGCTGGATCGTAGTATTCAAGAATTGCCCTCTGAACTAGGTCGGGCACAGTGTTCAGAGCAGAGGCTTTGCGTAGCTGGGCCCTCGTAGAAACCATCCTAGTCGTTGAAAACTAATTAAGCTAAAAGCTCCACTGGCTGCCTATTAGCTTCCAGGCTCGATTCAAAGTGCTGGTGTTGCCCTATAAAGCCCTAAACGATTTACCAGTTTACCTGTCCAAATGTATCTCCCTCTATGAACCATCTAGGACCTTAAGATCATCCAGGGAGGCTCTGCTCTCGTTCCCACTGCCATCGTGGTCACGTTTGGTGGGGACAAGACAGGGTCTTCTCTGTGGTGGCCCCTCGGCTGTGGAACTATTTATTTTATTTACAGTATTTCTATACCGCTTTTCTCACCCCTAGAGGTTAGATCCGCCCTCTCCCTTCTGACCTTCCGGAAGAAACTTAAATCCTGGTTATGGGATCAAGCATTCACAAAATAGTTGTTTTACTGGGAAGACAAGATTTTATTGGACTGTACTTGGACTGTTTTGGATGATGATTTTAATATGATAAATTTAATCTGGTGAACTAGTTCTAATGTATATATTTTTAACTATTTTAATGTATATGGATGCATTTATTATGTGTTTCATATCATGTTTGGCATTGAATTGTTGCCTGTTCGGAAGCCATTCTGACTCTCCCCTCGGAGGTTGAGAAGGACGGGGTATAAATGCCTGAAATAAATATGCCTGCCATAGATGCGGATGAAATGTCAGGACAGAATGCTTCTGGAACATAGCCATACAGCACGGAAAACACACAACAACTTTGTGTCAACTTTCTTTAAGTAGTAAGAAGTATTCTCCAAACTTCAAGCTCTGACTTGCTTGCTTGGTTGTTTCTTACACCTTGCTTCTATCTCTTCCTTACTCTTCTTCAGCATTAGAGTATTTATTTATTTATTTATTTCGCATATTTGTATCCCATCCTTCTCAGCCCAGAGAGGGACTCAGGACGGCTTCACAACAGGCATTCATTCAATGCCAACAACAGTAATAATTGATAAAGGTAATTAAAACAATTCGTTAATGCTTTAAAATTACTAAAATATTGTTTAAATCACGCAGGTTTGAAATCATAGTCCAGGTCAGTCCAGTCTCATTCTAAATTGCTGCCTCTACTGTTCGAACATTTAGTCCCATAACCAGGTTTTGAGTTTCATTCTAAGGGACAAGAGGGTGGGGGACAATATAATGTCACTGGGTAGAGAGTTCCATAGGCGAAGGGCCACCACTGAGAAGGCGCTGTCTCTCGTCTCCACCAGTAGCATTTATGAGGATGGTGGGACCGAGAGCCGGGCCTCTCCGTTGATCTTAGACTTCGTGGTGGTTCATAGCAAGAAATACATTCAGACAGGTAAGCTGGGCCAGGACCATTCAGGGCTTTTTGAATTGTGCTCGGTAGCAGATTGGCAACCAGTGGAGCTGGCATAGCAGAGGGGTTGTGTGCTCTCTGTATGCTGCTCCAGTGAGCAACCTGGCTGCTGTCCTTTGGTCTAAATGAAGCTTCCGAGCAGTCTTCAAAGGCAACCCCACATAGAGCACATTTCAGTAATCTATTCAGGATGTAACGAGAGCTTGGACCACTGTGGCTAAGTCTGAGTAAGCTTACAGCAAACAAAAGCTTTTGACTCTGCAACCACGATGAAACTGAGGACACTAGCAAGGGAAAGACTAATCGCAAGCAACTACTTGTAATAGAATAATTGTTATTTTTTGCTGTATCCACTATACTGATTTTAAGTCTGTGTTTGCTTCTGCCTCCGTTCCTTGGAATGTCAAAACAAGTCAGTTTATTTTCTCACTCCCACCTCTTTTGCTCTTTTGAGTTAATTAGTAGTATGTTGCTGAGGTTCAAAGCTCCCCTTGTGATAAGAGTAACTTAATATAAACTTATCAGACTGTTGTTGATATTCCTCTTCATTTGTCAACTAGCAAATGTATGGTGAATATAAATGATGATAATGATGATGATGATGATGATGATAACAAAACATGTTAAATGATTAATGTCTTGGTTTCTTACTATAACAAGTGCTGATACAATAATTAAAACATCAATTCACCTTTTTGGACTTCATTGGTGCAGATCTATGCGTAGTCTACACATTAGTTAGTTGTACTTTTCTTTTTAAGACCACGTCTTTAAGGAGGGAGCAACCTTGTTTTCTGCTGCTCCAAAGATTAAGACACGGAGCAACAGATTAAAGGACTGGGCTCTTCCACACAACCATATAACCCAGAATATCATGGCAGAAAATTCCACAATATCTGCCTTGAACTGGGTTATCTGGGTCCATAGTGCAATATATTCCAGTTCAAAGCAGAAAATGTGAGATTTTATTCAGCTGTGTGGAAGGGGCCTAAGACAGAGGCAACGGATTCAAAAGTGATTCCACCTAAACATTAGGAAAAACTGGTAGAGCTGTTCAACCGTGGAATATGCTGCCTTGGAGTGTGGTGGAGCAGTCTTTTCTGGAGTTTTTAAAACAGAGGCTGGATGATTATCTGTCAGGAGTATTTTGACTGTGTGTTCTGGCATGGCAGGAGATTGTACTGGATGGCCCTGGTGATTTCTTCTACTCTTTAAGTTCATGATTCTTTATCAAACACTCTTCTGCTCCTTGTGGTACAGTGTTAGCTATGGGGAACATGTTTTAGATATTTCTTCTCTGTACTAATCTGTCATGTTCCTCATCATTTCCAGAAGGCAGTTGGAAGGCCAGTCCCAGAAAGTGATTACTCTAGGAAGGAAAAAACAGGGAGGGGAAATTAGTATAAGAAGAAAGAAGTATATTTTGAAAACAACATCAAATGAACAACACGTGCTTGGGAATTATGCTGCAATTTTTTTGTCTTAGCCCTTTGAATCACACCAGGCAGTCAAATAAAGAACTCTTTCCATTTCTGTACATAAATTTGTACCCTGTGAGTGACATGATGTTAAGGCTCAAATTTTAGTAAGAGCTGCAGACAAGCTTGCTTAAGCAAATTGAAAAGGGGAAAATGAGGTTATTTTAGTAGTGGAGCCTTGCACTCTATAACATACCCCTCTGCAGTCAAATTACTACAAAACTATCTAACAGAGCAAGTCTCAGGGCCCATCCACAGAGCTATATAATCCAGAACATCAAAGCAGAAAATCCCACAATATCTGCTTTGAACAGGGTTATTTGCATCTACACTGCCATATATAAAAGTAATAATACACTTTATTTATATTTTGTCCTTCTCTGTCAAGACCCAGAAGCCTTAAAGGAGCCCAACACACAATGCAGGGTTCAAACAGTTTTATTATTATTCACAAAATAGTCTTTGAAGCACTTACTTCAGTGCTAAAAGTGCAAAGGAAGAGTTGATATCAAAAGCAAAGTAAAAAAAGCAACTGAAATATAACCCGGATTATCCTGGCGTATAATCCGGTTTGACTAAGGTATTCAGCAATCTATTTTAAACTCACATAGTTCACAGAAGATACAAAAGCAAACTAGAAGCAGGCAAAAACACAGTTCCCAAAACGGTCCAAAGTCGTAGCACGATGTAAACAGGTAAACAAAGTCCAAGAAGCAAAAAGCGTGTTGTCCCAAAGCGGTCCGGAGTCAAGCCGTAGAGTAGAAGTTCTAGTTTGCAGAGTCACAAGAAGTAAGCACAGGAACACAGGAATCTGTAGTCCAAGGACCCAAGCTCAAGAATTGGTAGCAACAAAGATTCACACCCCAAAAGAGATACTTTGCCTTCTGCAAAGAGTCATGCAAACAGTACTCACTTTTATCCTAAAGCTCCTCATCAGAAGATGAGGAGCTCCCCACCCTTTCATCATCACTCACAGCTGCCCCATTCCCTGCAGCTGAACCCGAGTGCCCATCCCTCCACCTCTGCCAGCATCTGTCAAGACTTAGATCTTGCCAAGTGCTCCCCGGTTGCCATTCCTCTGTAAACCCTTCAAAATCATCGCTGGAGGTGGGTTGGTTACAGATATCCCTAATCTCCTGTACACGGGTCCAATCAATCCCATCCTCTTCCCCCATGTCACTCCCAGACCCATCACTCAAAGCCCATGAAATCTTCGTCCTCTGTAGGAGCAGTAAGTATATCACGGATACACTTCCTTTGTTCTTCCTCATCAGACTCTGAGTCGCGAGTAACCCGCTTGACTCCCCTGCATTCCTCCCCATCCCCCATGTCACAATTGGAGAAACCTTTAAAGGTTTCAGAATCGCTCGGGGCCATGATTATTTCCCTAATCCACTTTCGTTGCAGCTCCTCTTCCAACACCTGTGCAGCCCGCTTCTCCCTCCTACCAGTAGTAGCACTGTTAGCATCATGCTGAACTACAACATTSTCCCCTAGGGGACTCAGAGCAGATTACAGCATTTACACACATAGGCAAACATTCAATGCCTTTACATTCAAATACAATGAGGACACACAAACAAAGGCAAAGGCTTCTCCTTTCATTTCTGGCTTCTGGGGGCAGTGCTCATCTCTGGCTCTGGGGAGGTGCTTTTCTCCATTTTCAAGCAGAGGAGCTGGCGTTATTTATTTATTTATTTATTTATTTATTTGCTTTATTTCTATACCGCATTTTTCAGCCCAAACAGGCGACTCAATGCGGTTATCACCTGGTTGTGTGGCCAGCAGCAAGATTGCTTGGAGCATCTCTTTGCCTTTTACCGCTAAAGCGATATCTATTAATCTACTCACATTTGCATGTTTTTGAACTGCTAGATTGGCAAGGACTAGGGCCGACAGATTCTATATATTCCAGTTCAAAGCAGATAATGTGGGATTTTATTCAGCTGTGTGGAACAGGCCTCAATTATCTCGATAATAAATGCAAGTTGTTCTGTCTGGGATGAGTAATGCAGTTCCAAGTAGGGAAAATGCCAACAAATCTTATGCATCTGGGATTGTTGATCTCCTCATGATAGAACCAATTAATAGAATTACAAACCTGTCTCATCTTCCTCACCATCTTCTTCTTCTTCCTCCTCCTCCTCCTCTTCCTCTTCTCCTCCAATATTGGCACTTTCTTCTTCTTTGGGAAGGCCTTCGTCTTGAATCTGGCATCAAAGTAATAGAAAATGCTGGTTTTAGAAAGCAATCATGTTCCTAAGGGTTGCTTTAAGCAACATCGGTATGTTTGTTTTTAGTAATCGATTCGTTTTGGTGTTTTTTTGTTTTTTGTTTGTTTGGTTTTTTTTTTGTAATATGTATGTAAGGAAAACATGAAGTTTACTTACACTGAGGATCCTTCCACACAGCTGTATATCCCAGAATACCAAGGCAGAAAATCCCACATTATCTGAGTGTGGACTCAGATAACCCAGTTCCAAGCACATATTGTGGGATTTCCTGCCTCAATATTCTGGGATATAGGGCTGTGTGGAAGGGCCCTGTCAAACAGTATGTTTAGTTTACTATGATCTGTACTTACTCTGAGGGTTTCAGAGAGGAATCTTTCCCAGGCTTATCCAGAAATACTAGAGACTGAATTGAAGACATTTAGTATTCAAAAGATATATTCTTGCCACTGAACACCAACCCATCTTCATTTTTATCAAACAGATTTCATTGCACTGAGTAGGCAGTACAACAAGGTCCATAACAGTGCTCCTAAAACAGGGGTGTCCAACTCCTTTTCACAGAGGGTCACATTGCCCTTATGGTGCTTTCAAAAGGCTTTTTTTGTAAGACTGTATAAATGTTTCAGTTGCCCTGAAACTGAAAGCCTTGAAGTCCACATCAAATAACATGGTGGGATGGATTTAGCCCACGGAACTTGTGCTCTAAAGGAGAGGAGTCTGGGGAGGTTTTTCCTTATTTACTTATTAATTCCTTCATTTTATTCATCTATATTACCACCTTTCTCCCAATAATAGCATTCAAGGCAGCTAACCACTTATTTTAAAACAATATTAAGTTAAAACTACATATAGTCATTAATAAAAGTATAAATGTTAAAGTTTTAATAGTAATTAAACCATTTATAAAGTCAAAAATCGTGAAAAACCATATACAAATCTTATGAACTGCACCCCATAGAATTCAGTTAGTTTTTGAAAGCCCGACAGCATAAAATGTTTTTATTTCCTAACAGTAAGGCTGGATCTACATTGCCATATAATGCAGTTTCAGAATGCAGATTAACTGCATTGAACTGGATTATATGGTAGTGTAGACTCATAGATCCAGTCAAAGTGAACATGAATGGATCCATTCTGGCCTTCATTACGTCGGGAATTCCAATGTGCTAGAGACCAGCACAATATTTGTGCCTGTTGACAACAAACATTTCTTTCTTTGTCACTGTGGACTGGAAGCCAATAGTTTATATGTACGGATCACCACTTCAAGTAGCATTGTCCTATTAAAAATGCTTCCAACTTTTCTTCTATTGAATGACACTTAAAAAGGATGGTGAAGATGGCAATAGATAGGATTACCACCACTCTCTCTGCTCCATGATCCAAGACCTTTCTTTCTGCTTGCAGCTGCTCCACAATGGTTTTCTGTAGCAATGGTGCATTAGCTCCCCTTACCACTGCTACTAACTCACCTCCCTGAAAAAAAATTCATAGCTCATTGATCTTGCAAATGTGATTTGTGTTAATTAATACTCAAGATACATACATTAGTATGACTATGTCAGAGTCTGGCTTTGACTATACAATCAGCCCTCCACATTTGCCAGAGTTAGGGGCCCAGGGAAGTGAAAAACCACAAATAAAGAATGCACCTCTAGGAATTTCCAGACCCCTTCTACACTGCCATATAAAATCCAGATTATGTACTTTGAACTGGATTATATGACAATGTAGACTCACGTAATCTACTTTGATAATCTGCTTTGATAATCTGGATTTTATATGGCAGTGTAGAAGGGGACCAAGTCTTCTGGCCTGACTTTGTAGTCAATGTTTGGAAGTTATTTCTATAAGTACCTAGGTCTTATTTTCAGGGCATTTTAAACTTAAAAGGAAGTTCCTCACAGAATTCCATTACTACATCATCAAAGGGGGAGGAGACAGTGGTTAGCAGTAAAGACAAAGACAAATCACTTTAGGAAACATGCATAGGAATGTGGGGAAAAGAAATCGCTAAACTTAGTCCGGTCTCTAGTCTAGCTACTAGGCTTGGGCAAGTTCGTTCGGAAGCTTCTAAAATCGGAATTAATTTGGAAAAAAACTCCTTTTGAACCAATTTTGAGCCATGCAGAAATAGTGGGAGGAGTAATTCTGAATTTAAACCACTTACCCATTGTTCGGAATTATTTTCGGATATCTCCCACAGTTATTTTGATTTTTAGAACAATTGAGCAACTTTGCCAAAGCCTCGTGGTTTCCCTTCCCTGGCTGGCAGTGAACGGCGATGCAGCGGGACGAGGTGGGCGTGGCTAAGAACAGCTCTTTTTGAAGGCCACGTTTTAAATTCTCGCAGTTTCTCTTCCCTGTTAGTTTTAAAATCTCGCGGTTTCCCTTCCCTGGCTGGCAGTGAAGGGTGATGAAGAGGGATGAGGTGGGCGTGGCTAAGAACAGCTCTTCCTGAAGACCATGCCCCCAGTGGCCTTCAGGAAGAGCTGTTTTTAGCCATGCCCACCTCGTCCCTCTTCATCGCCCTTCACCGCCAGCCAGGGAAGGGAAACCGCGAGATTTTAAAACTGTTTGTTTAGGCTTTCTGACTTTGTCAAAGTTACTTAATGGTTTGGGAGGGAGGGAGGGGCACCTTCCATTAACAAAGCAACAAAGCGATTCAGATTTCTGCTATTTCCGATCTTTTTTTCAAGAAAATTTCAGAAATCATTTCAAAATCGAATCGCCAGTGCCCCCTATATACAAAACCAGTCTAGAACCTTTTTTTTCTTGATCACCCAAGCCTACTAGCTACTCATTGAGGACTGGAAACTTGATGACACAAAGACTTGTGCAGTCCAGGGATGAAACCAACACATACAACACATACTGCTTTGTGTTGTTGTCTGTTCCACAGGAAATGAAATAGTGACCGTGTTGCCTTGGATTCCCTTAAATTACATAGATTGCACTATAACTTGTCTGTATTTTGCATGTAAACTGTGGTAGATATAGTAAAAGGTAAAAGTAAGACATTAAATCTAGTCATGTCCGACTCTTGGGGGGTGGTGCTCATCTCCATTTCTAAGCTGAAAAGCCGGAATTGTCCATAGACACCTCCAAAGTCATGTGGCCAGCATGACTGCATGGAGCGCCGTTACCTTCCCGTTAAGACAGTACCTATTGATCTATTCACATTTGCATATTTTTGAACTGCTAGGTTGGCAAAAGGTGAGCCTGACAGCAGGAGCTCACCCACTCCCTGGATTCAAACCGCCAACCCTCCGGTCGGCAATTTCAGCAGCTCAGTTTAACCCACTGTGCCACCAGGCGCCCGGTAGATATAGTAGTATTTACATAATGGAAAGGAGATTATTTCCAGACTATTCCCATTAAACTAAATACCTAGTCTAAGATAAACATACAAGCTCTGAAGTAACAAAGTCATATTCAGTTTTCATTCTTGAAAAAGAAGGGAGAAGGAAGACAATAAGCTTTCAATAGCAATAGTGTAATCTCACAGTAAATTGCAAAGCTAAAATAGAGCCAGTATAGTGCTGTGGTTTGAGCACTCCTGAAACCAGGGTTTGAATTCTCATTGAGGCTAGAAAATTGAATGTGTGACCTTAAGCAAGTCACTTTCAAAGAGAGGCAAAGACAAATCCCCTCAGAACAAATCTTGACAAAAACAGTATAATAGGTGTGCATTACAGTCAGTAAATTGGAAACAACTCAAGGGCAAAAATACAACAAAAATAACATATATAATTCACCCGGCTAGGAACATGTGAAAAGACTTCTAATCAATTAACACCATGATGTCCTGCTTGTATACCACTTATCAACTATTAAGCAACAATTTTTTTTAAAAGGATTACAAAGATCTGTTCCACAGATTTTAAGGTCTAACAGAGAGTAAATATTAAAGTAGGGGTGGGCACACTTTGGACTTCTCAAATCTAGTTTGTTCTTTGATTGGAATCCCCTCCCTAAATATGCCAACTAGAACGAAGTGCAAAACATTGGCTCGGAAGAATGGATATATCTACAATGATTGAAGAGGAGGATGCCTTCAAGCGCATTCTTAGCTCAAGAATTAGTTTTCAGTACCGCAACTGGAGCTTGAATTCAGATTCTTTCATACATACGTACATCCACTTCTGTTTCCCCTCAGGCTTTCCTGTTTTAGCAGCACAACGTGGGAGGATGAAAGGCATTTAAAAATGTTTGCTATAGTTAAATCATCAGGAGACAGGAATCCTTTCTATCTAGTACAAATCATGCAAAATGCATCAGTTGATTTCCCATCCCCATTTAACTCCTGCTAGGCCTTACGGTACTTTTAAAAGAATAATATTGACAGCTATTAAGGAAGTGAAAGATTTAGAAAAAGAGGGGGAAAGCATACATTATTTTCCAGACATTTGTAAAAGGGAGGAAGGAAAGGTTTCAGACAGACCTCACAACCTCTGAGGATGCCTGCCATAGATGCAGGCAAAATGTCAGGAGAGAATGCTTCTGGAACATGGTCATACAGCCCAGAAAACACACAACAACCCAGTGATTCCTGCCATGAAAGCCTTCAACAATATATTAAACAGAAGAGAGATATGAATTTGGTGTAGAAGGCTCAGCAAGAGAAAGCAAACAAAGGCAGATGGATAAGAAAAAGAAATGGCATATTAGTTTCCCATATTTAACCCATAGACCAGAGCTGCTGAACTCCAGATGGTCTAAAACTAAATAATAATAATAATAATAATAATAATAATAATAATAATAATAATAAAACTTTATTTATATACCACTCTTATCTTCCCAGAACCAGACATCCTGAGGAGTGAGGTTGAATGGGCCTTAAGAAGCATTGCTAACAACAAGGCAGCAGGAGACGACGAGATCCCAGCTGAACTGTTTAAAATCTTAAAAGATGATGCTGTCAAGGTGATGCATGCCATATGCCAGCAAATATGGAAAACACAAGAATGGCCATCAGACTGGAAAAAATCAACTTATATCCCCATACCAAAAAAGGGAAATGCGAAAGACTGCTCAAACTTCCGTACAGTGGCCCTTATTTCTCATGCCAGTAAAGTAATGCTCAAGATCCTGCAAGGAAGACTCCAGCAATACATGGAGCGAGAGTTGCCAGATGTTCAAGCTGGGTTTAGAAAAGGCAGAGGAACGAGAGACCAGATTGCCAATATCCGCTGGATAATGGAGAAAGGCAGGGAGTTTCAGAAAAACATCTACTTCTGCTTCATTGACTATTCTAAAGCCTTTGACTGTGTGGATCATAATAAATTGTGGCAAGTTCTTGGTGGGATGGGCATCCCAAGCCACCTTGTCTCTCTCCTGAGGAATCTGTACAAGGACCAAGCAGCAACAGTAAGAACTGACCACGGAACAACAGACTGGTTCAAGATTGGGAAAGGCGTACGGCAAGGCTGCATACTCTCACCCAACCTTTTTAACTTGTATGCAGAACACATCATGCAATGTGCGGGGCTTGAGGAATGCAAAGCTGGGGTGAAAATTGCTGGAAGAAACATTAACAACCTCAGATATGCAGATGACACCACTCTGATGGCCGAAAGTGAGGAGGAGCTGAGGAGCCTTCTAATCAAGGTGAAAGAAGAAAGCGCAAAAGCCGGGTTGCAGCTAAAAATAAAAAAACCCAAGATTATGGCAACAAGAATTATTGACAACTGGGAAATAGAGGGAGAAAATGTGGAGGTCGTGACAGACTTTGTATTTCTAGGTGCAAAGATTACTGCAGATGCAGACTGTGGCCAGGAAATCAGAAGACGCTTACTTCTTGGGAGGAGAGCAATGTCCAGTCTCGATAAAATAATAAAGAGTAGAGACATCAGACTGGCAACAAAGATCCGCCTAGTCAAAGCCATGGTATTCCCTGTAGTAACCTACGGATGTGAGAGCTGGACCTTAGGGAAGGCTGAGCGAAGGAAGATCGATGCTTTTGAGCTGTGGTGTTGGAGGAAAGTTGCTGAGAGTGCCTTGGACTGCGAGAAGATCCAACCAGTCCATCCTCCAGGAAATAAAGCCCAGCTGCTCACTGGAAGGAAGGATACTAGAGACAAAGTTGAAGTACTTTGGCCACATCATGAGGAGACAGCAAAGCCTAGAGAAGACAATTATGCTGGGAAAGTGGAAGGCAAAAGGAAGAGGGGCCGACCAAGGGCAAGATGGATGGATGGCATCCTTGAAGTGACCGGACTGACCTTGAAGGAGCTGGGGGTGGTGACGGCTGACAGGGAGCTCTGGCGTGGGCTGGTCCATGAGGTCACGAAGAGTCGGAGACGACTGAACGAATGAACAACAACAATATACTTCCCAAGGGGACTCAGAGCTGTTTCCACATATGCAAAATAATACAAAAACATACAATATAAAACAAAAACATAGGCATAAACTGTTAACACAACATATACATTAAAATCCATTTAAAACAAAAGAAAATGTTAGAAAATAAAATAAAAGACATTGCATGATTATAGGAATCAACTACAATAGATTGAAGCAAAGTTGATTAAATTCAAGAAGCTATGCATGAAATGAGTTATTACTAGGATTCACATTGTGTGCTTGTATACATCTACCAGTAATAATAATATAATAAATATTTGCATACTATCCCTGTTGATTATTATTTAATGTGTGTTCACATGCCTCTGCTTATTGACAGCCACATAACATATTCATATTATCTCTGTGTTATTAAGAATTGTACATTTTAATACATCTTCGTCTACCATATATACTTGAGCATAAGCCGAACTGAATATAAGTTGATGCAAATCTAATTTTACCACTAAAAACTGGGAAAACATATTGACTCAAGTATAAGCCAATAAAGTTACATTAATTGAGGCATCAGTAGGTTAAATGTTTTTGAATATTTACATAAAACTGTAATTTAGGATAAGACTATCCAACTCTGAGTAAACCATTATGCTAACCTTCTTCAATGTAAATATGCTTATGTATCCTGTGGGGGTTGGTAAATCTGTTTAAGCAGAGTAAGTAGAGGTTTTACCACAGTATTTAAACCAAGGTATATCCTGCTGTATAATAAAATGTCACTCAGACTTGTAAAACAAGTAACAGTATCTTTACTTTGGTTCAAAGGTTCAAACAGGGTAACAATGTATTCATCAGTCTCTTTGAATACAGGCAGGGAACAGAGGGATAAAACAGTCTTTTTAAATAGTCTTTAAAATAAGCCTCATACCATAAAATGATCAGTCTTTAAAATAGTTGGCAACCAGCAATTTTACTTCACTGCCCAAAGAGAGAACAAATGGCAGAATGACAGAACTGTTTGCCACAGCAGCCAGCCAGAGGCAGCAGCCAATCAGAACCTTTGCCCCTGACACACTCAGCCGATTGGCTGCTGACACATCTCTCACATATCCTTCCAATAATAGTAGAGTATAATAATAAATGTAATAATAATAGAGTAAAATAATAAATGTTATAATAACAATAATAAAGAGTAAAATAATAAATGTAATAAAATAATAATAGAGTAAAATAATGTAAATGTAATAATAATAGTAATAAATAGAGTAAAATAATAAATATAATAATAGTAATAAATAGAGTAAAATAATAAATGTAATAATAACAATAATAATAATAACAAAGTGAAATAATAAATAAATTTGACTTGAGTATAAGCTCAGGGTGGGCTTTTTCAGCCTTAAAAAAGGGCTGAAAACTTGGCTTATACTTGAGTGTATACGGTATATTATATTCTTGTCTACAGTGCACCTATATTGTATTAGTGTTTTCCTTTTTTGTTATTTGAATTTTGTATGTACAATAATATGGGCTGTGCATGTTAATTTCCCATGCTTTTGAAGCATTCAGATTTGATTCCTATTTGCTAAAACCAATTTCTATATTTATTTTTCTGTGCTATTAGTCTAAAACCATAATGCTAACATTAAAGCATATCACTCTTGTATTTTAGGTTTATTAACAATGACGACAACAACAAAATCCTAAATTTCCAAATAAAGAGATTAGGAGTAAAAGAAGGGGAAGAGAGTTCAAAAACTGAGCTGGGAAGAGAAGGAAACTTTTTTCTTCTGTACTGTTAGTCTAATATTATGCTGCTAATATACCTGACTTCTTACAAAATGTGCCTGTCTTCTGCTTGATATGCTGTAATCCTTAATTTGCTAATAGGGGATTTTAAAAAAGGAGGGAAAGAAGAAATGGGGAGGTGGAGAGAAGAAGATTTGGCAGTGCGCATCCTGTCCTGCCAAAAACTAATACACCTTGAAGACTGTTTGTAAATGTATGTCATCAGTAAATAATAGAAATTAAAAGTGGCATAATACTGTTACAACTATGTAGTGCTGCACATATATCTTTAATATGTTTTTTTTTAAAAAAAAGAAAATTGTACTCTGGGGGTCCAGGCCAGTTAACAGTGTAAACAAGCACCAGATGGCATGGCTAGAATTCAAGTATCAACAGGGTAATATAGCAACTCATCACACATTCAGACTTTTCTTCCTTCCCCCTACGCATCAACCATATTATTCTACACACATTCACACTTGGAAGCAGAATAGGAAAGCTTCACCATCCAATTGCATCACACAGAAGGAGAATTTATTCTACTCCAGTACAAACAGAAGCCGAGAATCTAAACAGTCTGGTTCGATGGTATTCCCCTCTCAAATCAGCTGGAAGCATTTGGACCTATTCTCAATCAGTGCCACCCAGTGTTAATATAGTACTGCAAGACAGAGAACAACTTCTTAACTGAACGATATTTCTTGTTTCTAAATTTTTTAAAAAGGCTTTGAAACCAACTTACGGCATAAAAGAGAAATGTAGGCTCACATTTACCACGGTATTTCTCAAGGGCATCAATTGAATCCACTTCAGCCTACAGAAAAAGTAAATAATTTACTAAAAGCAAATATTCACAATTACATGGAGCAGGATGGGGAAGGCCTGTTATTTCATATCATTCTTTAAACAAGACTCAGTAGTCCATCCTTTTGGAAGATTGCAGCAGGCTCAATTGGACATCACTTTAAGAGCTAGGTGAACAGCAACCTCACAGCTTGGGTCGCTCTTGAGTCACCAGATCATAATGTTCATTTCTGCCCTCCCATCCCCACATGGAGAGTGCAGCTGGGGAGATTAAAACCAAGACCGTATTCAGACAGTTTCTGGGGGCCTGTCCACACCCACTCCAGAAGGCATGTGCTTTCTGGGGTGGGTGTCCACACGTTATCTCGTGAGTAGCCCGAGAGAACATGTGGAGGCCCTACCCCCTCTCCCAAGTCCCCAGACTCCTTAAAAAACTAATAAAAACTTACATGGCCTCCATTAGAAGTCTCGGCTGGCTCTCCCGGCTATAGAAATGATGTCCCAGGAGAGCGGGGGGGGGGGGGTGATTTCTCCCCCCCCCCCCCCCCCCCGCTCTCCTGGCACGTCATTTCTATGGGGGGAGGGAGGCAGGTATTCCTACAGTTTACCAGGTTTATTTAGCCCAGTAAACTGTGGGAATACTGTCTGGCCTACAGTATTCTGCAGTCCAGACCCAGAAATAGTAGATTTATCCTGTGTCTTCCAAGGAGGTGTGGAATAAATCCACTATCAAATTAATTCGCTGCAAACCAGAGTTTTCCTGGTTTGTAGTGTATTAATTCGGGACTGTCCAGAACACTGTCTGGACAGCCCCTCCTATATTGCGGGAGTTACCACAATAAAGGTCCTGTCTGGACGGGCCCCTAATCATAGCTAGAGAGGTTCATAAACTCCAGCCCATCTACCTCCTACCTCATTTACCTCCAGAAGATTAGGGCTTTGACGAAAGGCAAATGAGAAACTGCCACAACCCAGACTGAGAATGATCCAGTGAGCTGGACCAGTCCTATGGAGTCCCTTGCATGTATTTTAAGAAATTGTGTAAAACTTACATATATACTTAGTCCCTGTCAACACTGCCAACAAGATGGATTATCAGTAAATTTCTCTTCCCAATAACTTACAGGAATTCAAATTCTATGTTTGGTGGACATATACATGTACTGTCATGATTCTTTATGCTATTTGGGGGCGGGGGAGTCAAATTAAGTTATATCTCTGCTTATGCTTCTTCCCCTCTCCAAAATACCAGTTTTGGTCATTTGGAAGCCAATGTATTCATTTCCACTCGTATAATCTAGCAACCAGGATCTTTTTGATTTTTCAAAGACTAACGCTAAATTCCTCTAGCTTTCCCCAATCTGGTCCATATCTCATGTCTTAGACCAGGGCTTCTTAAACTTTTCCACTTATGACCCTTTTCAGTCATAGAGACATATTGATATATAAAACAGGTGTAAGAATTACATGTACTGGTAATAAATCAGCATTTGCAAGGCTTACTAAACAGGCTGATTTTCCTTTTTATGAAGTATCTTCTGCAGAGTCCATTGTAAAAACAGCCACTAGGTGACATTCAGAAAACGTTTACTGTTGCCAAATTTTTCAAGACCCCAACATTGAGCTAAGGGACCCCATTTGGAGTCAGGGCCCACAGTTTCAGAAGCAGTACTTAAGGCCCCTTTGAGACTTCCATATAAAATCCAGATTATCTGCTTTGAATTGGATTATATGGCAGTGTAGACTCAGATAATCCAGTTCAAAGCAGAGAATGTGGATTATCTGCTTTGATATTTTATGGCGGTGTAGAAGGGGCCTAAGACTACAGGTCCCACCATGCTAGCTATTTTGTACTACTGTTTCTACCTATACTCCATCATTGGCCATGATGCCTGCAGTTGATGGAAGCCAGTTATATTTGTACATTTGTATTATAATTGTATACTTGATACTATCTTACCACAGCAAAATGCAGGAGGTCATCACCTAGTTCGTTTCTTATTTTCCTGAAAAGGCTTATCACTGTTTTACATGGTCCGCACCAGCCTTGGTAAATGTCTACCACTGCAAGGAGAGCAAAAGATTTCAACAGAATTCCAGCATTTTAGAGAAATGTACACAGATAATCCAGCACATAGATTTCCATAAATTAATTAGTACTATTTCCTGATGTAACTAACAATTGCTCTACAAATCTAATTTGTTATTAGTAGTCTGTGCTAGATACTGTGATGATCTGGAGGAGTATAGCATGAGATGTTACAAGTGAACCCCTTTCATGGAAGGAAATGACTGAGGATGTTTTGCCTATGGGTTGCTTACATGAATGTAAGCAGTGGGATGCTTACTGGAATACAGGTCAGCAAATGCCCAGTTTACATCTATATGCAAATTACATCTATATGTAAATTAAACATTAAACATGCCAATCTCTACATGGTATCATACCCACACAGATTTTTTTGGCAAGCTTTGGAAACATATTATGAAGAAATACACCGAACAGTACTCAAGATAACTCCCTTATAATTAACATTCTCATCAAGACAGAAAATAGATAGATAGATAGATAGATAGATAGATAGATAGATAGATAGATATTGCCCTGTAAAGGTTTGTCAGGATATAGTTGTATTTCTGATCAGCAACAGAAGCTATGGGCTGTTTTGTACTTGCAACAGAAGTCTTACCTATCAGTCCTCTGGAACTCAGCATTTCTTCCCAAAGTTCCTGATTGCTTATAACCATCTGTATGCAAATTAAACATAAAACAATATTACCAACAAACTTTTAAATAAGGCAGAATAGCCTTTTTGAATGCAGTTGCTACCAGAAAGACTTTGAGTTTCTCTTAACTGTAGAATTAGTGCAATTTGACACTGCAGCCCCTTTCACACAGCTGAATAAAATCCTGCATTTTCTGCTTTCAACTTGAATATATGGCAGTGTGGACTCAGATAACCCAGTTCAAAGTAGATATTATGAAGGGCCCTGAGAGAAATGTTGGATACAAATATTTGTCCAGGTTAAGGTGCCTGAGGAAGAGCATACAGCAAAGAAAGACTTGCTTATCCCAGAGGCTTAGGGCCCTTCCACACAGCCCGATATCACAGAATATCAAGGCAGAAAATCCCACAATATCTGCTTATCTGAGTCCACATTCAGATAATGTGGGATTTTCTGCCTTCATATTCTGGGATATTGGGCTGTGTGGAAAGGACCCAAGAGATAAGGCAAGCTGAAGCAGGTGTGTGTGGAATGATGTCATGGGAAGGATTGAGGCCTTTTAAAGTGGTTCCTGCTGGTACAAACGTTTGTAAGACCAATGTTGTATTCAGGTGAACAGATCTTGATTCTTGGTCCTACATTTTTGGAATTCATGTATTCATTCAAGTTTCTAAGAGTCCTTCCGCATAGCTATATAACCCAGAATATCAAGGCAGAACATCCAACAATATCTGCTTCGAACTCGGTTATCTGAGTCCAAACTACCATATATGAGCTTTGGTTAAAAGCAGATAATGTGGGATTTTATTCAACTGTATGTAAGAAACCTAAGTTTGTTCCTGTTTCCAGTTCATGCTAGCCTACCTTGGATTCATACTATCATATTTATGGATAGATCTGTGGACTGACTCTGTATTTGAAAGGATATTGGACTCTTGGCTATCTTGGAAATAACTTTTGGAACTTGATTTTCTTTTTTTAGATTTGCTTATTTTTATATATTTTTCTCTTAATAAACTTTTACTTATTGGATTATCTGGGCAGAGTGTGATTTGTGGTGAAAAGGTGTTTCAGGGCTCTAGTGCTATGGTAGTTTCCTCTGCAATATAGTACTCCCCAAACTAGAAATTCCAGAATTCCACAGCAGTGATCCATTGCAGTTTGAGGGGTGTCAAACTGCATTGATTGTACAGTGTAGATGTGCCTTTGTTTACTCAGTAAAGGGAAGACTCATTTCTTTTTTTTGCATTAAAAGAACTGCTAGTATGTCAAACTAATGATACATAACAAAATCACCTGTAAACAGATTAATTGTGTGGATGCTATTTTCTTATTCTGTTTCAATTTAGTTTTAGGAAAAGGAAAACAGAGGGTACAAATTCTATGTTCAGCTGCTATTTCCTGATCCTGTTATAACTGATTAAAAATACATATACGAAGCTTCAATGCAGGAGAGCAACTGTGACATCCATGACATTACAGACACAATTACAATACTACAATATTGTTTGCACATTGGCAAATGTTTAGATATCAGTAATCTAGCATGCAGTGACTACTTTTACTTACAGGGATACTATACTACTTTTTCCTATCTGGACCTTAGAAGTTGTAGTCCTCCTTAGACCTTCCTGAGAAAAGATATTAAAAAGAGCTTTATAGACTACAGTTTTCAGCATCTCCCAGCCAGCAGGGCCACTTGGTTTAACCAAGAACTATTGTTCTGGATCACATGGCAGAGAATAACTCTTGAGTGACAGTCCACAAAGTGTTGCACAAGAATTCTATGCTTTATTTATAGTAAAGTAAATAACTGACGGTCACACTAGAGAAAAAATCCACTTAAATTTTGGTTTCTGCCTCCTGCAGAATTCTGGGTTTTGTAGTTTAGTGAAGATGTTAAAGACTCCTCTCTAAACTACAAACCCAAGAATTCTGCAGGAGGCAAAAAACAGATCTCTAGTGTGATGAGGCCAACAATAGTCATTTAAATAAATCCAATAGGTCTACTCTGGTGTAAATAGCTGGCAGTGTTGAAATAATTTCTTCTTCTGGCCACTTGATGGCAGAATTTATAGAGATTATATCCATATGGAATCATTCTTACATAAAGAAATCACAGAAACATTGCCAGTGATTTTTATTTAAATGTTTCTATCTGAGATGCTGTGTTAGTTTTTTTTTTCCAGAAAGAATATCAAAGAGACATGTGGCCTCTTAAAAACCAGCAAATGTATTATAGCATACAATAGTGTAGACTACAATTGTATGTTACGAAGTGGATTGTGAATTTATAAAGTCGATGAAGTGTCTTCACCAAACTTGGTGCCAAAAGAGTATTTTACGGTTAAAATAATACCTATTCAATCCAGGGAGTGGGGTGAGCTCCTGCTGTTAGCCCCAGCTTCTGCCAACCTAGCAGTTCGAAAGCATGCCAATGTGAGTAGATCAATAGATACTGCTCTGGTGGGAAGGTAATGGTGTTCCATGCAGTCATGCTGGCCACATGACCTTGGAGGCATCTACGGACAACGCCAGCTCTTCAGCTTAGAAACGGAGATGAGCACCACTCCCCAGAGTCAGACATGATTGGATTAAATGTCAAGGGGAAACCTTTATCTTTTACTAGACTCATATAATGTAGTTTAACTGCACTGAAGTGTATTATATGACCATATATTGCAGTTCAATCTGCATCATAATGCCAGTGTAGATGAGTACTGAGATAGCACAGGAAAATGCAAACACACTTAGAACATATGGCCTACAAGGCTAGTCAATTTACTATTTTGGCACTCAATGCAGAAAAATTCCACTCGCATTTCCCTTGGCATTAAAACACAACATTAAATTGAACAACTATGCTGCCTTTTGTGATAATAAAAGTCACCTACTTGAGATGAGTACATCATTCCAGCGGATGGAAGTGGCCAGATCAAAATGAATACGCACATATATTGGGACCAATATCAGTTATTGCCAGATACCCTGATTTTCCTTATTTTCAGCCTCACAAAACTGTTGGAAAATAATATCTAGAAGGACTGGTTCTCCCAGTCATCTTATATTTTAATGAATAGTAATAGACTGGATTTTTTTATTTGAAACTTAATGGCTAAATCTGTCTCAATTAAGCTTTCCCTTTTAGAAGCATATTTCATATTTATTTAAGGGGGGGGGGGAGTAGGCAGTGCTTATTATTATCCAGCTAAACAGTCAGCCTTTGATTCTAATTCTATATTATTCTGCCAAATAAAATACTCTGTGCCGACAATTTCTTCCCAGAAGGCTGCACTGCAGAGATAATTTAAATCTGCTGTTATATTTCATTTCTGATTCATCCAGATGAGGGGCGAAATGAATTACTGGCTGTTGCCTTGGGAGACTGGTAAATCCACTTAGAACTCCATTGCTTTTGGTTTTAGACGGGCTGTCAAAATGCAACATAGTCTTGCGTCAAACCCACCTCCTCCACACAAGCAGGAAATGGCAAGCACGCACAGTATTAACCTTTTATACTGACCTGCAAAGCTAATTCCTTCTTCCTGATGGCCATTGTGCTGCCGAAAGCAAACAGGAGTATAAAACATCATGTCATTTATATAAAACCGACACATAAAACCTGTACAAATAAGTTATGTATCTTGCTACATACAGCAATGGCAACTGTAACACAATACATTGGTAGGGACTACCACCTTAAAATCAATTAAAGAACTAATTTAACTAGAAATGTATCAACAAAATGTAATTACTTAAATAAACTTTTAAAAATAAATGTCAGAATTTCAGTATTAATTAAGGTCCTGCTTAATCAATCAATGAATTAACTTAATTAATCCATAATTAATTAATTTACTGCTTAATCAAATGAACGACAGTTCTAAACAAATATTAAATTTTACTTTACCCAAATGGCTGTTTACTCAAAGCCCAGGGCCCTTCCACACAGCCATATATCCCAGAGTATCAAGGCAAAATAACCCACAATATCTGCTTTGAACTGGATTATTTGAGGGCCCTTCCACACAGTCCTATATCCCAGAATATCAAGGCAGAAAATCCAACATATCTGAGTGTGGACTCAGATAACCCAGTTCAAAGCAGATATTGTGGGATTCTCCTCCTTGATATTCTGTTATATAGGACTGTGTGGAAGGGCCCCCAGTCCACACTGCCATATATCCCAGTTCAAAGCAGATAATGTGGGATTTTATTCAGATGTGTGGAAGAAGCCCTAGTTCTCTTGGGGCCCTTCCACACAGCCATATAACCCAGAACATCAAGGCAGATAATCCACAATATCTGCTTTGAGCTGTACTATCTGAATCCACACTGCCATATAATCAGGGGCGGCTCAACCCATTACGCAAAGTAAGCATTCGCAGTATAGTTGATTTTGCCCAGGGGTGCTCTTAAGGCACTCTTGGGGGAAAATAGACCTTGGCATATGCGAGTTGTGGTTACTGGGATGTATAGTTCACCTAAAATCAAAGAGCATTCTGAACTCCACCAATGATGGAATTGAACCAAATATGGCACACAGAACTCCCATGACAAACAGAAAATATATATCAATTATTGGTTGTGGGGGGGGGGCACCAAAATACGGTTTGCTTACCGTTGAAAATTACCTAGGGTCGCCTCTGCATATAATCCAATTCAATGTGGATTTTATACAACTGTGTGAAAGGACATTGCATGCGTGAATATGGGAGTCATCTGCAGTGTAGAATTAATTACACCACTTTGATTGCCATGGCTCAATACTCTATAATCCTGGGATTTGTAGTTTGGTGAGGCATTAGCACTCTTTGGCAAGGCTTTGTAACATGACAACTCAAATCATTCCATAGCTTTAGGCCGTGGCAGGTAAAGTGTTGTCAAACTGCATTAATTCTGCGGTGTAGATGCACTCATGGGGTAAAGGAACGGTAATGCTCCGGTCACAAATAGTCTGAAAAGGGCACTGAGATGGCATTTTTGTGCTCTGTGCTGAATATAGCCTGCAGGCATCTGCCCCAGAAAAATGAATTGTGAAGCTCTTAACACTCTCTTGCTTTGATCCACCAGGGAATCTATAAACTAAAGGCAGTTTGTGGATAAGGACATAAGGCTATTAAAAGGGAACAAAGGGAAACCAAGAGAAGGGTTTTGAGTGGGATAAGAGAGGGAAAAAACATCTATTTCTGTTTTATTGAGTATTCTAAAGCCTATGACTATGTGGATCATAATAAACTGTGGCAAATTCTTGGTGATATGATACCAAGTCACCTTGTCTGTCTCCTGAGGAATCTGTATAACAACCTAGTAGCAACAGTCAGAACAGACATTGCCCAGGGGACACACGGATGTTTTGATGTGTTACCATCCTTGTGGGAGGCTTCTCTCATGTCCCCGCATGAGGAGCTGGAGCTGATAGAGGGAGCTCATCCGTACTCTTCCCGGATTCGAACCTGTGCCATTTAATATTTAATGTTATTTTACTTAATGTTCTTAAGTAAAATAACATTAAATATTAAATAACCAGAAAAATAAAATAAAATGTAAACACTAAACTAATCTGGGAATCTGCTATTGCAACACATCCAATTAAGTGCTGGTCGCTTCTGTAGCGAGAGAATCAGCCGTCTATGAAGACGTTGCCCAGGGGACGCCCGGATGTCTTGCAATCCTGCAAGGAGGCTTCTCTCATGTCCCCCAGACATGAGGTGGTCCAGACACTCACTGGAACACCTCAGCAAGCGAGAGTCCAAAAGTGGCAGGCTCAAACCCAGAACCTCAACCAATGGCTGATACCAAATGAGAGACTCCTCCCTAGGCACACAGAGGACTGGGCGACTTGGAAGGTGCTGAACAGACTGCGCTCTGGCACCACAAGATGCAGAGCCAACGTCAAGAAATAGGGCTACAAAGTGGAATCCTTGGCATGCGGGTGTGGAGAAGAGCAAACCACTGACCACCTGCTGCAATGCAACCTGAGCCCTGCCACATGCACAATGGAGGACCTTCTTGCAGCAACACCAGAAGCACTCCAAGTGGCCAGCTACTGGTCAAAGGACATTTAATCAACTACCAAACTCACAAATTTTGTATTTTGTCTGTTTGCTTGCTTTGCTCTGTTAGAAATATAATATAATTGACTGGTTGCCCTGACACGACAAATAAATCCAATTAAGTGGTTTCAAACCAGTATAAAAAAAGGATTAGGACTAAGTACGTTCCAGTCTATTTAGAATACATGAAGCTCATTCCAGAGGCATGTTTAAGAATAGGTTGAGTGGGCTGTATACTCCCATCCGACCTATTCAACTTGCATGCAGAACACATCATGTGATGTGCGGGGCTTGATGAATCCAAGGCTGGAGTTAAAATTAAACTTTAGATATGCCGATGATACCACTTTGATGACTGAAAGCGAGGAGGAACTGAAGAGCCTTCTAACCAAGGTAAAAGAAGAAAGTGCAAAAACTGAGTTGCAGTTAAACATAAAAAAAAAAAAAGATTATGGCAACCAGACTGATTGATAACTGGGAAATAGAGGGAGAAAACATGGAGGCAGTGACAGACTTTGTATTTCTAGGTGCAAAGATTACTGCAGACACAGACTGCAGCCAGGAAATCAGAAGATGTTTACTTCTTGGGAGGAGAGCAATGACCAATCTCGATAAGATAGTGAAGAATGGAGACATCACACTGGCAACGAAGATCCGCATAGTTAAAGCAATGGTATTCCCCATAGTCACCTACGGATGTAAGAGCTGGACCATAGGGAAGGCTGAGCGAAGGAAGATAGACGTTTTTGAACTGTGGTGTTGGAGGAAAGCTCTGAGAGTGCCTTGGACTGCGAGAAGATCTAACCAGTCCATACTTCAGGAAATAAAGCCCAACTGCTCATTGGAGGGAAGGATGTTAGAGGCAAAGATGAAGTACTTTGGCCACATTATGTGAAGACAGGAAAGCTTGGAGAAAACAATGATGCTGGGGGAAATGTAAGGAAAAGGAAGAGGGGCTGAACAAGGGCAAGATGGATGGATGGCATCCTTGAAGTGACTGGCTTGACCTTGAAGGAGATGGGGGTAGTGACGGCCAACAGAGAGCTCTGGCATGGGCTAGTTCATGAGGTCAGAAAGAGTTGGAAGCGACTGAACAAATAAACAACAACAAAGAGAGGATTTTCAAAACTTTAACTGCCAAGGCTCGATACTACAGAACAGGCATTGGCAAACTTGGTCCCTCCAGGTGTTTTGGACTTCAACTCCCACAATTCCTAACAGCCGGTAGGCTGTTAGGAATTGTGGGAGTTGAAGTCCAAAACACCTGGAGGGACCAAGTTTGCCCATGCCTACTATAGAATAATGGGATCTGTAGTTTTATAAGCTCTACCCTCTTATGCCAAAGAATGCTGATGCCTCACTACAACCACAGCTCCTATGAGTAAAAAGTGGTGTCAAATTGCATTAATTCCACAGTATAGAATCCTGCACCCAGAGTTGCAAAGGGGGTACCTGTTTTCCCGCGCAGAATCCTAGCAGCCGCGTCTACGGTTGCCGGGGCAACGCGCTGTCCAATGGGAGGCGAGGGCTCCGTCCTGCCGCGCGCCTTGCTCAGTGACTGATTGGATCTCCGGGCTCGCCCCTCCCTCCTTGTTTTGCCAGATGGCTGGGCCTTCCTCGAGGAAGCAGAGAGAAAGAGCAGATCTGGCAGGCCAACTATTATCCCTGGGGCGAAGGCCATGTTGATATGAAACGTGCAAAGCCAATAATAGGGGGACATTAATATATGCTACCAATCCCCTTCACCCAGAAAAATATTGCAGGAAATCACAATTTCAAACCAGGAACAGAAAATGTTTCAAATGTTGTTACATTATGTAATTACTTAGCAATAAGGCAGCAGTTCGATGCTCACTATTGTGTGCATTCCATAGAATCATAGAGTTGGAGGAGACCTCATGGGCCTTCCAGTCCAACCCCCTGCCAAGAAGCAAAACACCCCTGACAGATGGCCATCCAGCCTCTGTTTAAAAGCTTCCAAAGAAGGAGCCTCCACCACACTCCAGGGCAGAGAGTTCCACTGCTGAACGGCTTTCACAGTCAGGAAGTTCTTCCTCATGTTCTGATGGAATCTCCTTTCTTGTAGTTTGAAGCCATTGTTCCGCGTCCTAGTCTCCAGGGCAGCAGAGAACAAGCTTGCTCCCTCCTCCCTGTGGCTTCCTCTCACATATTTATACATGGCTATCATATCTCCTCTCAGCCTTCTCTTCTTCAAGCTAAACTTGCCCAGCTCCTTAAGCCGTTCCTCATAGGGCTTGTTCTCCAGACCCTTGATCGTTTTAGTCGCCCTCCTTTGGACACATTCCAGCTTGTCAATATCTCTCTTTAATTGTGGTGCCCAGAATTAGACACAATATTCCAGGTGTGGTCTAACCAAGGCAGAATAAAGGGGTAGCATTACTTCCCGAGATCTAGACACCATACTCCTATTGATGCAGGCCAAAATCCCATTGGCTTTTTTTGCCGCCACATCCAAGTTGTTTCAGGGTGTAAAATTACAATACCTATAATTCCATTGCATTGAGCTATGGCAGTTAAAGTGGTGTCAAACTGCATTAATATAGGGAGAGCAACCAGACCTAAAATGGTGTGGTTTCTTTTGGATTCCTGATTGAGGGCCCTTCCGCACTCACTACAACCACAGCTCCTATTGTGGGGCAGAAAATCCCACAATATCTGCTTTGAAATGTGTTATCTGAGTCCACACTAACATATAGTCCCGTACCAAGAAGAAATTGTGAGATTTTATTCAGCTGTGTAGAAAGGGCCTAAGTTCAGCAACAAATTGCATGACAAGTAGATCGGTTTCTGATTGTAAATGCAAATCCAGTGTAATGACAGGAGTATCTTTTATAGGTAGAACTATGAGGCTCCCTACAAAATTCAGATCTATAGGTGAAGTGTGTTATGGGATCATGGACATTGGGGCTGTGTTTCGCTGATTTGCTAGTTACATGCTTTTCTACCCAATATGTTTACTGAACAGTATGGTGCGTGTCTGCCATCCAATCTGCTGTAATAAATGTATGGGAATGCTCTTGAAGACTACACAAAAAGTATGGTTGCTTCAAAACACACGTAACACTTGGCATTAAATGTATGTATCATATAATACCTGGAGCCCCTGGTGGCACAGTGGGTTGAACCCTTGTGCCGGCAGGACTGAAGACTGATAGCTTGCAGGTTTGAATCTGGGAAGAGCGTGGATGAGCTCCCTCTATCAGCTCCAGCTCCTCATGTGGGGACAGGAGAGAAGCCTCCCATAAGGATGGTAAAACATCTGGGCGTCCACTGGGCAAAGTCCTTGCAGACGGCCAATTCTCTCACACCAAGAAGCTACTTGCAGTTTCTCAAGTTGCTCCTGACACTATATATATATATATATATACACACACACACACACACACACAATACCTGCTCCTTTAGGAGTTGTACCAGTTGTCAATTTGTTTTCCAGACATTATAAACGTTAGTAAATTTGTTTGGGAAAAAGATCAGCAGATGGTTCTGCCTATAAAAAGCACTACTATCACTGCACTGGCTTGTCTGGAAAACAAATTGGCAACTGAAACAGCTCATACATACATTGCTCTTTCATAGTCTGGGCCCATGATACCCATTTGACTGCTGTGCATTCAATTCGCCATGTGCATCTCCAAGAAAACAAGCTCTGAAGACCTGAGAAAGTCTCCCTTTGGTTATTAGCCTACATTGGATGTGTTTATAAAAAAGTGAAGAAGAAAGTTCAGCCGATGCAAAGTTAGATCCAATGCCATGCAAAATAAATAATAATGTTGGAAATAATATTTAATATTAAAAATATCTTAAATTTACATCCTTTATAAGTCAAACCCCTACCATTTCAAGGGTGCGTCTTATCTCTTTAGATGGCACTTCAACAGAATTCATATTGACTTCAGTCCACACAGGTAAACTATCAATGAGGATACAGGGAGGAATGTACTTTTCAAAGAGGCACATGACTCTTGCTTGTTTCTACTGCCTTCTGAAAAAATTAGGACTTGGAATGTTGAAAGGTGCTACCAACCGATCCTTCTGAGAGGAAAAGTAGCAAAGGTCTTGGGGTTTGAAACATCAGTATCAGAAATGTGCACCAGATATAAAATATCAGTATGCTTATTATCATTATAAGTACACACATGTTAAAATTCCCACTTATAAATTAACAAGTACTACAAACAAATAGGATACATGGTTTCCATGAACAATAATCCTTCTCATTTAGAGTTCATGTTAATTTGCAGAGTTCCTTTCTGCAGTTACAATCTTTTATAGAAAGCCTTTAAGAAACCCACAAGTTTATGGGTCAAGTATTAGCCATTCAACAGAGCTTTGATCACAGAAGGAACTGTTAAGTAGATTTGCCTGGCGAGATCTGCTGGATCATCCATGCACCAAGCATCCTAGACTGGTACAACTACAAACTCTGAACAAACATCTAGGTTTCTGCTTGCGGCAATTTCCTACTATAGGCTGCCTTCCCATAAATCCTGCCAAAGGCTACTTCAAACAGATGGACAGCAAATCTGATATAAGAACTTTCTTAGGATTATGCCTATTAAAATGCAGTGAGATAGCTCCTACAACATAATTGTCTATATTGGGTATTGGCACTTACAGCATACTACATACGAATAAAATATTACTTTTATAGTTTTCATATTTTAAAATAATTCTCACATATAGGTTCTAGGACAGACATTTCAGGTGTATTGAGCTGTACTGAGGCAGAGTTAGCCTCCTATTTTAGAACAAGAAATGGCAGTATTCTATTAACAATACCATACAAAAGACATACATAAATGTATATTAGTTATATGTGGCAGTAAACAGAACAGAACCATTTTGCATTCATTTAATGGAAGAATCCAGGATCTCGTGATAATCATGCTTTTGCTTCCAGGAGAGTTTATACCACGCAAGAAAGAAGACACTAATTATGATGATAGCTCCTCCAATCAGATCATAAATGCTGGGGAAGATCCGTAACACAAGAAGCTGAAGGATCATGGCTATCACAATCTCCAGATGCTGCACTGTGCTGACCAAAGCTGGATGGAATTTGCTCAAGGCATAATAAACACCCAGAAAAGCCACTGTGGAGCATATACAGATACCTAGAAGATAGCTCCAGCTTTCTCCATTCAGTGGAATTATTGGCTCTTGAAGGAAAAACATAGTGGAGACTCCCCATACTGTTCCAGTCCAACCAAAAGTGAAAAGTGCTGTCCACATGCTCACATCATCCTTAATGGACCTGTACACTATCATGGAGAGGGCTGTGGTTAAGCCTGCCATAACTGTCATGGTATAACCAAAGGCCTCCTTCCAAATGTTCAAAAGAGAATTTTCTTCGTCAACAATATTGGGGATCATGACCAGACAAACACCAACAATGCTACCAGCCACAGTAATGACATCAACATAAGCCATTCGCTCATCTACTAGTAAAAATGCCAAAATGGCACTGAAGACTGTAGTGGTAGCTCTCCACATAGTCGTCCCGTTGCTTGGGGGTACTATTGCAAAGGAGGTGTAAGCGCAGGTAATGGATATAACATTGCACACTCCATAGAAGAATAGTCGTAGGCGGTGGCCTTTTGGCCCAAAAGGGTCCTCCTGGTAGTAGCAGACGACTAAGACAGAAAACACTTGTAAAACAGAACGAATGAAGATCAGTTCTAGAGATGGCACTTTGGAACGATCAGAAGCAAGTCTAGTGATCAGGGCCACACAACCATGAGCCAAAGCAGATCCTAAAAGAATGGCCCAAGTCTTTCTGGACTGAAAAATGCTTCCATCCACAAAAGCCTGGCCTTGTCCACTCTTGTGGCTTTCTGGCTTTTGTTCTGGCTGAGATGGGATGTCAATAGTCCCAAAGAAGGACCTTCCTTTCCGCCGACCATCGCTTAGCAGTCTTCTCTTTGGATTATCTTCTACAAAAGTCTCGTGGTCTTCATTAATTTCTTCATATTCCAATTCTCCAGGCTGTGGATAGTGAGAAGTATATTTCACTGTCACTGTGTTGGGATGAATTTTCACTCGTTTTTTCACTGGATATTGCTTGGAAGGTGAAGTATCCATTTCCTTCGATAATCAGCTGATCAGAAAGAAAATATATATATAACTAATTCAGCAGTTAGAAAGCTGTTGAGATTATAAATCTGGTTTGTCAAAAATACTGGAGTAATCTTAAACTCAATCCCAATGCGTTGTTTATATTGCTGGTAAACTGAAATTACTTTGAGAGCAATCCAGATCTGAATATCAGTGACAATGACAGAAAATCAGTGGTGGTATATTATTATTCTATGCTAATTGTTAGTTATTTTTAAACGTATGCTTTATCTTTACCTCTTTTGGAACACTTGTACAGTTCTCCCTATGTTTTAACGTAAATGCAATGAAAGAAACAGATCACAAAGGGCTCCCCTAATCTAACAGAACATTAAGAGATGCCCTCTTAAACAGATGGT